GAATGTGTCAAGGGGTTTAATCCCTGTGAACTCAAACTTAACCTCATTACCAAGCACTTTTCAATCTGAAAGGTATAAACTTTCCAAGTGGAATTTGAAGAATAAATTTACATATGAAATTTTAATTGGACCCGGTTTTTTTATGGCAAAATTCGGATTATTACAATTAATATCAAAAAAATAAACTTTCTACAAAATATAATTTTTTTTCAGATACGGCCCTCGGAGGATAGAAGAAGTGAAACAGTTTTCACAAAAGGTTGTTTTATATTAATGATGAATAATAAATAACAATAATTGACAAAAAACAATGAAGGAAGTTAAAAAAAAAAGTGAAACAATTTTCACAAAAGGTTGTTTTATATTAATGATGAATAATAAATAATATGAACTATATAGAAATATTTGGAAATATTTTCATTCTAGAAAGAGAAAGCACATATATACAAAATATACGTGGATGGGATCGTGAGATAAGTAAATATTTCTTGTAAATAAGAGAATAAATCTATTACGTCAGATCATCATCTCTATCGCGCCCAGAACAAAGGAATCTTCTCGCCATTACTTATATAAAAAAAAATTTTTTTTCTCTCTTTTTTCCTCAAGAACATCCGCATGTACTCTTTAGGAGTTCTCGCTCACCTCGTGAGGTCGTTACATCTATATTCGCACGTACAAATGCAAATGACGTTGCCTCACGAGTATGGGCCCCGCGAGCATGGTTTTATGCTCGCGCACATGCAACGACACATGCAAAGTGCATTATGGTGGTAGTTGCATCCTGGGAGGCCTTTCAGATAATACGAGTATAAGACAGAAGCAAAATAACTATCGAGAGCAAAGAAGGCAGACTCGGAGTCTATCCGTTAGGCCCCTTTATATATATAGATAAATATAAAGCACATACATATGCATAATATTATATCCCGCATGGACTTTAGGATTACTTGAACAATAAAAAAAAGCCACCCTTATACCACTAATGATCTCTATATAAAAAAGGTTTTTTTTTTTAAATTTAAATTCCAAAATAATTGTCATTTTGATTCCGTAAGATTGTATCAAATGAAAAATTATACACTATCTTGAATAATGGAAAAACACTGTTAACAATGAGTGATAAATTTAAAACTTGAAATACTGTATGTTTCATGCTTCTGAAGTTGAGTCGTAAATAACAGGTCATAAAAGTTTTAATACAGTACATAAGAGGTTTATCGAATCGTTTTTTGTCTATAGACTTCTTTACGAAGTATAATTTTTATATCTTATTTTATATATATATATATATATAAGAGAAATAATTTCTTTGAAAAATACGAAGAGAAAAATATTAAAGTCTATGAACTTGAAGCGCCTATAGCCCATATATGAAAAGAATGTGGATTTAGCGTCGAGATGCACCTTAATTCTCCGCGTGCAAAAGAATTATCAAGATTTCCAATTAATCCTTCTGGATGGCTTCATAATAGCTTCATGAACAGGTTTCCGTGGCTATTAGCAAAAAAAAGAAACCCCCCCCCCACTCTCTTTGAATTGAAAAAAAAACCGGCGCACCAGTGCCGCCAGTGCATCCGGTCTTTTCCCGACTTTCCGCAGAAGAACGCGTATCGTTCTATAATCAAGAGAAGAAGTCGCACGTATTATGTGCGCCATTAAAGACAACTCCGACCCATATAGGTATTATGAAAAATAAAAAAAAAAATTCCCACTATGGCAATCGAAGGAATATCGGAGGCGTCGCCTCTGAAGAAGAGCCAGACGTCGTTTGACTTTTCGATGTAAACGCCACATGAAAGAAACTCCTTCGCTCGTGCAGCCTGTCAAAGAGTCGAGCGAGTCTTCTTAAGACTTGTGGAATCAGGTTTACTGAAAATTAATCGACTTCTACCTAACGATACGACTTTGTGGAATCATTATTAAATGAATTTAATTCAACGAAAAATTAATCAGGCAAGCGATCCGAATTTTAAAATTCTTTAACATATCGATATATATATATATATAAAAGAAATATAGTATCAATCTAATTGTGTTTTGTGATCGAAATAAAAAAAGAATGCAAACTATTTTTATAATAGTCATAAAAAGGGTGATAATAAATTATAAAGTAACTATTTCGACAATTTTCCATTTTAATAAACAAATGCAAATGAAGCTATTCGATTAGATCCGTTCCTTTAGCAAATTATTCCGCAATATTTATATCACGATTATGAATTGTATTTAAAGAGATTGTAATTCTCCGAAAGAGCATAAAAGGGCTACTATCTGATACATTTCACTTTATTGTCCTCGAATCTTGAGAAATGTATAAATTTGAATAAACTTATATGAAAAAAAAAATTCTTTTTAAAAGCATACACTCTCTATAAGCATTATTCCTCTAAAGATGCATGTTTCTCTTAAAACACACTCGTAATTTACGCTTTTTGAAGAAATAAAAAAGAAAAGCTTTAAATTAATGGCTTATCCTCTATATATATAAAGAGAAAGAATCAAGGATTTGAAATATCATCTTATATATATATAGAAATATATGCACGCCTTTTTCTCTTGAATGAAAACTCGTTTGCAGTTGCAATGCGATTCATCGATGGAATATTCGCAATGTTCAATATTGTATAGCTTTGGTTGCTTGCAGAGCGCGCAAAATATATACATGTACGTGAGACCAAAGGCATTAAAACTGTCGGTGTGGGCGTCGAGTAGAGATTCGTAACTCAAGGGACTTGCATTTATGTTGCATTCTAGCTGGAGAATTGCAGGACAATAAATGTCTCCCGGCTGAATAATCATCTTTGTACGCAGGGATGCACTATTTACTATCAATATATAGAGAGAATATAGATGGACCCAGAGAAGATATCAAGCCTAACAATCTCTTGCATTGAAAATTATACCATCAACTTTCATTTTACTGTCAAGAATATAAAAATTTAGAAAATTCGATATAAATTATAACTATAAATTGGATTGTATGTATATATGTAAATATGAAATCCATAAATAAGGAGCAATAGAGATTTATCGGAGATGAAAATAAATGGACCTCTCTCATTTGGTATTTAAAAAGTTGGCAAATAGATATTAGGATAAAGCTTTGAAAGAGTTGCTATATATATATATGCATCCGGGAAAGTTGGATACTTATTAAACTTCATATATAGAGTTAGTAATATGTCGATACATCAACATGCATAACGATCAAATATGCGACTAATGGAGGGATTAATTTTTTGTCCCCATATATATGTATAACCGATTCGTATAGCAAGATTAAAAGCCAAAGTCCGTATATTTAATATATATTGACTCTCAGTATAATTTCTATAAATAGATCGTGGTTGCACCGGTTCAAACCGTCGCAACTTGTTTTGTCATTTTTACCAGACTAAGCGGACAAGTTAGCCAAGTTAATTACTTGGATAATTCCTTGGCGCTCCTCGCACACACTACAAAAGAGCCGACCGTTAGATCCCGCAGTTTCAATATTAATGCGCATCGATCCGATATATGTATACGAGTTATTTAAAAGTCATCACTTGCTTTTTTGTAAATTGAAATAAAATCTGAACGATCTTAAAAAAGTTGGGCGTTATAAAAAAAACAGAAAGTAACATAATAGTTACATTACCTTGGCAATTGTAAATAGTATCTATCATAGAAACGGTTACTATAACGGTAGTTTGTAATTGTAAATAGTTGCAACGGTTTGTAATTACAACAACCACGAAATCCTTTAATGTAGGTGCTTCTCTTGACAGATTACTTATTTTATTATTCATCATTAATATAAAACAAACCTGCTATTACAGCCACTTCACATTTCCATCTTCTTTATTATTCACTAAATTTTTGTTTCCATCTTGAATCTCTGCTTTCTAAATCTTCCTGAAAAAAAAAATTAATTTCAATGAAACCTTGATCAAAGAAGAAAGAGGATTTCAATTTAAGGTTACAATGAAGAAACGAAGAGCACACGAGAGGCCAAGGAATACTAATTGTTTTCATCGCGAGGAGTGATTTATGGAGAAGTAGAATCTAATCAATAAGAGAGAAGAATTGAATAAAGCGTTAAAATAACTCGAAGAACGGTGTCAGTTGCAAATAATATGTAGACATCAATCCGTAGTTGCGCAAGGACGAGTGTCCTTTCATTTAAGAAGCGTTAGTCGTTAAATCATCGTCGCGTTAGGCGCACCAGCTTTCTTGTATATATGTACTTGTCGTTTTATGGAGGTTTATATAGGGACACTAATTCGCGTGGGATTGGAATGTTTGGGCGCGATCGCATTTTCTGAAAAACAAATCTGTTCTTGCGTCCACTTTGCAATTTGTACTTTGATTTATATACAAATACAAAGAAATTTTTTTTTTTTTGAAAACCACAGGTTAAAATTTCACGTATTGTATTGAATAAAATGTATTTAAAATAAACTGGAGAGGATAAAATGTTATCAGTTAAAGAATTGCTAAAGGAAATAAAAAAAAAGTTAACATGGTGCAAATAGGATCGAAGTACAAGGACCGGTAACTAGGCAAGTGCTTCGAGAGCAGATGCAAATTTTCTCGCGAATATATACAACGTAGATCGTAGCAAGTTTGCGTAGGCGAAGGATGTCCATCGTTTCAGGACCAGTCCTGAACCCGTCCTTCTTGTATACCTCGGGAGTACGCTATCCAGAAAAGTGAGGTGGTATCAACGATACAACGTCGTCGGTTGGTTGATTCTCAACTCACGATTACCACCACCACCACCATTGGTAGAACTCTTCAGGAATCGCGTGCAACTTTCCATATTGAGGAGTTTTAAAAGCTGCACCTTAGTATAGTGGGATAACCAGGGGCGCCTACACGCGCTCCATCGCGTCAACTGGTTATAAGCATCAGGAATGGTCAATAAAAGACACACGGACACCGAACAAATCTTTAAGATTAGTCTCTAAACCTCTTCCTCGATATAAAACAAAATCAAGGGCAAATATTAGTTTCCATTTTTTTTTTTTTTTTTTTTGTAGATTTTATTTCTCCCCCGTCTCTTCAATTCAACAATAGTTCTTTTTTGAATATGATAATTCTCCAATTATCTAACGGAATAATAAATACACAAAATATTTGTTTTTTTCTACACTTATTTCTTACACATTCAAATATCTCTCTTTTCATTTTCTACATATCACACTTGTCAAGTAGAGTATTCAAATTTGTTGGCACCCAATTTGTACCACCATGACAAACAAAAAGTGCCTTTCCATCAATGTACGCCTGTAAATTTCCTACTTTATAGACTTGTTTTGCCTCTCGATATTTATTTGGTATTGGCATAAAAAGAACACCACGTTCCTCACATTTCTTTTGTACAAAATCTTTAAATCCATGTGGAATTTGATTTACAATTCTCATTGCTTCAGCGATACTCTGAAAAAAAAACATAAATATAAAAATTCGAAATCGGGAAAAATAATTTTAAATATACATGTATATACAAACCTCAACTCTCGGTTGAATATTAGAAGGTATTTGCTGAACAGGTTGACTTCTTTCCAAACTTGTCAAATATGAAACTTGTTCAACAGCGCCTGGTTGAAGTCCTTGAGGTACAGAAACTGCTCTATTCATCATTTCCAATGCCTTTTTGAAATATTCACTAATTATTGGTTCAGCGAGTAATTTCTCACTAAGCATTCCCTTCCAACCCAAATACCAATGTGTAATCTCATCATAATTCGGTGAACTATTAAGCCAAAGTGCCAAAATTTGTAACCATTTGGGAAAAAAGAATTTATCAAGTAATCCAATCATTGTATGCTTTGGCAATAATTCTTTCCATTCATAAACCCAATGCCATTGATCGAGAATTTGTTGATGTGGATTAATGACAAGTTCACTTAATGCAATTTGCAATTTTGGTACAATATTTTTCACCAAAAATGCTTCTAAATCGCCAGGCGCAAAAACTTCCGCCCATGGCTCAAGCATTAATCGTGCCGATCTATCTGAAGCATGCCAACCGCCCAATGCCGATCCAAGTTTACGTCGAATTATCGGATAAATTAAATTGTCTAGTCGGTGACCTATAATTCAAAATTAATTATTTTTTATTAATTATTTCTCATAAAATTGTATTTCAATAATTAAAAATCAATTAGAAATTTAATAAAGAAATAAAAATCCTACAAAAATACGTGGGATCAAAAATTAAACAATTTGAGCAAATAATAAAAGAAACTTACGTAAAAGTTGAAGCCAAGGATGAATCCAAGTGTGAATTGGAACCGTGTCCGTTAATGGATTCCATTCTTCTACTTCGAGAGTGAGTTTTGGAAGGACCAATAAATCGAGAATATTCTCAAAAATCCAAACTGGTAGCAAAGGCATCCAATTTTCAATTAGATCAATTAGAGGATCCGGTTGTCTACACGTCCATTCTCTTAAAAAAAAGCGAAATAAATTTATGTTAAAAACAAAATTTTAAAAGTCTACCTAAAATATTTTATTGGGTAAATCCATTTCAAATTAAGTAGAGACTAATTTCAAAAATACAAATTTAACTGCCGTTGAAATTGTTTTAATAAAAATTTTGTATTTATTATTTATTAATATAAAATAAACTTTTTAGTTTCGTGACCTAGAACAAAAACCTTTAAAGCGAGATTTTGATGTCCGTTCGTCCGTCAGTCCGTCTTACACTATAGTTTATCTACCATAGCAACCGTTACTATGGTAAGCGTTACGATAACAGACGTTACCATAGCAAATGTTACAATAACATCGGTGCCCATAGCAATCGTTACAATAACAGACGTTACCATAGCAAGTGTTACAATAACAGGCGTTAGTACAGCATGCATTAAAATAAAAAGCGTTAGTATAGCATGCATTAAAATAGAAAGCGTTACTATAGCAATCGTTACCACGACAATGGTTTGTAATTAAAATTAATATAACAGCCATGAAACTCTTTAATGGAGGCTCTATGTGCCTGCTTCTCTGACTGATTTTTGTTTATTTTATTATTCATCATTAATATAAAACAACCTGCTTTTACAGCCACTTTACATTTCCATTTTCTTTATTGTTCACTAAATTTTTTATTCCATCTTGTACCTTTAATTCCTAAATCTTCTTTAAAAAAATAAATTCGAATCACTTTTGTAAATTCTAATTTAAACTTTATTTTTTCTCTTCTTTGAAATGGATTTAACCTGCAAAAAAATAAACGATTCATTATTAAAAAGAATGAAATAAAAGTAACATACAGTACGGCTCCTCTAATTGATGGCATCCATGCATTCCACACAAGTTGATCGTACGGTTGCAATGAATTCGATTGAAGTGTTGTTTTTCCAATTTCCAATATATCCTTCCATTGTTTAAATAAATCCAACCATTGTCTCGGTTGCATTAACGGATTCCATGTTGTCAATGATTCTTTAATTTTCGGACACACTAAACTAATAGCCAATTCACTTAATTCATAGAGTTTATATTCCTCATGATATTTATCCTGAAGACTTTTAAATGCCTCGGCAGTTTGTGTTAATGTTAATTCACTACTATCATCCATTAAACGACTGACAATTTGTAAAACATCATCCAATGTGTCAATCAATTTTTTCTGTTGATCAGCAATTTTAATTGTACGATTTCTCTCGGCTTCAAGGGAAATTAATCGATCACCAAGACTTCCATTTCGTCGATTATTTTGTATAATATCCTGTTCACACATATCAACGAGAAGATTTAAATTATGTTGTAATTCGGGTACGGAAAAATTACTTTTCGATTTTTTATCACTAATCATGATAGTTTCATCGGGACGTTGTTGACCACTTCCAATTGCATGATAACCACTTAAGACACGTTGCTCAGGTCCAGTCATATCGATAACTTTAACACGGCTCATTTCATTTGAAACGGGAATTTTTCGATTCATTCTCAATTTTCCATCCTCAAGTACTTGATCAACACTTCGATAAGTGTATTTTGTTTTTTTCTTATTAGCCGTCGCATCATTCTTACGCCAATGTGATACTTTTCCCTTTTGTTCTTTTGTTGTCTCGTCACTGATTATTTCTTCTTTCCTTTTCTCAGGGATTTTTGCCAATTTTTCTGGACCATACGCGCCAATAGCACCGCGTCCTTTACGTAAATGAGCCTCAACTGGAGCGCTTATACCTTGTAATTTTTTGCCTAAACCTTTGCCTGGTTCAAAACCCATCTGAAAAATTTAATTTTAATATTTTATTATTAATATCAATTAATTATTTTTTTATTAATTCATATAGACGAACCTGTAGTAAAATTTTTGCACCAATTCCTCGTGTATGAACCTCCCAGCTTCCCATGCCAGTTTTTATTAATGCAGGATTAAGAGGTGCTCTTTTCTTTCTTAAACCAGCTATTTCACCCTCTATATTCAATGAAAATTGTTTACGTGATCTCATATTGCTGGGACCTTCGTTTTCCGAATCACTGCACAAAAAAACAAAATAATATAATAAGAATTATATTTTATATTTTTTAATTTAAAAAAAATATGCTTACCTGGAACTATTTGGAACATAATCAGCATCTCCTCTTCGTGGTCTGCCCGTTTCATCATCGTCGTCTTCATCCTCGTCATCGTCTTTTGACTTTTTTTCTTCCTTTGGTTTTCCCGCTTGTTGAATACCACCGGAAACAAAACTAACTGGTGCCGTATAATTTTTTGGAACTTTTTTCGTAACTCTAAAAGACGGTCTACTTGTTTCCTCCTCCTCATCACTATCATCAGCCCACATTCCTTTTAAATGAATAATAATCGATTAAAATTTAAATAGAAAAATTTTAATTGTAACGCAATCTTAAGAAAGGGACCTTAGAAGCAAATGAATTATAGGTTATGTTTACGACAGATTTACTTGAACTAAAAGTTTATTTTTATTTTTCTAAAACTGAAATAACTGAAAATTTTTGTATATTTTCAATTTAAAATTTCAAAACATAACCTATAAATGTTTGCTTCTAAGGTCCCTTTCCTCCTATTCACAATTAATTAAAATTTGGTTCAAATCTGACTCAACTGAATTTGAGAATTAATTAAAATTTTAAAATTTGTATGTATTAGAAATTTAAAAATAAATAATTTAAATAAAATAAATAATTAATTAAAAAAATAATTTAATTTAAATAAAAATATTTAAAATTATAAACATAGTAACTTTATTTTTCAATTGCAAAAGTACTATTTTATGTTAAATTATTTACGTGTTGGAAAATTAAAATTATAACCCGTAGTTCAACAATAAAAAACATTTTTAACAAAAAAGCAAATATAAAAAATAAATAATACTTTACCAAGCATTTGTTGTTTTTTTGTAAGTTTTCGTCGAAACCGATTTGTGTTAAATTCATTGTCGAGATCATAGTCGGTAATTTCAAAGCTTTCCATTTCATCTTCAGACATTTTTGTATTTTGCACTGTTTTTTTTTTTAAACTGCACTAGTTTTTAAAGTTTTTACCTATAAATACTTTTCAACAAAACTGAGAAATTGTTTTCTTTGCAGAAAAATTACATTGAACGCGCGAGACAAGTTTTGACACTTCAAAATATTAGGTTATGTTTGCTATTTACGTTTCTTTTCGTTCTATAGGGATTTTTTTTTTAGTTCTAAAACTTTTACTGCTTTCGATTGGTGACACTGATTACAAGCGACTCGGCAAAATTCAAATCTTTAATCGTAAAAGTAGAAAAAAAATTAATTTAGAAGATAAATTATTTATTAAAGTAGTACGAAATAGTTTATAGATTTTTTTTTAAAACTATATTCCAAAAAATAATAATGTAATAATAATTATGTTATTATGTTTTGGAATATTGCTGTGATAAAATAATAGGGAATTTTTCTTCTTCTTCATAAGATAATGTAGATTTCTCTAAGAGTGGTAAATAAAAAAAAAATAAAGCCATAGTGTCAAAACTGACAAGTGTCAAGCAGTGACAAGAGAAAATATTCCCAACAATTAATTTTAAAAGTATATTTAATTCTCTTTTCATAATTAGAAATAATTTTAAATATTATCGCCTTATATTTACAATTATTGTTACAATGGCAGATCGACTGACACAATTGCAAGATATGATAAATCAGGTATGTTTTTTCACACAGAATTAAGAACAATTTTTACCGTTTTTATAATTATTTATTGTTTCTCCATTGTTTCTTTATTTTTCATATATAAATTTAATTTTATAATATTTAAATAAAATTATTTTCTCATTAACCCTAAATATGATGAATTTTTCACATGAACCTAACCTCAAAATATGATCTTTACGTAGCTCGAATTTTTAAATAGTGTAATTGTAAATTAATAAATTATTGTTATTTAATGTTTTTTTTTCTAGCAAGCTGAACATTTTTGTAATAGTATTGGAATTTTACAACAATATTCCACTCCCAGTAAATTTCCTGGTTTCGATCGTGTTGGAACTCCGCAACCAAATCAACCGCAAGAAGGTTTGTCTCCACGAAAATCTATATATATTTTTCGAACATTTTTTTTTCTAAATTGCATTTTTCAAATTTCAAATTGATATTTTAAAATTATTCTCATTTTTAAACTTTGTCAAAAAATTTTTAATTCATTTAAATTTCAAACTATTGGAATTTTAAACAAAATTTCTAATTAAGTTTCAAATTTATTTAAAATTCAATTAACCGAAATTTTTAATTTTTTGAACAAATGTACCGTGATTACTGAAATTAATTAAATTATTTACATATATAAATATTAAAATTTTAAATTGTAAATAATTTTTATATTTTTTTTCCCATTTTTAGATTACGCGGCATTATTTGCAACGTTAATTGCAAAATGCGCAAAAGATATTGATACATTAATTGATAGTCTACCAAGTGAGGAATCATCACAGGAATTACAAGTCGCAAGTCTTAGTCGTCTTGAAAAAGAAAATCAAGAAGCGGGCGAAAAACTCGAGGAAGTTGTACGTGAGGGTGAAATTTTATTGTCACGTATTCAAGCTGCACTTCAAGATATTGCTCAAAGTCAACTTGACATGCAAAATCCATTGGCAACAGCTGTAATTAATACAAATCTCAATTTTGAAACAACACCATCAATAAAACAAGAGAATCTCGTTACTAATAGTGCGCCATCAAGTAATAGTCATCAATTACCAGATCCATCGCCAAGTTCTATCAGTCAATAGAAATTACACGAAAAAAAAAAATTTTTTTTTACAATTCAAATGTTCATTTCATTGACAAAAAAAAACGAATCATCTACCATTTAATGTGTATATATAATAAATATTTAATATTATTCGAAATAAATATTTAAGAAAAAAAAATCAAATTTAACTAAATTAATTAAAAATTAATAATTCATAAATTTAATTAATTAAATTGAAAAATAATTGAAATTATCTCAAAAATTATTGAATTAGAAATTATTTTCAAATTTTCCATAAATCTTCAATTATTATTCAATCAAATAATTTAAATTTGCAAAATAAAAAAATAAAAATCATCTTTTAAATTTGAATTAAAAATATCTTCAATTATTATTGAATCATTTAAATTAAATCTTCAATTTAGTCAAATTATTAAAATTATCAAGCAATGATTTAAATATTAAAAATAAATTTTTAAATCATTGAAGAAATATTTTTTTTAAAAAAACATAAAATTGGAACGATTCAATTAAATTGAAATAAAAGAAAAAATCGATTTTTTCATTTTCAAAATGCAAATAAAATTTAGAAAAAATTTACCACTAAAAATCAATTTAAAAATAAGAAAACGAGATAAAAATTATTTTTCTGTTTTTTGTTTTTTTTTTTTTTTTTTTAATTAAAAAACGATTCTGTCAAGTTTGTATACAAAAAGCAATGTTTTTTTTTTTCTATATTAATTACAAATGTTTCACTTTTATTCTTTTTTAATTTTAATTTCACTTCTCATTTTAAATAGTAAAATCTAGAGACTTGAAACTGATAAAACATAAATATAAGACATTAACGTCCCATAAACTTTTATATAATAATAGTATATGAAAAAAACAAAAAAAAAAAAATTAAAAAAAAACCAAGAAAAAAAAATATTTATTTTCAACTGTAGAGTTGCAATTTTTTTTTTTTATAAAATGTTTTACACAAAAGTAATATTTCAGAGGGGGGTAAGAGAGGGCAGAAAGGGGAGAAGGGGCGTATTTACAAAAATATGAGCAACGGGTAAAGGGTACGATGAAAAATATAGTAATAAAGAAAAAAATATATATATAATATATATATGAAATGAACAATGAAGCTGACGAACACTTTTCTTTTTTTTTTTTTGTTTTCCTTTTTTTGTTTTTTTGTTTTTTGTGTGTGTTTTTTTTTTTAATTGAGAGTTCCACGACATTGAGGAGCTCCACATAGGCAGGGAATTTTATCGTCTTCCAATGGAAATTTATAATCATACGTAATTTCCTCATTAACCCCAATTGGTTGTTTACTGTAAATAACTATTTTCTTTTGACTCTCTATTGTGATCACTTTAGCATAACAATTCGGCTGAAAAACAAAAATTCATAATTAATTCTATATATTTCCAAATAATTAAAAATTTTGTTTCCAATTTTATTTTCCATCAAATAATTTCGAAAACTTCTTTAATTATTATTCACAAATAGATACCCGAGAGGGTAAAAAAAATGAAAATAAAAAAAATAATACTTACATTACAACTATGGTTAATGAACCGAGCGAGATTTCCGCATTTGGTCGCGTCAATAATTGTATCCAAGTCGATTCTGAAAAGGTACGAACTTCCGATTCCAGTTGCCTCGTATTGTGACTCACGTAAATCGGCGACAACAGGCCTCACCATTTGTCCAACGTATTCTATCACCATTTCGTCGGCGGCAATTGGTTCCATTGCAAATAAGCCCCAATCGTGAATTCCCGATTTTGCAAATTTCAATTGCTTCTTTCGGAACTGATTAAAAAAATTAGATTTTTCAAATTTTCTTATTTTATACAATTTTCTATGATGATTGTAATTTTAAAAAAGCCTTTTCCTTTAATTAGACATTAAGAGAATAAAAAAAAAATGTTAAATTTACCTTCAATTGATTAAACTTAAGAAGATCACTGTCTGTATCGATACCAAAAGCAGTAAGAAGACGACGTTGATTGCTTCTCGCTTCTCTTGACAATGCTTGCATTTTACCGGTGAGGGTTTTTGAATTTGCCTTAGGACCATTCGCGAGTCCATCACCTCCCGCGTATGGACCGCCACTTTCCTCTACATCATTACTTCTTTGAATACTTTGAGCGTAATGATGCTGCAATAATAAAAAAAAAATTACATCTGTACCGTCCTAGGTTTCTACTGTTTCTAAAATAATACCTTACTGTTCTCTAAATTTAAATTAATAAAATTTTTAACTAATACCAATAGGAAACTGCTTTTAGAACTAAGAAATAGTTAAATTCTACTAAATAAGTATAGGAAAACCATTTTCACTAATTTATTGGTAAAATTTAACTAGTTCATAACAAAAAGTTCGTTAATTTAAATTAAAAGCTAAATTGAATTTAGCAACCGTTTAAATTTTATCAATAATTGAAAAAAGGGTTTTCGATCGAGATATATTTATTAATTTTAACCTTCAGCCTGCCCACGTTTAAATCCATCAAAAAAGCCAAAATTTAGACTTTCCGACAGACTACAAGTTAAAAAAAGACAAAAAAGAAATAAATTTTTATATCGACGTTTCTTTAGGACTAAAATAAAATTTTAAATGTACAATTTTATTTTATTCCTAAAGATAGCTCGGTACCGACAAGAAATTAATAAAAAAAAAACTTGAATATCTCGACCGAAGTCTTTTTTAATATTAATAAATTAAAAGTAGTTAAAATTTTTATAATTAATACTTAATAGTAATTGTCTTTTGAGGTTTTCAAAGAAAACTTTTGTTCACGATGCACACACTGTAAAATAAAAATTTAATTAGAAAAAAAGAAGTAGACTATAAAAATAAAAAAAAAATTAATTAATCTTGCTTTTTTAAAAGAAAGTAATAAAATAAATATACTTACTTTATGCTTCAATTTCTCGCGAATGTCAACTTTATAATAACCCTCCGTTCTTGCACAACCAGTGGCATGTAACCTGAGGTCATCTCTTTTTCTTCTTTTCGCAGGACTAGGAACATCAGTAGGCGGATGATCCACCCAATGTGTATCATTAAGCCAATAACCTTGAGCATCATCAGCCAACAAGGCTTCGTAACTTCTTCTCAAATATTCCACATCCTCAGCATCAATACCTCGCGTTAAGAATTGATATAATATACTCATTTCCGACATGAGATCCCTCTCCTTATAGGTAACTTCCGGTTGTGGTAATTTTGGAATCTCATAAATATTCTTACGATTTTCCATTTCAATAATATTCTCCTTTTCTCGTTCATGATTTTGTATATGAAGTTTTGAAATTTTATTATTCTTTCGTTTCTCAGCTTTTTCTTTTCTCTTATCTAATTTCGCTGGTTTTGCCTTAATTGTCGTTGGTAATGTTGGTGTAACTTCACTTTCAATAATTGTTGATTTTTCTTCAACAACAGGTTTTGCAGGCAGCAAAGAATATGAATGTTCAGCAAATACTAATGGCCGCAAACCACTATCACCATCGGGATAATTTTCACCATTTAGACGTAAATTAGCCTCAGCTTGGAATCGTAATCGTCGAATTTCCAAACTCTCCTCCTCAGAATCAGTTGTTGGTATTTCGCTAAACATTTCAATTTTCTCCGATTCTTGAAGTATTGGCACATCATTAATATATTTATTTGACAATATTTCCAAACTTCGTATAATATTTGCTTCAATTGGTCCTGGACTTTTGTGCCTTATTATATTATCTTGACCAGCTAATGTCATTAATGCCTCGGCAGCTGAACTTTCCATTCTTTCAATATCGCGTGGCTCTTGATTTAACCATAAATTCTCAGTCTTTTTATTATCGGCATTAATTTCCGGTGTTTTTTGTCTCTCGATAATAATTTTCATTTCGCTATTATTGTCGTCAATTGTTTTCATTTCATTTTCCTCTTTGGTTTCATCGTGTTGTTGTTGTTGATAAGTAGGCGATGATAAAGGACTAGCATCGTTACACATTTCTGGTAATTCATTGTCTTGCGTTGGAATTATTAAATCTGGTAATGGTGTTTGTCGTCCCGGTGGTGTTGCACAATCAAGTGATCGTTGTATCGCGAGTTCCATGAGAATTTCAGTATTTTCACTAGCCGATGCAAGAGGACGTGGATCGTATGTAAATTCCTCTTCTTCATCATCGGAATTCTCACTCGATGATTCACTGCTACTTGTATCATCACTTGAACTTCCAGCCGATGATGTTGATGATGATGTTGATCCACTGGGAAGACTCTCGAGTGGCCTTTTTGTTTTCTGTACTGCTGGTAAATCTAAATCGCTATCACTTTCAATTAATTCAGTGCCAAGACGATCTGATAGTCGACTATCCTCATCCTGTGGTACTGGACTCGGTGGCTTAATTTTTCGCTGCAAAAAGGAAAATAGTTTAGAAAAAAAAAACCCCCAGGAAATAAAAAAAAGATATTTACCCTAAACGATGGCATTTTAGGCATACTGGCACGAATTCCCAATCCAAATCCATCGTAATTAAAACCAAGTGGCGTTGCTTGCTCTATTAACGAACTAAGTCCTTCTGGTTTATGATTTTCTTCTTTATTAATCACATTATTTGTAACATTATTCTCCTCAAATGTAGTTTGACTTTTTTCATTTGTCTCCATTTTCTTTTCATCCCACCATTCTTCAAACAATTTAAACGCCGTATTCTCAACCATTTTTTTATTAAAGTCCTTTTTCAAAATTTGCTTCAATTCATTAACAACTTTATTTAAAACCCCATTAATTGTGGGACCCTACATAAAGAAAATAATAATAATTATTATTAATAAAATTTGAAATTGAATTTAATTTTCAATTTTTTAATTAAAGAGAAAAAAATCTTACCTGAGGATTATCTTTATAAGTATTAAAATTAGTCATTGCTTGTAGTCTCGATTGAAGTGAGGGGAAATAATTTGTTCCTTGTGTATTATTGTGAATTCCACCTTGGAAGGAATTATTTGGAGGTTGATAACTATTTGGCAGGTACGGAGCTCCATATGGATATGGATAATGCGCGGGACGTGGCCATCCGTACATATCACTCACTGGATGTGGATAATGTGGATGTGCTAAAGCTCCAGGATAACCTGGACCCGTATAGAGTTGATTTACCGGTGGATTATGCGCTATCACTTGAAATCCAATCTGTTTATTGAAATCAAATTTTATTAAAATTAATTTTATAACAATTAGCATAAAAAATGATAAAAAGTTTAGACAATAGAAAAAAATTAATTAGATTAATTTTTTTTTCAAAAATTTCGATTTCAGTGAATCCGGGCATTAATTTAATTTATTGATAATTTTTTAATACATCAAAAATTGTTCTTTTGTAATGTTTATTGATCAAAAAATTATAAAGAAATATTCTTTTTAGATAAAAATATAGTAATAACAGGCCTCGGATTGATTGTAAGGCGCAAAAAAAATCGTTTTAGTCGATTTACATTACAAAAAAAAGTAGAAAAAGTAGATTTTTTAAAAATTTTAATTAGATAATAAATATTTTACTTTAAATAAATAATGATATTAGATATTAAATCCATTTTAATATTTCTTTGAATTTAAAAAAAAATATATTAAAATTATTAAAAATAATTGAATTTTGGAAGAGTTATAGTTGAAATTTTTTAAAATAATTAAATATTCAAAGAATTTTGTTAATTTTCAAACAATAATTAAATTTTACAGAATTGAAAATTAATCAAATAATTTTAGATAACATTTTTTAAAAGTACCTAACTGAATGTTCAAAAAATTACAATTCAGATTTTTAAAAATAAATTGAACTTCAAGTAATTTTTAATTGAAATTTTTGTTGATGAAAAATTTATTAGAAATTACAAACAAAAATTAAATTTCAAAAGTTTTTAATTGAAAAATACTTTCAAATAATTAAATTTTTGAAAAATATTACAAAAAAATCATTAAATTTTGGAAGAGTTGACATTTTGAGAAATAATTAAATTTTAAAAGGTTTTAAATTGAAATTTTTGAAAATAATTGAATTCAAGTGATTTTGAATTGAAATTTTTTTGAGTGATTTCTATTGTTGAAGAATTTATTAAAAATTAAAGAATTATTTAAATGAAATTATTAAATTTTTAAAAAGTTTTTGAATGGAAAATTTTAAAAATAATTAAATTTTAAGAAGTTTTTTAAATTGAAATGTTTAGTAATTTTATTTGCTGATTATTATTTTTTTTTTTAAATTGTAAACAATTGTTGAATTTCATAAAAAAAATTTAATTGAAAAAATAATTTAAGATAATTGAATTTGTGAAGAATTTCATTAAAATTATTAAAAATAATTAATTTAGAGATAAATTTTAGTTAAAAAAAAATTTGTTAAAAACAATTGAAATAAAGAAGATCTGCATTGTATACTAAAAAAGACGTATTTTGTTTATAAAAATTTTGTAACAAAAAAAAATGGAAAAAAAATTCGAAAAAGTTGTATAATCCGAGGCCTGATGATATTCCAAATTTTGTAAATATTTAAAATTTTAATGACGCATTTTTAAAAAAAATTCTATTTTAATGATTCCAGGATCTAATTTAATTATCGATAATTGTCATTTTTATCAGAAATTGTTGCATTGGCTAAAAAATTATTTTTTTAAAATTGAATTTAGTATGTCCTAATTTAATGATTGATAATTTTTTATTTTATCAAAAATTGTTGTTTAGAAAATCTGTGAAATGTGACTTTATATTTAATTACAAAAGGAAATATAAAAAGAAAACTCACTTCTTCAATTTTCTCATCACCGGAACTCAATGGACTCAATGACATTCGATCATCGTCAAGTGATACAACAGCTTGAGATTCCTTACGCCGATCGTCATTGTCATCAACAGCTGGACTATAAATATCCAATAATGCCTCATCTTCACTCGAACTAATAACACTACCAAGTTCTTCATCAACTGGAAATGGATGAATATTATTCTCACGTATTTTTCGTCTCTCCTTTAATTTTTCCACAGCCTTTTCATGATGTGCTTTATAAATATCACCAGTTAAAAATGGACTTGGCGGTGTTGATAATAATTCCTCATCTGGTAATGATTTTTTTTCATCCTCTGAATCGCTACCAAATTGTAAAAATGGCGGTGCCATACCACCTGCTTTATCCTTTAATAACATGGCAATTCTTGTATCTAAATCAAGTGTTTTTCTTCCACTTTCAATTGGTGAATCACGTGGCGTTGTTTTCGGTGTATTTTGCATGTCCTTCTCTTTTTTAGGCGTAAATTGTTGTTTTGTTGATGTTGTTGTCACCGCAACGGTTGTCGTTGTTGTTGTCAATGTTGTAATTGGTGGAGGTTTATTGAGTTGTAAATTTGGACTATCAAGATGATGTTGCTGTTGTGGTGTCCAAACAGGCGTTGCCATTGAATTCTGATGATTCCACCACATAGTTGAATTTAAATTTGGCGATTGTGCGGCAACATTTGGTAAATAACTATTTGGATGATGATGATGATGAGGCGGTGGTGGTGGATGATGATGAGGATGATGAAAACCACCGTAAAAATAATCATAATTTGCCGGTGTTGAATTTTGTGAATAAGTGCCTGAATAATTTAATTCACTTGATGCTGTTGCATAGCCAAGATCACTACCAGCAGTACTGCTACCACCAGTTGGTGTTGGATAATCACGATATTTACCATAACGTGGTGTTTCAATGTAATCGCGTTTATTTTCCATTCCAATTGTCGATGACGATGTTGACGTTGTTGTTTGTTGTTGTTTTTTATCACTCACTGGCGGTACAATTTTTTCCAAAATAGGCGATGGCTTCTCCTGTTCGACATCAACTTTCATTATTACTTCTTTAACTTCAACACGTTTTTCAATTGTCATTTCGTCGTAAATTTTTTTACATTCCTCACCAAATGCATCGAGAAATACACGTAATACTTTACCCATTACTGAGGTGTTATTTAATTTTTCAACACATGCTTTTGATGCTTTTGTACTTTCAAAAACAACACGTGCAATGCCAAGATGTTTATTTGTCACTGGATGATAATAAATTGTAAGCTCTTCAATGGTACCAAATTTATGTACCATATCAGAGAGAAATGCACGATCAATATTGTCATTTAAATGACAAAATGTTACTTCCAATGGCGGTGGTTCGCCACAATAATTTTGATCGATTTTAAATCTTGGCACGGGTAAATCAAGTTGTTCAAGACGTGTCCATATTCTTGTTAATTGTGAACGTGGATCACGTGGTTGAACAATTGGTTGTGTTGGATCACCGGGTATAATGCCATCGTAACGATATAATTTTTGTGCACCTTTCACAAGAAAGGGATCAACTAATAGTTTATAATTACGAGGTTTTGGAGATAATTGTTGTTGAGATTGTGGTGGCTGTGATTGTTGCTGTTGCTGCGATGATGATGGTGGTGGTGGTTGTTGTTGTTGCTGTTGATGATGTTGTTGATTGCTCGAAATTTCTTTCGATGCATGTGATATTTGTCCATGATTGTGCTTTGAGGTATGACTCGATGAATTTTGTGACGACGACGATGATGAATTACTATGGGAATGATGATGATGATGGTGATGATGATGATGATGTGAATGCGAGTGCCCATGTCCATGTCCGTGACCATGTCCATGTCCATGACCATGTCCATGTCCATGTCTCTCCATACCGTTCATTGCCTCCAAGCATCATCCATTCATTTAAATAAATTCAGACTTTTTCCAGTCTTTTCTCTTTTTATTTTTATTTATATTCAAATATTAATTATTGAACACCATTTAAATCGTCAATTAATATTTATTGTCTTTTTTTTTTTTTTGAATCGTTGGCCAGTCTTGAAAAATGCTGAAAACATAAAAATAATGTATTTTTTATAACTGAAAATGATGAAAACTTTTTCAAATATTTTACATAATTTTTTTTGTTTTAATATAATTTAAATAATTAAACTATTATTATAAAAAAAAATAATTACTAATTATTCGAATATTAATTAAATAATTAAGAATAATAATTCTTAGACAAAATTTCTAAATTGAATTCAACGGTAAAAAATGAAATTTTCAAGGTTAATTTTGTGGAAATTATTCTAATTCAACTTTGAATGGCAAAATTATGAAAATAAATTCAGAAAAAGTTTTTCGAACATCAATTCATATGAAATGAAATATTTAAAAGAATTTTTGATTTAAAGTAAAAAATATAATAAACAAAAACAGTGAATAAAAAAAAAATCTCAAATATTAAATCATCAAAAACATTCGAAATTGTAAAACCAAAAAAATTTCAAAATTTTCTCAAAAAATGTAAAAATAAACCTTTAAACTAACAATAAAAAAAAGAAAACAATGACAATTTTTTCGAAAATCATCACAAATCTGCGAAAATTTGATGTTTACATCATTCAATATTTTGAGGTTATTTCGTTCATTAAATATATATATATATACGTATAGCATAAAAATCCATTAATTTTCAATAAAATTCTCGAGCAATTTTTGCATTAAAAAAAAAAACTCACAAAATTTACTTGTAACTTTATTGTTTAACAGCTAATAAAAAACAAATCACTATAAACAATATTCAAACAATGTTGTATAACAAATGTTAATTTAAAAAGTAAAATACTATTTTTGATTCTTTTTTTTAACAAAAAATAACATTCATTTAAACAAATAGAAAATTTATTTCTAATATAAAAATAATATCTATGAAATGAAAAATTAATTATCCCCTTATTGATAATAATAACATAAATGTATAAATTGTCTACATCCGGAAAATAACAACAAAAATGAAAAATCCAATCTCTATTTATATTAAATTCCAAAAGAACAAAAAAAAAATTAAACCTGTTATTGTAATGAACTTTTTTTTTACCCGATTTAATGATTTTTGACAACTAAAAAAGATAATAATGTGTAAAGAACATAACCTCAAAATATGTGAATTTTTTTTTTAAACTTATTACTCTCGTTTTATTATTTTTTTCAAGATTTTCGAACATATTCATTTGGAAATCTACTTCTTAATGATAAATAAATAAAAATAAAATTAAACATTTATTTGTTATATTAATATATACATATATATATATAATAAAAAATGATTGATAAATATCGAACTTGATTTTTATAGTTACGAATGTTTCTCTTGTCTGCTTTCGATTTTCTCGATTTCCTTTACACAGTTTCTATTATTTTTTATATTCACTTGTTGTAATGAATTTTTCCTCTCTATGTTAATGATAATCACTTTGCCCTTTTTTTTCTCAATGTTTTAATTTCACGAAAAGTCGGGAATCTTTTTTTTTATAATCGCAGCTGCCCTTCAACACACACGCCAGCGCATAAAAACCACCAACACACGAATCGTCGTATGTCTCGTCTAAGAAAAAAAAAAAAACACACGCACTGTGGATGAAAAACCATCTATTAATCAACAAGAGATTTTCCAAAGGTTTTTGAGAATATTCTCGTCGTCACTACTAATATTTAATCATCTAAACACACACAATAAATGAAACATTTTCACCATCCAAGTTTTAATTATCCGCGTAATTTAGAAAGAAAAAAAGTGAACACACTACTATTTCACGATGACGCCATTCTTGTTATAATATATAAATCCCATGAATTTTTCCGCGCCTGTTTTTTCGAAAAATAAAATCCCCCCAAAAATATGTTTTAAATGAAATAAAAATAAAAAATTTCCATACATTATTAATTTATCGTAATTTCGTGAAAGTTCTCTTAATTAATTAAATAAATTTGTATGTGTACGGAAACCATAGGAGAAATTCATTTGGAAACTAATTTCTTTTTGTTCTCGTAAAAGTATATTTCACCTTCTATTAGAAAAAATGATATTCTTAAATTACCGGCATGACATGTTGAACAAATTTTCATGAAATTTGCCATATTTCATTTGTGTGTATTAATTAAAAATTAAATTAAAGAAGAAAAAAAAATGACAATTACATTTTGATTGATAGTTGATTTGTCAATTGATGAAGAAATTCATTTTCTTTCAACCAATCAGAATCGAGGGTTAACAAGACAGTGTCGTCTGCTTTGATAATAGCGGGAGATTTTGAATTTTTTTCTTCAAATTACACTAAAGAAAAAAAGAAAACAGATAAATTATTCTTTTTCTTTCAATATAATTTTATTTATTAAAAAATTTTTAAAAACACAATTTTTTTTAAGAAATTATGTACAAAATATAAAGAGGGCATGAAAATATATTTGACTCAAGTGGTTGCGCACACGCATATAAAAATTCGTCTGCTAGTGTGCAAGTGAAATTTTTTCTTCTATTAAATTTGAAGAATATCTCCGGTGAATTTTTCACAATAAATAAAATAATTGTATTATTATTCCACTCTTTAAAATGGCGTTTATTCAAAATTTCTTCGATAGAATTATACCAGTTGTAAAAGCTGACGAAGGTGATGATGATGAACTCGTCGATCCCCAGAAAGTTCTTCGTGTAAGTCAAAAAATTATATAACTTTAAAAAAAAAAACATAAATTATTGTAAATATATATTTATATTTTAGACAAATATCAAATTTATTTTTCATTTTTTTTTTTAATTTTTAGATGTTTTTTTTATTTTATTATTTCATCAATAAATATATAATCGTTTGGAAAAATTTAGGTTATTTTTCCGTCTCTGATGTACAAATTGTAAAAAACAATTTACATTTGATAGTTTATTATATTTTATTTTCTTTTCTTTTTTCGTTATTTCTGAAATTAGTTTTAATTATTAATTTCAAGTTTGCAGTAAAATCGATATTTATGGCGATTTTATATTCGTATATTGAAAATTTGAGGTTATGTTTTTTTGAATAAAGAATTTTTCGTTTTAAATTAATTAAATAATTATAGATAAATAATTTTAATCGTAATTATTATGGTAAATTAATTATGGTTTGACTAAATATATTAATTTTAGTTTATTTTTTCATATATTTTTAATTATTAATAATTTTAAGATAATTTCAATTATTTCATTATATTTTTTAAATTTCAAAAATATTTGATTAAATATTTAAAAAAAAAAATAAATACAATTAATTTTATTAAATAAATTACATTAATTAATTTAATGAAAATTAATTTCAATTATTTAATTCAATATTTTGAAATTAGTTTCAAATAATTTGATTAAATATATATTTAAAAATAATTTCAATTTTATTTAATTGAAGATAAATTCAATTGTTTTAATATTAAAAATAATTTAAATATATTTTTTTACAGGAGACTTGTAGTCAACAAAAAAAATGCAGAGAATTACAAGATCGATTAACTACATGCAACGATCGAGTGAATTCCCGCAAGAATACTGAAGAAACTTGTATGGAGGAATTAGTTGATTTAGTCCAATGTGTTGATCATTGCGTGTCAAAAACTCTTTTTAGCAAATTAAAATAATTCTTTTTTTTTTAAACATTATATACATTAAAATTCTCATTCGCATGTAAAATCATAAAATTAGTTTAAATCTACCAAAAAAAAAGGAGACGGCAATGTTTTAAATGATTATAACAGTTAAATAAAAAATGTAAATGAATAAAATGTTTCTTTTTAATTAATTCTTAAAATAATAATAATCCTAGTAAATTTAATTCAACTTTTGTAAAATTTAATTAAATTTTTTTTTAATTTAAAAATTTTACAATTATAAGAATTGGTGATAAAAAAAATAAAACTCACTGCATTTAGTAACTTGATCCAATTTGTATAATTAATATTTGTGTGTATATAATAATATATATATATATTTTTTATATATTTATAAAGACATAAAATACTAAATATCGATATACATTTGTTTTTCATAAAATTAACTTCAACTTTGGAATGACAAAAAAAAAAAAGAAAAAATTCGCTGTATAAACTTTGATTATTCCAGTCTTTTTTTTTTTTAATGTTGAAATTATTCAGCACCAACTTGTAATACATCAAAACATACCGAACATACTCTCACTGGTTTATTTAGTCCAAATTTTAAAATCGGTACATCCTGACCTGAACATTTGCTGCACAAAATTCGTCCACAATGACGGCTGCAATATTAATTAAATAGAAAAATAAAAAAATTTCTTTTTTTTTCAAAAATAAATAAAATTTAGAAGAAATTTTTTAATACTTTTTTTTTAAACAAAAAAAACCTTAAATAAATAATTAATTTTCAAAAAGGTTTTAATTATCTTCTTGAAATAAAAAATATAAAATTTATACAAACCAGTGATGTTTTCGCATCGTTAAAGAAAATTTGGTACCACATTCCAAGCATAAATCTTTCTCCGCCCATGGCGCTTCTTGTGTCAATGAATCGAGTAAACGATGAAGTAATTGTTTAGTAGCCACTTGATAATTAAATATTGTTATTCCCTCTTTATTCATTGTTCCAAGGCACGCTCCGGATTTAACAAGAGTTCGACACAAATTTCCATTTCCTTTCATATAGGCAATCAATAGCGCTGTACTTCCATCTAAATCTATAAAAATTTACAAATTTAAAAAAAAATTACTCCCTTTTAAAATAAAATGCAAAATAATTAAATTTAAAAAATTGTTACCCTTTTTGGTAAAATTTAAAGAAATGAAAAAAATCAAGTAATTAAATTTATTAAATTTTATATTTCATTATTAAATGATATTAAATTTGAAAAAAACAAACCAGCATTGTTGAGAGGATAATTAGGCATACACTCGAGGAAAAGATCGCAAATTGTCGCTGCATTATCTCTTCCACATCGTGCCAATTCGTGAAGAGGATTTCGTCCCTTTAAATTCACAGCTTCGGCATTTAATGTACATTCTGTTAAAAGTGCTCTTACAACAGCAACATGTCCCTCTCTCACAGCGACATGTAATGCATTATCACCATCGGCATTGACCGCGTCGAAATTAACATTATTCTAAAGAAGTCAAAAAAAAAAATTTAATAATTTTCCCAAACTTAATCAGGGTAGTTACAAGTCATAGAAGTTAGGGAAAAATTTAAATCAAAAGTTTCAAATTATCCACAATTCAATTTTTCCAAATTTTTATTTGTCTAAAATTTAAAATTATTTAAAAAATTTTTTTACTTAACTTGCTAATTAATCGAATTTTAATTGACTTAAATTTAAAATACTTCAAAATTTTAATTGATTTGAGTTTAAAATTATTCAAATTTTCATTTATCAAAATTTCAATTTGTAAAAATTTTAATTTGTCAAAATTTTAATTGGCTGAAAATTTTAATTTGTCAAAATTTTAATTTCAACTTTCAAATTATCCGAATTTTAATTTATTCAAATTTTAATTAACTTAAATTTCAAATTAACCAAAAATTCAATTTGCCCAAATTTTTTAAACTATTAATTCTTCAATCATTAATATAAAAAAATAGTTCAATTAATAAAAATTTGAATAATTTTAATATTCTAATAAAATAATTATTTCATTATTTATCATTTTATTATTTTATTATTTAACACAAAGAAAAATTTAAAGATTTTTGAAATTAAAACAAAAATTTTTCAAAATTTTAATAAAAATGAAATTTTTGTAAAAAAAAAATTACCTGTAAAAGGGCGGATATAACAGGAGCGTTACCAGCTTTTGCAGCCGCATGTAATGCAGTATTTCTATGAGCATCCATATCATTAATTCTTGCACCAGCGAGCAATAAACTTCGTACTAGCATTTCATTTCCTGAAATTGCAGCCAAATGTAAGGGTGGCGTTTGCGTCACGTCCTGAACACGAGAATTCACATCCACCTGTAATTTAAAAAAACAAATTTTCTCATTTTATTCAATTTTTCTTCATAATTTTTTTTTTTCTGAGAAATTTCATTTTTCAAAAATCAATAAAACAAATAAAATTTTCAAATAATTAATTTATATAATTAATTTTTGAAATTAACAAAAAAAAAAAACAATTTAATTTTTCCCTTACCTGAATAGCGAGAAGAAATAAAATACTCTCCATATCATCTTTTTGTATAGCCATATGAAGAAAATTTCGCCCCTTATTATCAAATTGTTCGGCGGCTGTTGGTAATTTATCCAAAATAGATTCAGCTGCTTTATTATTACGCATTGTTAAGGCCGTTGCAAATGGACTCATTCCTTTTTTATCTCTTATTGTTAAATCAATATTTGGATGGCACAAGAGTAGAAAAATAATTTGTGAATGTTGATTATTTAATGCAAAATGCATTGGTGTTTTACCATCGCAATCGCGAGCATTAACATTTGCCCCATGTTCAACAAGTGTTTGTACAACTTTTTCCAATCCCCATTGACAACAAAGATGCAATGGTGAACATTGATCACGTGATTCTTCACCACCCGAGCCATCGGAACCCGGACGTCTCGGTGAATTTAAATCGCAACCACTTGTAAAAAAAAAAAAATTTACAATTTTTCCCGTAGTTTATTGTATATTATTGTAAATAACGATAATTTTTTTTTAATTTAGAAAAAAATTTACAATTAAATAAATATTTTACCTTCTAATGAGAAATTGTGAAATATCTTCTTTATTATCGTCAATGGCTTTATGAAGTAAAGTTTGTTGACATCCATCGGGTCCAGGACCCCAGCAATCAGTATCAGCGCCGTGTGCCACTAAAACTGAAGCCACATCCTCCTGATCTGATTCCAAAGCATCCCAAAGAGGACATCCCATTGATGTGTCTACACCTCGAACACAAAGTGCTTCGACAACTTCTCCAAGTCGACAATGAACACAAAGTTGTAAAGCCGTTTCTCCTTCCTCCGTTCTAAAATAAAAATTTCAAATTAAAAAATAATTTAAAATAATTGAATTCGTGAAGAATTTCATTAAAAATTATTTTTAAAAAAACGATAATTAATTTAGAGAAAAATTTATTAAATAAATCATACCTGGCATTAATATCAGCTCCATTTTCAAGTAAAAAAATTGCAGTCGCCGAATCCTCCTTTAAAATAGCCTGATGCAATAATGTCAATCCCTTTTCATTTCTCTGATTAATATCAGCGCCAGCTTTAATAAGAGTTAAAATAATATCCCTTGCTTTTTTCAATGAAACCTTAATAGCAAGACTCAATGGTGTTTCACCATTATGTTGATCCTTTAAATTAAGTTGTAATTGTGCATCTTTTGCCGATAACAATGCAACAACAACATTGTGATATAAATTAATAACAGCCAAATGAATTGGCGCTTCACCAGTTATTTTTGTAAATAAAGTCGTTGATAAATCTTTTTCCAATAGAATACGTGTTAATTGTTCTAATCCATTTTTACATGCCTCATGTAAACATGATAAACCCTCATTATTTGTTATAAATAAATTTTTATCATTACAATTTTCAACAAGAAATAAAGATGCCTCCTCTTGTTTTTCACGCGCTAAACAATGAAGTAATGTATCGTTTGTATTTTCATAAATTGGATTTGAATTTGCATTTTTTGCTAATATTTTCTCTGCTGATAATTTGGAAAATGGTTTTTTAAATAATGCAAAACTTAACGCTGTATGACCATCGTTTGTTGTTTTATTTAAATTTAATTCTTTTTTCTCTAGCAAAAGATCGAGTAATGCATCATTATCCTCGATGACACAATAATGTAGAGCCGTCCTATTAAAGTGAATAAATTTCATTAAAAAATTTTTTTGCAATTTTAAAAATTAGAAAAATAGTTTTCAAGGACAAGAAAAATTAAATAAAAATAAATAAATTCTCACCAGCCACGTTTATCCTGAAGATTTGGATTAATTCCAGTTTGCAATAATCGATTGGCAACCGCAATCATATCACTTGATTTATGTTTACTAATTAAATGAAGTGCAGTACATCCTTGAATATCATTTAATTCATTTTCACTTTCTTCAATTATATTCACTGATTCACTCAATTTCTGTGAATTTCCATTATTTTCCAGTTGTTCAACAATAAATTCAGCGGAATATGAATCGCCTTTTAAAATTGCCGATTGCAATAATGTCAATCCTCTTGAATCTTTTGAACTTAAATTTGCCTGATGTTCAACTAAAGTTCGTGCCAATGATGGTTGACGTGATTTTAATGCAACTTCCAATGCAGTTTCACCTTTTTGATCAACAACATTCACTGCTTTTGACAGCTAATGAAAAAAAAAATATATTTTTTTAAATTAAATAATTTTATAATCGAAAAATAATTTAATTTCTATTTAATTTAATTAATATTTATTTTCTATTATTATCTACATTAAAATTAATTATTTATTTGAAATTAAATTTTAAATTAAATTATAGAATAAATTATTTTATAATTTTAAAAAAATTGAAATAATTCATCTTTTTTTTTCTCGAAATTACAAAAAAGATAATTATTACGATTCCAATGTGTGTATGACAAATATTTCTGATTAGATTATTATTAGACTTAAAATTAAAACTAATTCTGAGTCATGTGCGTGATTTTTTTTTTTTTTTTTTTTTTTTGCCGATAGATATGAATTTCTCTAAAACAATGATTTATTTATACAAGATTCGGAGGATTAATTTTTTCTATAAAATAACTAGAAAATAAAATAGAACATTTTACACGCTTTGTGATCAAATACAACATTTCTATTCTTTCTTTCTCACTGACAAATATTCTCGGAAATAATAATAAAATTCTATAAATTAATATATCTCTTCCGTATTACATTTTCCGTACTACCGCATATTTATTTTCTCATTTCAAATGCAAATTTTTTTTTTTTATATTAAAAAAAGAAACTTTTTTTAAAATTTATAATAATAATAATAATAATAATAATAAATAAAAAAAATAATAATAATTTGGAGCAATTACAATAAAAATAAAAATTTAGATTGAATTGAAATTTGGATCGAATAAAATTTTATTTAATTAAAATTTGGATAAATTATTGAAAGTAATTTTTGAATTATTTTTTATCTCTGATTAAAATAATTTAAAAAAAAAGTATTTCCAACGAAATCATAGTAACACCCGTTAGATATAGGGCAACAAGAACGACAAGGTCAAATCTCAAAAAGGGATTCTCTCTAAAAAAAATATATTAAAATAAAATTCAGAGCAATTTTTATCGACGATAAATTAAACGTTCCATATATTTAAAAATTTCGGGAAAAAAAAATTTATAAATTTTTTTTTATATTAATTTAAATCATAAAAACTAATTTTATTTATCTATTATTTAAAAAATTAATTTTTTTTAGTTCTTTTTTTTTACAGAAAATTAATTTTTTTTTTAAATAAAAATAAAAATTTCTGTCTCTCAAATTTTCATATTATATTTTATATTCAAGAAACGAAAAAAGAAGGATGGGAGTTGTTTCTCGTCTCTTGGGAAGGGGGAAATGACGTGGCAGGCTATTGAAACATTGAGTCTTTATAGATGTATGTATACATATACAAACACAACGTGTGTGGTGTATTCACATCTCTCGGCAAACAGAAAAAAAAATTTATTATAAATTTATTTTTATTTTAAATTGTTTCTAAAAGAATCTATAAATTTTTCTTTTCTTTAAAAAAAAAAATAATTTCCGGAAACGTGTTTTATCATAAACAGACAAAAAAAAACAATTTTTTTTTTTGTTAAATGTGCTCCACATTTGACTCTCGCTTTTTAATTTGAGATACACACGTTCGATATATTATACATATATATGTAAATCAGGTCAAGTGCGTGTTATACTCGCTCGATTTTGTGGCAAAAATAAAAAAAAAACAAAAAAGTTTCTTCTCAATATTTAGAATTTTTCAATAAGTGTGTAAAAAAAACGTTCGTGTCTCAAGAATCCCAGAATTAATTTTTAGTAAATTTTTAAAATTGTGCAAAAGTGCTGAAATGTGAAATTTCAAATTATAATTTTCAATTTCAAGTAAATATAAACAATGATTTTAAAATAAAATTTCCAAATATTAAAGTGAATTCTCCATTTTTTTTTTTTAAATATAAAATTAAAAAAAAATTGTAAGAATATTGTAAATTAATTCCTTCATAAAATTATAATTAAAAATCAGATTCAATTATTTCAAGAATTAAATTGTAAATTATAAAAAAAATACAATTACATATTTTACAAATTTAATTTCTATATTAGAATAACACTTGTTTCAATTTCGATAAAAAAAAAATTTTTTTCCAAAAAACTTAATAATTATCAAGTAATTTTTTTGAAAATTGATAAATACAGAAATAAAAATAAAAAATAGAAATAAAATTTAATAATGAAAAAAATAAAACAATTAAAATTTCAGGACACATTGAATTCTACGAAAGGATTTGAAAAATTAAATTATGAGTGAAAATTAAAAAGGAAATGTAAAATGATTATACAATATGTTAACAAATAGGAGAATGGATTTGAATATTTTGAAATAGGGAGAGAAAGAGAGGGAAAGACGGCGGAAAAAACAATATGAAGTGAGAGAAGTTATAACGAAGACATGTGTTCATTCTAGTCATATACATTTATAAAGGAATGCAGTTTTACGGTGAACGCCTGTCACTTGATTATGTCTTTATAAATGACTCAACAAAGTGTTTATCAAACCTGCGCTGACTAAAAATCCAATAATAACAATAACGTTATTAATTATTTAAGCATGTGCTCAGTCAGTGACAATAATTGTGAAAATGAGACTCAAATATAAAATCATCATACCCTGCTTCCTACTTCTTTCAAGTGCGTTATTCAAAAATTTTTTCTCTTTTTCAAATTTTTTAATTACTAGAAAATAAAAATTTTCCTCGACAGTTAAATTTTTAAAAACAAAAATTAAAAGAAGTACTTTCAATATGGTAACTCGTAATTTTTGAATTTGTTTTTCTTTTTTTTTTAAATATTATCAATTTTTTAATTTTCATAACCGGAATTTGTAAATATTCAAAATTTAATTTTTTTTTCTGAGTGTAAATTATCGAATTTTCATTTTTTCCGTTTTTTTATTCCAATTTCAGTTGCAAATTTTGCCAAAGCTTATATCGAATGTTACAAATGTCCATTGGAGCCAGATGACAATCGAAAGGAATATGTCGATTGTCCGGCTTTCGATGGAAGTATCAAATTTAAAGTTCAATGTTATACATCGACATTTTGTGAGAAAAAAATTACACATCTAACAATTGCAAATGGAAGTAAGTTCGAATAACATTTTTCTAAACAAATATAAAAAAAAATATAAAAAATTTATATAATTAAAAATTGAATTCTTAAATTTAATTAGAAAAATCAGAAATACCAGAACATTTTTTGATTAAAAATGAAAATTGGAAATTTTTTTTTTTTTCTAAATTTGCAAAAAAATTTTTTGAATATATTTTCAGCGAAAATAACAAGAGTCGTTCATCGTGGATGTGCACCGCAAAATGATCCCGAACATTATCTTGAAAATAAACAATGGGAACTCAGGGATAATATTCAACGATATCTTTATGAACCAGGTTGTGTTCAGGATATTGATAAAAATTCACCAACTGGTCCAGCAACATATTGTTATTGTAGTACTCATTATTGCAATGGATTTTTATCATCTCATTTTATAAGCAAGTTTCATTCTTTTTTACTATTGGCATTAGTTACTTCATATTTATTATTATTATAGAAAAAAAAAAAATTTTCTAATTATTTTTCAATCACGAATATTTTTCATTTCGATTAAATCAACTTTCATCTCTAGACTAAGATTAAATTAATATTTTTCTACTTATAACCGAAGGAAAAAAAAATTTACATATTTTATTAAAAAAAAGAAATGTTTTTGACAAAAATTACGAGAAATAAAAATACCGTTTTTTTTCGAAAATTTAATATATAAATAAACCAAAGTTGGACTTGAATACTTAAATTTTACTGATAACAAACTTAAGCTGTGAATTATTTAATTTTAGAAAAAAATTTGCAAAGAAACATTTAATTTTCTTTTTTGTTAATGAGAAAGTAATAACAAAAAAATTAATTTAAAAAAAACAATTATTTTTCAATAATTAAATCAAATTAAATTATTTTTAATCTTAGGTATTATTATTATTATTCTCGTCATAGTAATATTTAATTATTTAAATTAGATAAATAATATTAAGAGTTAATTTGAAAAATTAACATTTCTAATAACCGAATTAAAATTAATTTTAACATAAAAATGTTAAAATTAATCAGCGAATTTCAAAAAAAAAATTTAACAAAAATTGTTGAATTTTCCTTTTCTATGTACACTGCAATTTACCAAGAAATTTAAGGCTGTTTATTCGAACACAAAAGCCAAAAAGTTGTGATAATGTCTATAGATTAGTTAACGAATTTGTTAAGTAGTCTCAGATAGAAATTACACGATTAATGTAATAAACATTCAATATGTTAAAATATTTATAAAATGTTCCATTAATAAAAAATATGAAAAAAAACACAACGAATTATGTATTACTAATATTGATATATTAAAATTAATAAAAAGAAACAATTATAGAAAAAAAAAATGATAGAAAAAAAGAAAGAAAAAAAAAGATGATGTAAAATAATTTTACATACCTCAGAATTATTTTCAACGAGATAAAGAAAAACAACATCTTCCCTCTGAAGACGAACTGCAGAATGCAAAGGATATTTGCTTTTTGTTTGTAATAATTGATATAAAAGTGCTCCTGGCATTTCCTTAAAATCTTCACCCGTTAAATCCTCCTGAAAAATTATTTTTCCATTTAATTTACCTTTTTTTCTCTTTTATTTTTATTCATTTATTAACGAAAAAAAATTGATAAATAGATAAAATAATAAATTGATAATTAAAAAAAAAAAAAAAAATTAACAAATTTTAAAAAGTACAAAAAAATAAAATAATTCTGAAAAGAAAAAAATTGAAATCATTTTTTTTACCCAATGGGCGGATATTAATGAACTGCAATGATCTCGTAATTTTCGTGTTCCCAATTCTTCGGCGACTGTATATAATGAAACACAATCTTTTAATTCAACTTTTCCAATTAAATATATTTCACATTTTTCAACTAATTCATTTAATTGAAAATTTGACGCCGCTTTCATTAAATCAAGTGTTAAATTTTCCTGTTGCACTAAATCCGTGTAAATCCATTTTAATAATACATTGCCAACATGTGAATCCAAATCTGTCCAATCTAAAGAAAAAATATGGATAAAAAAAATTATTTTTTATTCGAACAAAATAAATTAATTCAAATGAAATTTAAAAAAAAAAACATAAATTTGTAACTTACCAAGAACCGATTTTTCAGGAATTGATGACCAATAATCGCTTCGTGCGGAAAGAATAAATTTATGAGCTGGTACATCTCGATCTTTTAATTTTACAAGTAAATCACTAAAAAAAAAAAAGAAAATTAGATATTTTTATTTATTTTAATCACACTTTTATTTATTTATATTTAATAATAATATTTTAAATATTATCTATCAAAAAATATCCGAACGTAAATGGTAGATTTTTTTAACAAAATAAATTTAGTCAAAATTTAAAAAAAAAATTAGAAATTTCGAAATTTAGAGACAAAAAAAAATCTCAAAATATAAATTTTTTCGAAAAATAAGAGAAAAAATATAATGTAAATAGAAATTATTTTTTTAAATAAGAAAATTAAAAAAAAAAAAAAAATTTCTCACCTGTATTGCTGTTGAGAATAAAGTGAAGAAACAGCAGCAAGAAGTCTCCCAATAAATCCTGATTCCGTTTGCTCTCCTTGACCAGCAACGAGAGTCGCATATTTTTGTTGAAGTTCTGCATTTGCCGTGTAAAGTGTCAAATATTGTTCACGTAAAAGTGACAAATGTTGTTGCCACTTTTGCGATTCGATCGTGTCATCTAAATTTATGTCAAATACAATTTCTTTACAAATTATTTCACCCAAAAAAACAAATATTTTACAATAATTTACTCTTCCTACTAATATAATAAATAATAATAATAATAATAATAATAATAATAATAAATTAAAAATCACCACTTTCTATTCTATTTAAAAATATTTAAACTAAATAAATTAAAAACTTACCCATAATTCCACAATACGTTTTCACTCTATCCAAATACAAGAGATTATTCCACTAATTGTTTCCTTCTAACTTTTTTCATTGCAACAATTGAAACTGGTACATTTTTTTTTCTTTCTATTGTAACATATTTTTTTTTTTTCGATTAAAATTAATAATTTCACGTTTAAATGGCAATAATACACGCAAACAATATTTTTTTCCCGGCTTTCGTTATTAATTTGTTAAACACGCCTATCATGCAAAAGTCTCTTCCCACTTATTTGCGATATGCACTGAATATTATTATCTCTCTCTATTTCTTTCTCAATGAACTCGATTCAATTCATGCAGAGATTTTTTTATTTTCGATAAGAAAACACACATTAAAAAAAAAACAACAATCTATTAATTGACGTGAAATTGACAGAGGAAATATTTTGAGGTTATGTTTGACACTCGATATCTCGATTAATGATCGATTCGCCGCTCGATTTAAAAAACATTTTTTACATTTTTTTTTTTAAATAGTAATTTAATTGCATTATTATTTAATTTATTGAATTAACAATAAGTATGATTTTACCACGATTGAAATTATTTACAATGTTTACAATATTGCGAAGGAAAGAAAGAAATAAACAGATTTTGAAAAACAAATGTGTATGAAGTGAAGTTTGGTAACAGTAAACTCGTTCAAATGTGAAACCACCTTTATGTTTTGTCGTTTAGTTAAAGAAGTGTTATGATTGGTGGACACATTCGCTTTTTGACGAATCAAATTAAAAAAAGAAAAAAATTGGACACATTTCGAAAATTTGAATCAATTTGAATATAGACCATTGGATTTACTAGTTTTTGAGTTTTGGTTTTCCTAAATTCATGGAAAATTTTTTATTATTTTGAAAATAGTAATATTTTCAAACTAGAAAAAAATTTCTATGATGACTTTTTTTATATTTATCCACAAAATATTTTCAAATAAAATTAATGTATAAAATTTTGTTTTTAAAAAATGTTTTCATAAAAAAAAAATATATATAAAATTAGTATTTATTTTTTTTTAAAGTGGGGGAAAACGTATATCATATTGAATTAATAAAAATGATTTATATTAATTTCTATCTTTGTTACTTATCCCGCATCTTTTCCTGCCTATATATATATATACATATATACATGTATACAGTATACATCAATCGAGGCCCATTAATTATATTAAAGTACGTCCCCTCGCAGCTTTATTTCGATTTGAATCGTCAAGCCGAGTGAATCAAAAATTTCAATCTCTTATTTTTTCTATTTTTCTCTTATACAATAAAACAAAAAAATTAAAAATAAAAAAAAATAAAAATGAATTTGGATTCAGATGAAAATTTCCAAAAACAATTGGAAGATTTAACAAATTTTTTGGATTCTTATTGGATTTATGTAATTGGAATTGGAATTGGAATTTTAACAGCTATCAGGTATTAATTAAAATTATTAATTAATTGAAAAAAAATAAAAATAAATAAATAAAATTAATTTTTGCAATCATAATAATTTAATAATTTATTTATAAACGAGAATAAAATATAATAAAATAATAATAATAATTAATAATATATTATATTATTTATATTTTTTTATATTTATTAATAATAATAATAATAATAATAATAATAATAATAATAAATAATAATAATAATACAAAAACTTTAATAAATTAAAAATTTGGTGTTAAAACGAATATTTTCAAAAATAATTTTAAAAATACTGTTTGCGATAATTTTTGAAAATAAAAATGTTTTTTAATAATAATAATAATAATTTGAAGATCTTATATGGGTGGTTCTGAATGTCCATCGAAAGAGAGAATTGATGGAAAAATTGTAATAATTACCGGAGCTTCCAGTGCAATTGGAAAAGAAACCGCTTTAGAATTAGGAAAACGTGGAGGTCACATAATTCTTGCAGTGAGAGACATTAAGTCTGGTAATGAAGTGGCGAAAAAAATTAATTCCTTCTCAAATGGACATGCGGAAGTTAAATACATTGATCTCTCATCATTGAAAAGTGTTCAAGAATTTGTTGAAAATTTAGGTACAATTACATTATTTTTTTTTTTTACTAATTTTCTTTTAAATTTACTAACAAATTAATTTAATTAATAATACCATAATAATTATTTAATTAATAATTATTTCAATAATTATTATTTCACTAATAATTATTACTTGACCAATAATTATTATTTGAATAATAATTATTTAAAGAATAATTATTTTAAAAATTATTTAATTAACAATTATTCAAATAATAATTTATTTATTTTATTTTATTATTAATTAATATTAATTAATTAATAATTATTATTAATTTTATTTATTTATGTAAGCAATAAATTAATATTTTATAATATAAAAAATTCGCTTTTTCTTCCTTTACAGAAACTGAACGTGTTGATATTTTAATAAACAATGCGGGAATTGCATTTCATCCTTTTGAAAAAACAGAGGAAGGTTTTGAAATGCACTTTGTTACAAATTATCTCGGTTAGTAAATTTATTTTATTTACTAAAACAAAAAAAAAATTTCCTTAGAAATTAAATAAAAAAAATAAAAAAAAAAAAATAGAAAAAATTTAATGTTTTTTTTTTATAATTATTAGGTCATTTTCTTTTAACGCAATTACTTTTGAAAAAATTGCAAAAATCCGAACAAGGAAGAATAATTAATGTTTCCGCTCAAGCCCACTCAATTTCTACCATTGAATTTGATGATTTAAATCAAGAGACAAAATTCACATCTCGAGGTGCTTTTGCGCAAAGTAAATTGTTTCTTATTCTCATGTCTCGTCACATGAGTTCGCTATTGAAAGGTGAATAATAATTAATTTATAATATATTTTTTAATAATTGAAAATTTGTAAATTATTGAAAACTATAATTTAAAAAATATATATTAATTAGATAAAACAAATATTACCATCAATTCACTTGATCCTGGTCTCGTAAGAGGAACAAAACATGCGAGACGATCTTTAATAAATTCGACATTTTTTCTTAAAACAATACTTCAACCATTAATGTGGTTACTTCTTAAGAATCCAATGCAAGGAGCGCAAACTTCAATTTTTCTATCAGTCTCCTCTGAATTGTCAAATCAAACTGGAAAATACTTCAGGTACTGAATTAATTTCCTAAATAGAAATTAAAAAAAAAAAATTAATACGAAAATAATTATTTTCAGCGACTGTCAATTAAAAGAACCTGCGGAAAATGCAAGAAACGATTTCCTCGCTAAAGAATTGTATGAAAAATCGTTAAAACTCGTAAAAAATTACATAAATACGTAAAAAAAAATTGTAATTAAATAAAAATTCCGTAATTTCGAAAAAATGTCGTTTTACTTAAACAATTAAACAAAAAAAAATAATAATAATAAACTAACAAGAATAATATTTATACAATTACAAACATCAGTTGGCATTTAATTTCGTCCATTTTTCACTCGTTAACCAAAGCCACTTTGATATTTTTTCATCCTGTGCTTCTTTCGTTAAATCTGTCTTTCTTCCTTTACTGCAATAAAAAAAAAATCATCAAAAATTAACGCAGATTTTTGGTTTCTATTTTAAATTAATTGAATAGGGGAGAAAAAATCCCACAAACCTAAAATAACAACCAGTGACGTCTTTGAGATCATCGTGGATTGCTGTAGTCCAAACGGGAGTAGCTCCTTGTCGAGCTGATTGAATAAACATCCAAGTGAATGGTTTCACAAAAATTGAACTAATATAACTAGAATGATAACTCAAATGTCTATTAATTTCCGTATCGCTACTTCCTGGATAAACTGCATTCACTGTTACTCCAGTGCCTGAAAATTGAAAATATTTTCAATTTTCAAGAAGCAAAATTCGAGACAACAGGCAATTTTTATCCTAATCTAAATATTCCGTTTCCAGTTTCTTTTGCCCATTTTGGCAACAATTGCAATTTTTAACCTAATCTAAAAAATTTCGTTTCCAGTTCATTTTGCCCCATTTTTGGCAATTTAAAATTTTTATTAAATTCACCTTTCAATCTCTTCGCCAATTCTGTGGTAAATAAAATATTTGCAAGTTTACTTTGTCTATATGCTTCATCGGGATTATAATTTTTTTCACTATTTAAATCGTCGATTCTAATTTTTCCACGACTATAAGCAGCACTAGTGACATTAAGTATTCTCGATGGTGCCGATACTTTCAATGTATCGAGCAATAAATTTGTTAATAAAAAATGACCAATATAATTAACGCCCAATTGCATTTCAATGCCTTCTTTTGTTTTAGATTTTGGACAGCTCATTACGGCTGCGTTATTTATCAAAATATGCAATTCTTTGAATTCTGTAACAAACAATTACTAATATTATTAATTAATATAAAATTTTTAGACTGAAAATGATTTTTTTTCGTTACCTTCTTTGAAATTTTTTACAAATTTTCGAATACTTTCCTGTGATGCTAAATCACATTGTCGACAATAAATATATTTATTCATTGTTTCAAGAACAATTTCCTTGCGAACCTGAGAGAAAAAAATTTTTTTTTTTTTTATTAAGATTATAAAAAATTGTTTTAAATTAAAAATTAATTTAATATATTTTTAATTAAAAATAAGAAAAGAAAGAAATATTCTAAATATAATTTACAGTTTCACATTTATTCATGTCTCGACAAGCCATAATAATTTTTGCCTCTCGTGCTGCTAATGCTCTTGTTGTTTCTTTACCAATTCCCGAATTTGCACCAGTAACAATTATTACTTTGTTCTGTAATTTTTTTTCCTCTCCCTTGAATTCATATTCATTTATTCTGTCCCTTAAAATCCAATTTAAGATTTAAAAAATTAAATTAATTTAAAAAAAATGAATTAGCTAACTAATTTTTGCAGTCAAAATTTGCAAAATTAAAATTTTTTTTAAATCGATAGTGCCAATGAATATTTTTTTGTGGTTACAATGTAGATTTTTGTATATATATATTTTTCTTTCTTGTAATTTGATTACTTTTGTAACATTATTATTCAGATATCTATGTACTCAAAGGGCACAGCTCGTTTACAATTTCTAAATAAATAATTTAAATATTTAAAAAACTTACTTTAAAAGATAAATTACACCTGCAACTGTTGCAAATGCACTTCCAACGTATAAAGGACGTGGAATTTGCATTATTGTATTAGTTTAAAAATATTTAAATATTCAATTAACGAAACACTTTAAAATACTTTATTTCCTTATAAAATACATTTTCATACATAACTTTTAATTACTTTTTCTGTCATAATTATTAAAGTTAGGATAAATTCCGGTATATCGCCATGCGTTTTAATACCTAACCTAACCTGCATTTACATCTAACCTAACCTTAAATTGTATATATACTCAGTGGGTAAAGAACCTAACCTTAAATTCGGAATATATATACCCAGTGGATAATAAACATTATTCTAGAAACGTTTCTAAAACATTTTAGAACATGCTGAAACATGTCTACAAAAAGAAAGTTTTTAGAAAATTAAACATTCTTAACCCGTTCTTTTTACAGACAGGTTTCAGCATGTTCTAAAATATTTTAGAAACGGAACAAGAATTTTTTTTACCCACTGCCCACTGGGTATATATTATACAGAATCTGACAGTTGATTTGTTGATATAACTCGACATGATCAACAGGCTTGGAATCAATTGAATCTTGTTTTTTTTTTTAATATATACCAGATTTTACAAAGTGATAGATAATTATACTAAAAAAAAAAAAATCAAATCTCTCAAACAATGTTTCGTAGACTTGTCAGTTTTTTAAGATTTAATCAACGAAGAGCAATTACTTCTACCAGTTTTGAAGGTTATAAGGTGTGTATATCATGATTTTGCAAAAATTGTAAATATGCAAAAAAAAACATTTAAATAATAAAAATAAATATTACTAATTAATATTTATTTATTTAAAAAATTTTTGACAAAAATTAAGTTCATTAATTACATAATGTTAAAATAGAGAGGGGTGTTTAGCAGAATTAATAAATATTGTCAAATTGTTAATTTTAGAAAATACAAATATTCCGGAAAATTTTCGAAAAGAGAGAGAGAGAGAGAGTTTTTCTATGCAATAATTATATGTAATGTTACGTAAGAAACGTAGAAAACCTCGATAACCCATCCCTGGTGGAACAGGTGTTACTGAGGGTTATGTTCGACTGTATTAAATATATTTTTTATTTTTTACTAGAAACTTTATAAATATTTACTATCTATTTATATAAATAACATGAATAAATACTGCAACAATTAATTTATTAGAAAAAAAAAGATATTTTGTAGCATTTCTTTTTTCATTCAAAAAATAATAATTGCAGTTCAGTACTCATATACTTTGAACGTTAATTATTTAATAAGAGCTTAATTATCCAATAATATTACATAAATCGATTCAGAAATTATTAATTTTTACTTTCCAATAGCAATTTTACCAATATTTCAATTATTTTTTGCAATATATTGTCTCAAACCCAAACAAACCGAAACGTGACGGAGTTCAGTCAACTTCTCAAGTTCTCGGTTTTCACAATTCGCCAGGGAAGGTTAGGTTGGCGTAAGCGGAAATACAGATGAGGCGCGTAAATTTAAATATAAAAATAACAAGCGCAAGAAAAATAAAGAGTAAAAAGTGTAAAAAAAATTGTGAGAATTTACTTTAATTAATTAAAATAATATTAGGTAATGAACTCTTATAATTTTTCTTTTTTTAAAAAAAAGACTACAGTAGGTAAAAAATCGAGAATTTTTTACACATCTGGATCATTTTACGCTTTGAGTTTATGGAAAGCGAAAAAAACCGAAGAAAATGAATCCTCGATGACGACAAAAGAACTTTTAATTGCAAAAGCAGACGCCCTGTTCGAACAGGAGGAATATAAGCAAATTTATGATTTGCTTAGTGGTTTCAAGGTACATTTATAATATTAAGAAAAAATATTTTTTATAAAGCACACCGTTTTTAATAAAAAAAAAAAAAATGTTATACATTAGAATAGCAAAAATGTGGAAATTTTATGGAGATTAAGTCGAGCTATGTACAAAATGTCCCTTTCTGCAACCGATGTCGAGGGGAAAAAAATTATTTTCGAAGCATACAATATAATTTCCTCTGCTCTGGAAATTGATGAAAATAATTGGGCAGCTCAAAAATGGATGGCAATTATTCTCGATGCAAAAAGTGGTTTCGAGGGAATGAAATCTCGAATAAATCAATTGCACAATGTAAAAAAGCACATGATAGTAAGTTAATTACTATTATTATTATTATTTTATTATTATTATTATTATTGTTAAATATTTAATAATTTTGTACAGAAAGCCAGCGAATTGAATCCAAAAGATGCGACGACACTCTATTTAATAGGAAATTGGTGTTATCAAATTTCCGATTTAACTTGGTATCAAAGAAAAATAGCGTCGGCAATTTTTGGCCAACCACCAACATCAAGTTACGAAGAAGCTCTTATTTATTTTGAAAAAGCAGAAATTGTCGATCCTAATTTTTACAGTCAAAATCTTTTAATGATTGGCAAAACATTTTTGAAATTAAATAAAAAAGAAGATGCTCTTAAATATTTAAAATTGGCTTCAGAATTTTTAGCAAAAAATGATGAGGACCAACAAGCAAAACAGGAAGCACAAAAGTTACTTAACAGCATTTCATAATATTTTTTTTTTAATTTATCAAAAATCGGTGATTTTGGTTTAATTGGTGTATTAGTTATATACTTATTGTTATTTTATATATAGAATGTATATATATATATATTTTTATAAAGTTTCTCTAATGAAAAAAAAACAATAAATTTGTTTTAAAAAAAATTTTTTAAATGCGAATCTTAATATTAGAAAGGCAATGCAGGTTAATATATAATACAGTGTTTTCAATGGTTTTCTTCAAGGGAAAGTAAAATTTACATGTTATAATATAAATGGAGGTTGCAATTCTTATGATGAAACTATAATAATATACTGTAACTGTATAAACTGATGCATTTAAGAATGAATGAAAAAAAAACTGAAGACAGACATTTTTTTAATTTATATAAAACAAAAATAAAAATGAAAAACAAATTTAAAAATTTTTTTTTTCAAAATTTACTTTAAAAAAATAAAATATACGCTATTACTGCGAAAAAACAATTTTTTCCATTCTATCTGTGCTAATCGCATCTTTTATAATATTATTTTCTTTTTATTTAGGTAATATATATATATTCTTTCACTATATGGACACACCGCACCGGTAAATATGTCTTTCAACTTGAGTCAATCAGTAACCGATAGATTCTCGATGTGTCAAGACGTTAAAAAAATATTGTCTCAAAAATTATTTCCTAAATATTATTTTTTATTTTCTTATTTTTTATTTATTTATTATAAATTGTAAAACAATTGTTTTTTATTATTTACAAAAATTTATTGATAAAAAAGCTTATTTGGTGTTTTCATAATATACGAGTGTTAAGGTGCTTATTGTCTAAACATATTATTTATAATAATAATAATAATAATAATAATAATAATTTTATATTTGTTGTTATAAAACGCAATTAAAAAAAAATTTTTAATAATATTTTTTTTATAAGCAATTTGATAAAAAAAAAGTATATAATTAATATTATAATTATCAGGAACAAAAAAATTCCATGTTTTATTGCATAAAAAAAAAATAATAAAACTAAAAAGTATTTTTTTATCATTCACTTTACAGCTTCGAATTTATCCTTTAGGAAATGAATATATACAATAAACATTGTGAATGATTAATAAGATCACGTTGGCATTTGATTCGACTTTTATCACTTTCGGAATGTCGTTATTACACTCGTCTGACATAAAAGATTTTTCTTTCTTTTTTTTATTATTTTGTCTTTTAGCTTCAACAGTATCCGATTTTTAATTTAATTTTAATTTTTTTATCATTCTTTTGTATGAAAAACTTTTTTCAAAATTTTACTAGTTATTGAATTTTTAATTGATTTATTATTATTATTATTATTATTATTATTATTATTATTATTATTTATAATTTTATAAAAAAAAAATTTTTAATATTAAAAACATTTTAATATTCAAATTTAAATTAGAAAAATTTTCCTTTTCTTTAAAAAAATAGGTATCAAAAAATTGTCATGAACACTGAAATATCTAACAAAAACGCTCATCTCAAGAGCTGCTACTTCTTTGATATTTCGACGTAACCATATCATTATCATCGTAATCATATTGAAACGATTCCACGAAGAATGAATTTTCAAATTCTTGCCACGTGCAGTATTGTAAGTTTCTAATTTTAAAAAATTTTATTTTTATTTACTGATAAATAATACTTTTAGAAATAATTATAGAAAAATTTATAATTAATTTTTCGTAGTAATTACATATATATATATAATTATTATTTGAAAAAGGAAATTTCTTTTTTTTAATTATTCTTAATAAATCAATTGTAAAAATTGAAAACTATTAATTAAATTTACATTCACACAAATCGAAACAATAATCTTTAAAGTCTAGTATGGTCCCGCATGTCCGGAAGAAGCTATGAGACATCAATTTCCGGTCCCCATCTCTCCCAAGTAGATAATTCGCCCTTCACACACATTGTTCACTTAAAAAGATGCTTCGATGAAAAAAATTTGATTTTGTTTATTCACCTTCTGTTTTTCTTTTTTCTTTTTTAAAAAAAGGAGAAATACAGAAGTAATTAAAAAAAAAAATTTCAAAGAATTTTCTAAAATATTAAATTAAAATTCATCAAATTTGAAAAAAAAAATTTCTTTTTTTTCCTTTCTTTTTGACCTTCTGATTCTATAAGCTATATATAATTCTGAGAAAATATAGAGTTCGTTGTCCGAGTAATTTTTGCATAACAAGTGCCAATACACATTGCAAATATTCTCGTGTTCGTTTTCATCTTTACATCAGGATTTCAAAGCGTACATAATATCCTTTAATCTTTACCGCAGGAAAATTTTTTTTTTTTGTTTACAAATACTTTTTTTTAAAAACTTGTATTAAAAAAGTGTTATATTTTTTTCTTTTTTGAAATTAAAAAAAAATAGAAATATTATTAGAAAATTTTTATATTAAAGACAAAAGTGTAAATTCAATATTTTAAAAATAAAAGGTTTTACTCATTTAAATTATAATAAAAAAAACAACATATTTTGCATAAATTATAAATATATATAAGTACAGAGTTATTTTTAATTAATTAATTGTTTCTATTAATAAACTCAAAAATGTACTAATGATTCAATAATTGAAATGCATAAGTGATTTCGATGCAAGTCACGTGACACCAGGACCGATGATCAAATGCATTTTGCATAATTCAAGGCCTCAACAAGTTGATATAAGAGAATCTATAAAATTTACACACATTGACATTAACGACTCAATGTGAATATAATCAAAATGTGCATTTTCTTCATTTTTATACCCATAAATAACATATAATAATATTGCGGCAACATGACTGTAATTTTACATTACATTGTTTGAAAAATTCTTACTAAATATTGTAGCAAACTTTTAAAAACTACTAGGGACTATTAGGAACTATTAGATAACTACTAGGTAAATACTAGGTACTACTAGGGACTATTAGGAACTACTAGGAGCTACAAGGTAACTACTAGGTACTACTAGGGACTATTAGGAACTACTAGGAGCAACAAGGTAGCTACTAGGGACTACTAGGAACTACTAGGTAAATACTAGGAACTATTAGGGACTATTAGGAACTACTAGGAGCTACAAGGTAACTACTAGGAACTACTAGATAACTACTAGGGACTACTAGGAAAATACTAGGAACTACTAGGGACTATTAGGAACTACTAGGAGCTACAAGGTAACTACTAGGAACTACTAGATAACTACTAGGGACTACTAGGGACTACTAGGAACTACTAATGACTACTAGGAAATACTAGGTACTACTAGAGACTATTAGCAACTACAAGGTAACTACTGGGAATTACTAGGGACTACTACGAACTACTAAGGACTACTAGGAACTACTAGGGACTACTAGGTAAATACTAGTAACTACTAGGTACTACTAGGAACTACTTGGTAAATACTAGGAACTACTTGGTAAATAATAGGAACTACTAGGAGCTACAAGGTAACTACTAGGAACTACTAGGGACTACTAGGAACTACTAGGTAAATACTAGGAACTACTAGGGACTATTAGGAACTACTAGATAACTACTAGGGACTACTAGGAACTACTAGATAACTACTAGGGACTACTAGGAACTACTAGATAACTACTAGGGACTACTAGGAAATACTAGGAACTACTAGGGACTATTAGGAACTACTAGGAGCTACAAGGTAACTACTAGGAACTACTAGGGACTACTAGGAACTGCTAGGTAAATACTAGGAACTACTAGGGACTATTAGGAACTACTAGGAGCTACAAGGTAACTACTAGGAACTACTAGATAACTACTAGGGACTACTAATGACTACTAGGAAATACTAGGTACTACTAGGGACTATTAGAAACTACAAGGTAAATACTAGGGACTACTACGAACTACTAAGGACTACTAGGAACTACTAGGGACTACTTGGTAAATACTAGGAACTACTTGGTAAATACTAGGAACTACTAGGGACTATTAGGAACTACTAGGAGCTACAAGGTAACTACTAGGAACTACTAGGGACTACTAGGAACTACTAGGTAAATACTAGGAACTACTAGGGACTATTAGGAACTACTAGGAGCTACAAGGTAACTACTAGGAACTACTAGATAACTACTAGGGACTACTAATGACTACTAGGAAATACTAGGTACTACTAGGGACTATTAGGAACTACAAGGTAAATACTAGGGACTACTACGAACTACTAAGGACTACTAGGAACTACTAGCGACTACTAGGTAAATACTAGGGACTATTAGGAACTACTAGGAGCTACAAGGTAACTACTAGGAACTACTAGGGACTATTAGGTAACTACTAGGCACTACTAGGTAACTACTAAGGACATTTATGAACTACTAGGGACTTTAAGGACGTACTAGGGACTATTAGGAACTACTAGCGACTACTAGAAACTACTAGGAACAATTAAGTAACTACTAGGGACTACTATAAACTACTAGGAACAATTAAATAACTACTAGGGACTACTAGGAAATACTAGGGACTACTAGGAACTACTAGGTAACTACTACGGACTACTAGGGACTATTAGGAACTTCTAGGAGCTACAAGGTAATTACTAGGGACTACTAGAAGCTACAAGGAACAATTAAGTAACTTCTAGGAACTACTGGGGAATTACTAAGGACTACTGGGTACTTTTGTTTCATTTCCTTGCATTTTCCGAAACGAACAAACTTGATTAATATAACAGCAACGAAACCCTTTAATGGAATTAGCACTGCTTCTCCCATTAATTTTTTTTCTTAATTTTTTTTTGTTTTAGATTTTTGCATATACATCAGCTGCCATAATAGAAAAAAAATTATCTGCCGTAAATGTTAAACCAATCGAAGATTATAATGATTATGCTAAGGTTTTGGAACTTTCATTTCTATTTTACGAGGCTCAACGATCAGGAAAATTACCTTCTAATAATAGAATTTCCTGGCGCGGAGATTCTGCACTAAATGATAGTGGCATCAATGGAGAAGATCTCACCGGAGGCTATTATGATGGTTCATGAAATTAATTTTATTGTATATTTTATTAATTTTCAAAAAAGAATATGTCTGCTTATCATAATAATTTTCTTCTTATAATATTAATAAAGATAAGTGAAAAATAAAATAATAATTAACGAAAAAAAAAAAATTCTCCTTTCAGCCGGTGACTTTGTGAAATTTGGATTTACAATGGCATGGACAACAACACTTTTAGCATGGGGTGGTATTAGTTGGCCTGAAGCTTATTCGGCAGCTGGTCAACTGGATGAATTACGAATTGCTGTTAAATGGGCAACTGATTATTTCATTAAATGTCATGTTAATGAAACAACATTTTACGGACAGGTTGGCGATTTTTCACTTGATCATACATTTTGGGGTAGACCCGAAGATTTGAATACATCAAGACCTGCTTTTAAAATTGACACTGAACATCCAGGTAGTATTTTATATTTGAAAACAAATATAAAGGAAAAAATGACAAATAAGATTTTTTTGAATTTTATATTGATTTAGAAAAAAGAATAAGTGTTCTATTTATACAGGTTCTGATCTAGCTGGTGAAACTGCTTCAGCTTTAGCAGCCACGAGTATTCTTTTCAAAATTACAAATCCAGAATACAGTAAAAAATGCCTTCAGCATGCTCAAGAACTTTATAAATTTGCCACTGATTATCGAGGACTTTATCATCAATCAATAAAAGATGCAACACACTATTATGAGAGTACTGACTATGGCGATGAATTGGCATGGGCTGCTGTTTGGCTTTATAAAGCGACAAAAATGACAAATTATCTCGACGAGGCCGAATATTATTATCAACATTTTTATCTTAATGAAAGATCAAATTCTTTTTTTTATAATAAAAAATCTGCTGGTGTTCAGGTTTGTGTTTATAAATCTGAATAAATTTTTCAGACTCTGCATTAGAAATCTTTTGTATCAATTTTAAAATTAAATGATTTTTACAGATACTTCTGGCACAATTAACAGGACGTGATGTTTATAAAAATGCTGCAAAAGATTTTTGTCAATTTTCCATAAAACAACAGAAAAGAACACCAAAAGGTCTTCTTTATATTGAAAAATTTGGTACACTTTGTCACGCTGCCAATGTGGCTTTTGCATGTTTACAAGTTGCTGATATATTGGAAATTAAAAATTCACAAGAATATCGAGATTTTGCCAAGGAGCAAATCTCTTATATTCTCGGTAGTACAGGTGAATTGTTTCTTTATATTTTTTTTTATAGAATTTAGAACCAAACTAATGTAGAGTCGTTTTTAACCGTTTTTTTATCTTCTGAAGTATTAAATTCTTATTGTTGAGGACTAATTTCTTTTTTTTTTGTGTGATTTTAGGAAGGAGTTTTGTAGTTGGTTGGGGTAAAAATCCACCAACCCAACCAAATCACGAGGCTTCCTCTTGTCCCAATAAACCAGCACCTTGTGGTTGGTCGGAATTAGATCGGAAATCACCAAATCCTCAAATACTCTATGGTGCTCTAGTTTCAGGACCTGATGAACGAGATGAATTTGACGATAATCGACAAGACTATATTTACACCGACGTTACTTTAGATTGTAATGCAGGTTTCACGGGAAGTCTTGCCGGTTTGCTTCAACTTCGAGTAAAGCCAACCTCTTGATAAGAAAAAAAAAAAATTTTTTTTTCAAATATACATATATTCCTTAAATTCCGTCTATTATGAATCAGAAATATTTATACAATTTTAGGTGAAAAAAGGCATCAAATTGTATAAATACTCTCCTTCCGGTTTGATTTTGAATTAATTTTTGATTTCGAAAAGTCGTGACACTTCTATAATTTTATTAATTCATGCTGGTTTATATATTCGCCACGAACTAATAAAATAATTTACAAGTGTTATGACTTTTCAAAATGTACACAAAGACTTAAAAAAAAAGTCTGTATGAACATAAAGACTAATTTTTTTTAAAAAATTAAAAATCCATGTAATTTTTTTTTGAAACTTAAAATATGACACAAATTAAGTTACATTTATTATAAATTTAGTTTTAACAACTAGAAATGTGATAGTTAAGTTAAAAAAAATAGTTTTCCTAAAAAGTATATATAGTGAAGCAAGGAATTAAAAAGAAAAATGCATTTTGTGTTATTTCCTTAATATTACAAAAAAAAAACCTTCGGAAATTATTTTAAAGTCAGTATTTTTTAAATACCAAAGACATTAAAAATTAGATAATAAAATAAAAAAATAAATTGATAAAAACACAATTCTAGCTTCTACTATTTTATTATGTTAAATATAAAATTAGTCGCAATTACAATAATAGAAAGGATATCGTTTATTGTGAATTTTGTTAAATAGTCAATAAACTTTTTATACCTACAACTATAAAAAAAATATTCATTTTCATTTATAATTATTTTGTTTTTTTAAATAAATAAAAAATTTTAATTTTTTTTAGTTTGCACCAAAAGAATGTAAAATTTAAATATTTAGTTAAAATTTAATAATCTTGACATTTGAGTTTTATTATGAAATACATATCTTAAGTTACTTAAAATTGTTTGAAAAAATAACATCCTTTGTTTCTTCTCCAATTACTTCAATGACTGAATGCATTTAATTCAATTTCTTTAGTCGATTTTATCTATTTCGTTTTTTCTTCTGCCATCGTTCATTATGAATTGGAAATTTCGTTGTAAAAATTTTGTGAAAATATTTTTTTTATATACTCTCACAGTGTTTCCAACAAATCAAGAAACTTCAGGTAAATTTTTCTATTACTTTAATTTGAAAAAAGAAATTTAAAAAAAAATTTTTAATTTATAATTTTATAATTGTTTATTTATATTAAAAAAAAAATATATTTTTAGAAATTCTAAAAGTAGCAACAAGCTGCAAATCAGTTCGTTGCAATAAAGGATACTATTGTATGGTTAAAGTTTACAATTGCAGTTGGGGAGAAAGTAAGATAAGAACATTTTTTTTTTCTAAATCAATTCTCTGAAAAAATTGGTGAAAAAAAGGAATTTTGTAAATTTTATTTTAGACGCTTGGTTTTGATTTTAGAATAGTTTTAAATTAATTTAACGCGTCACGGCTCGGTTTGCGCTCGGTCTCCCCACTCTTGGTGCTTACCGCCGGCAACGCGTAGCCGCTCACTGTAGAAATAATTAAAATCGCTCTAAATCGTAAACGTTTATTCATAGACAATTGATGCAATGGACTTTTTTTCTCAATTTTTCACAGTGAATATGATTCCATAGAGATTTTTTTTAAATATCTTTTAAATTTTTGAATAGATTGTACGCAAAAGATAGCAAAATGCGTGATCGAGAAAGAATATTATGAAGCTACTGCTTCATGTGCAGATTTCCAATGTCCCGATGGACATAAATGTATTCTCAGAGAGTCACTATGCACCAGACAACCATGCAAAGTGTTAAAGAGTTGTGCTCGTAATTCTGGTATTGATGTAATTTAATTATTTTTTTTTTTTTTTTTGTTATTTTTATTAATTAATTTTTATTATTTTTACAATAAAAAGAACAAATTTTCAGCTGCTGACAATTGGTTCAGAAAATGTAAACAATTGGGTTGCACATCAGAATATGAATGTTTTATAAGAAGACCAACTGATAAGTGTGATAATAAAATTTGCAAACATATTCCTGATTGTATGCTACCACCTGGTATGGACAATTGAAAATTTTTATAAACAAATTCAAAGAAAAGCAAAAAAAAAAAAATAAAATTGATTATTAATTATTAGTAATAATTATTATTTGTTGGTATAATAATTATTTCTTATAAAAAATAAGTTTAATTGCAGAAAATGAGCTTAACAAGCATTGTAGAGGTTGGATTTGTCCATTAAAAATGGAATGTTTGGCACATATGATGGGACCCTGTCAAAGCAATGATTGTCAAATTTTTCGAACATGTCGTTCAACAGTGGTCAGTAAAAATTTTTAATGGTAAATAAAAAAAAAAATTCCACTATACAATATTTTGATCTTTAATCATACAAAAAAAAACAAATTAAATTTTAATTTAATAAAAAATAGTCATAATTATTTGTATTTCAGTCATCAAAGTCGAGATTTAAAACTTTACCAGACATTGAAAGAGAATGGTTTTATCAAGAAGAAGAAAAATGGAAAAAGCAGTCAATATTAACGACACCCATGTCAATTATAGATAAAGTACAAATTTTTTTTTTTTTTTGAAACCACGATAAGAAAATAATTTACGTTTTAATTTATAATTTATAATTTTATTTTTTAAATTAAAAAAAACGATTTGAGTGAAAAAAATTTATTTCTAGGTACCTGGTTATGATAGAAAAAAACAATTGTTTTTTAAACCAATTAACACTATTTCAAGGTACGTGGTATTATTAAATTTAAATATTAGAATTATTTATAAAATTTTGCTTTTATAAAAATATATGTTTTAGCATTCAGGATGATAATTTAGAAATTTTAAATAGGGCTCGTGTTATGCCCAATTCTCAAAGTGGAACATATAAAAATTCACCTTCAACATCTGTGTGGTTAAAATCATTAAAATCAAAATCAGGAATGGATGTTGTTAATTTTTGGTTAAAGGAAGCTGAGAAAAATCAACATAATTTGGTAAATTTTGAAAAAATTAAATTTTAGTAAATTTTTTTCTTCAAAGAAGATCGTTGTAGGTTGGTTAGCGTTCTTGGTTTGTGTGCGTCGAACCCGGGTTCGATCCCCTCATACCCCCAGTAAATTTTTCCGTCTAAATATATTAAGTTAATTTAAATATAATAATTAATAAAATGCAAAAACAATAATAAATCAATTTTATTATTATTATTATTATTATTTTTTGTTTATTTACAATAAATTTTGTATAAATTATATTTATTATTTTTTATTATTTTTTTTGCATGCTATTAATAATTTTTTTCAAATTAACTTAATATTACATGGAAAAAATTATTGAAGGTATGAGGAATCGAACCCTGGTTCAATGCACACAAATCGAGAACGCTAAGCAACCGACTACGATCTTGTTTGAAGAAAAAAAATTCTTTTTTTCGAATTTAAACTTTAAAAATAATAAAATAATATAAAAATAGTAACTTTTTTCACAATAATGACAAAAAAAATTGTCATTTCAAAGGAATTTCACGAGTGGCTTGAATCAATACGAGAAACATTAGGTCCAGAAAAATATCGAATTTGGTTAGAGAACGTTCGATCGCAAACTTCTCATAGTAAAAAATTTCAAGATTGGCTTCCAATTCCACTTCCAATTGAAAATAACTACAATCAAAATTTGAATCAATATAATGATTTTGAATCGAAAATCAATGATATGGAGGGGGAAATTCTTTCAGTTTTTCCAAAAACACGTTTAGACGATACATTTGAGGTTAGGTTATTATAATAATTATGAATTTATTATAAAATTTTCATTGTTATTATTTTAATAAATTAATAATTTTATTCTAGATTCTAGAAAATGGGGATATTTTAACAACAATGAAACCAGTGGAAAAATTTTCCAATTTTAATAATTCCATAAATACTTCTGAGGTAAATTTTTCTTTTACTGTAAAATTGTGAATTATTAGAAAAAAAATAAAATTTTTTTAAATGTTTATCAAAAATTTATATTATAAGAAATAAAATTCTATATTTTTGTTTTCATTTTATATTTAAATAATTTATATTTTAGATGGGAAATAATTCGATAATTCCAACATTTATCATTATTCAAACGTTGCCAAATGAACTAACGCCGAGTATTTCAAACCCACAAATGTTTAATCATCAAATTCTAGGTAAATATTTGGATAAAAAAAATTTTTTGAAACCTTTAATCATTAATAACGACAAAAACAATTTTTTTAAATTAATTTTAATTAAAACTATATTTTTTAATAAATCGATATTTTTGCCAAAAAAAAAAATTTAGATTTTCAAAATTCAAAATCAGAAGAATTTTTTAACTTTCAAATTTTTAAAATTTTCATATCTAAAAAAATTTAAATAAAAATTACTAAAGAATTAAAAAATAATTTTTTCAGATCCAACCAACAATAAAAAATTTCAACCTAAATTTCGTAATTTTAGAACACCATTTCCAACATATCAATATTTACCAAAAAATGACTATCATCAACAAATAAAATCGTCTTCACAATTTTTGCCTTGGTTCAATTTATTAAATTATTCGCCTAACGATCAATCCACGACAACACAATTAAATCAAAATTTAATACCCGAAAATTATTTACAAAATTTTCTACTTCCCCTACAAGATCAAAAATCAATAATTTATTGGTATCATCCGGCTTTTGGTTATATTAATTTACATCCGCAATACGACATCAATAATAATTATGATGATGAGTCAATTGATGATAAAAATAATTATTTTCAAAGAAAAGACAAATTTCATTCTCGTCGACGAATAAATTGGGGGGAATTTTTTAAAAATAGAAATAAAAATAATTTTCCAAAAAATTCAAGAAGAAAAGAATTGTTAGATAAACAAAATTTTGAAATTGACAATGACAATAAAAATGAAGAGGAAGAAATTCAATTTTTAAAAAAAATTCTTCAAGAAATTCTCGATTATAATTTTGAAGAAAAAATTCTCGATGAAAATGAAAATAAAAATTCACGTGACAGTGAAAAAATAATGAGAAACGAAAAACATGAAAAAAAGAAAAAAATTCATAAAAATGAAAGGAAAAAGGAAATTGAAAGTGAAAATAAAAAAGAAAATGAACAAGAAAATGAAAATGAAAATGCAAAAGACAATGAGAAAGAAAAAACAAAGAAACAAGAAAGAAAAAAACAAAATAAAAAATCTAAAAAAAAAGAAAACGAAAAAAATGAAAAAGAAATTGAAAATAATTCAGATGATGTTTTAATGGAGACTTTATTTAATATGATTAAAGAACAACTAAGCAATAATCAAGATAATGTAATTTTTTTTAATTCAATTTTTAAATAGCAATTAATTAACAACAATTAAAAATTAAAAATTATTAATTATTACTTATTATTAATTAACAAAGTGTTGATAAATAATAAAAGTTAATCAATTATATAATAAATAATTAATAATTAATTTATTATAATTAATAAAATAATAAATAATTAGGTAATAATAAATTAAAAAATATTAATTAAGAAAAAAATTAAAAATATTTTTTATAGGTGACAAATCTACAATTAGAAATGCTACTGGATGAAGTGGGAAAAAATGAAAATGACACACAATTGTTAACAGACGAATTTGAGAAATTTTTAGAAAATTTTGAAAATCCAGAAGAAGGTAAGAAAAATTATTTATTTTCATTGTCAATTATTAAAAATTTTAATATTTTTAAATTTTTTCAAAATGACGATAAAAATAAATAATTTTACTAATAAAAAAAAAAGTTAAAAATTAAAAAAGCAATTACAAGAAAAATGATAAATAATAAAAGTTAATGAAATTAAAAAACAAATCGAATGTAAAAATTGTAATATTTATGTTTTGTTCAGAAAAATTTCTTCGACAAATTTTATCTATAGTTTTGATAATAATGAGTCATTATAAAAGCGGTTTTTACAAATTTTTTTCTTTCTTCATAGTAAATATTGAATCAGTACGTTTATAACAATAATTTTTATCTATACTTCCTAATGATTTTAAATTATTTTTTTATGTCAATTCAAATTTTAATACAAAAAAACTTACACAATATAAAATTTTAATCATTTTATTTCAATAATAACGATAAAATAATATTTTACTGATAAAAAAGAACTTAAAATCATCTTTTTAATAATACGACAATTTCTGACACGTTTTACTTTTGTTTTTTTTTTTTAATTATGTTTTTCTTTAATTGCTTTTTTTACATTAAACAAATTTTTTTTTTTATTTTTTGTAAAATGAATTTATAAAAAATAACGAAGTATAAAAAAAATTTTCAATATTGAAAATATGAAATAAATTTTTTTTTTTAAATTTAACAAAGCAATTAAAAAAACAAAAAAATTATAAATAAATTGAAGTAATGAAAATAAAAAACAAATCGAATGTAAAAATTGTAGGGTCAGACCATTATAAATTTCGACCAAATTATTTATCTTGTTTTGTTTTTTTCTGATGAGGATACAGAATACTGTGTCGAAACGCGTAAAATTTTGATGTAATTAAATAAATATAAGCCAATAGGCCACAAAATTAAAAAGACATCTTCTCTCTATTAAAAATGGCTTAAAATAAGGAAGTATTTACTTCATACATTTTTTTAATTTAATAATTCCACTTAATTGTAATTAACTGATAAAAATCGAAAAATTAGGTTATTTGACAGACTAACTTTAAAGACATTATTTTATCCATTATTTTAATTTTTTCACTAATTTAATCATTAGAAAATAATAAATCAATCATAACGAATCAGTATTGCAAGTATCAATTTTTTTTTTAAATTAGGCCGCAACGACTTTGGTCGAAATATAATGGTCTGACCCATATGTAATATTTATGTTTTGTTCAAAAAAATTTCTTCGACAAATTTTATCTAGTTTTGATAATAATGAGTCATTATAAAGCGGTTTTTACAAATTTTTTTCTTTCTTCATAGTAAATATTGAATCAGTACGTTTATAACAATAAATTTTATTTATACTTCCTAATGATTTTAAATTATTTTTTTATGTCAATTCAAATTTTAATACAACAAAAAATTACACAATATACAATTTTAATTATTTTATTTCAATAATAATAAAATAATATTTTACTGATAAAAAAGAACTTAAAATCAACTTTTTAATAATACGAAAATTTCTGACACGTTTTACTTTTGTTTTTTTTTTAATTATGTTTTTCTATAATTGCTTTTTTTACATTAAAAAAAAAATTTTTTTTTTTATTTTTTGTAATATGAATTTATAAAAAATAACGAAGTATAAAAAAAATTTTCAATATTGAAAATATGAAATAATTTTTTTTTTTGAATTTAACAAAGCAATTAAAAAAAAATATTATAAATAAATTGAAGTAATGAAAATAAAAAACAAATCGAATGTAAAAATTGTAATATTTATGTTTTGCTCGAAAAATGTTATCTACTTTTAATACTCATTCATTGAATTCATTCATTAGATTTTAATTTATCTCTTTTTTTTTAGAGTAAATATTGAATCAGTTTATAACCATATTATCTATACTTTATAATGACTTTCAATTATTTTTTATGTTAATTCACATTTTTACAGAAACTGACGATGACACTTGAATATCATCTGTAGGCGTATATCAAAAAATAAAAATCCAAAAATTGTACATTAATTAACTATCAAAATAAATAAAAAAAAATAAAAAATATTTTTTTTTAATAGAAACACAAATTCAATGAAAAAACTAAAATATTTTGTCAAAATATTTATTTTGGAAAAAAATTACATAAAAAAAAAAATTACAAAAAAAAAAAATTACGCAATAAAATTTTAGTCTTTTCGATACAAATATTTGCAATTTTTTTTTTATATAAATAAATTTTTTGACGAAATCACATGACCTTAAGTTAATTAAATTTCTTACTATTAAGCAAAATTAATTAAAATACTTGTACACTAAATTATAAATTAAGAATTCAAAAATTATACATAAAGATATTTTTGTCTTTCCTCATCGAGTAATGTTAAAAAAAAAAAAAAAAAAAATTAAACAATTGTTATTTCAGTTCGCGCAGTGAGACAGAAAAAAATGTAAAATTAAATTAGGAATTATAAAAAAAAAATAATATTTGCGGAAAGTAATGAAAAAAAAAAAAAAAAAAATGATGAAATAATAAATTGTAAATTCCAATTTGTAAGATGTAAAAAAATCATCAGGTGTAAATTACGTAAATATTTATTAAAGATTTCTGTTCCTTTGTGAAAAGATACCATGACGTAACAATTGTATGTGGGGAGCTTCCCAATCACGATATTATTCATTCATTTAATCGTTCATTGGATTTTCATACAGTTATCAATTTATTGGTATACCCCTCCCCCCCTCTTACAATTTTTCTAGAATCCGTAAACTATTATAAAAAGTGGCGTTTCTTAGCAAGAAGCACTAATCAAAGTTTGAATATTTACATGAACTGATATCAAGAATTGTGAGACTCTCTACGGAAATAATATATTCAAGGTGAGATAAAAATATTATATTAAAAAAAAAAAATCAATATTTTTTTGGGTAATAAAATTTATTTAAATTAATTTTAAAAAAAAAATTGTAACAGAAATAAAAAAATAAATAATCACTAAATAAAAATTTATATTTACAATAAAAAAAAATTTAAAGCGCATTTTTGAAAATAGTAATCTCGTTACTAAAAGAAGATTTCTATGTTTTTCTCCTAAAGATTTTTAATTAAATATTGTATTATTAAAAAAAAATTTTTAAAACTGAAAAAAATTTATATAATAAACTTTTTTACTATTATCTTTTATATTTATTATTTTAAAATTAAATAATTGTTAATACCTTTATCTCTAAAAAAAAAACCTTTGCATTTTTTAACTTCTTTTTCATTTACTAACATTTGTTTACTTTTTTAAAAAAATCAATTAAATTTTCAATTAATTTTTTAAGTTAAATTTAATTTTAAGAAAAAAAAAATTTATGATTGGTGACTTTAATAAAACAAAATATTATAGGTATAAAATTTGGAAAAAAACGTATAATAATTTTTAGAGATAAAAATTTTTTTAAATTCCCTAACAGGAAAAACAGTGTTAAATAATTATCAATAGCCATTGATAATATTTAACACTTTATATTTTAACTTCAAGGCTCCAATAATTATACAGTATTTTCAACTCTTGTATAAAGATAATTGTACATTTATATATAGTAATTATTGTTTTCTCAATAGTTTCTTTGACTTGTTTATGGATTTTATTGAAAATTTCCCAATTATTCGAATACTATTGTTATTATTAATAATGTTTGAATTATTTCTCGAATTTTCTGTACTATTTTAAAATTTATGATACTTTTATTTTTTTTATTATTATTTTTTTTTTTTAAAATAAAAGCACGAGTGAAAATTAATTTATCAAAAGTTATCAATTTAGTTGTAACAGTATTTTTCACTTTTTTTTTCTCCATGTTAGTAATTTAGTTTCATGAATAATTCTGAGAGAGAATTCTCAAAGCTTTTACAGGGCTCTTTATTACAATTTGAATGTACATATATTTATCAGGTAATTCTGTATAAAAATTCCCGGTTAAAAAATAAAAATTATAATTTTATTCACTCTTAAAATTTGAAAAAAAAAACTTAAAACTTTGGTTAATTATTGATAATAAATTCAATGAAATTTTAACTCAAAAATAGTAGTGTTTGTTTTAACAAATTTTTAGTGTCATTTTCAAATTTCTTAAAACTTTGTCAGATTTTTTATTTTGAATTTCATTTTAAAAAATGAAACAATGCATTAAAATTCCCTATATAAAAAAAATTAATTAAAATTTTGTAAAGGAATAAAAAAAAAAAATTTTTAATTAACTATTTTCTACGCAATTTTTATTTAAATGAGTTAAAATTTAGGGAATTTGTTACTTTCATATAGAAGTAAAAGTTACCAAAATTTTAAGCGAAACAAAAAATATTTTATCTTTCAATTTGAACGTTTGACAAAGAATGTCCCATATATATGGGTGTATTCTCTCAGATATGCAGATGAAAAATGTTAAAATTGGCCATGAAATTGGTCATTCCTCTCGTTTCCATGTGACACATTCTATTATTATTTTTTTTTACTTTAACTAAAAAAAAACACGTGTAATTTACTAATAAAAAGAGAGGGGTGGGGGGAATTTTTGAAGTCAAAGATCCCTGCGACAATAATCATTTTGTCAGTTGATTATTGAAGTTCTTGGTGTCAGGTACTTACCTGGCAGTATAGAGACTACAATATTTCTTTAAAAAAATTTCAATTTTTACAAAGACAAAAAAAATTTTCAAATTAAAAAAAAACAATTGAAAATCAACAAAGGTTAGAAATTTTTAAGTTATACAAAAATTTTTTAATAATTTTTTCTACACTCTTTTTAAAAAATTATTTTATTTAAAAAATTTTTAATTACTATAATATTATAAACTAAAAAAAACAAATTTATTTGATTCAAATAATTGGTTATTTGACTATTATCAAATAAATATTTATCTGTGTCAAATACATAAATTATTGGTTCAAATACAATTAATTTAATTCACATTTTTAATAAAAAAAAAAAAATAAAAGTAGTGGGTTACAATTTTTCATTAATGGCAAAAAATTAACGAAAACTATTATTAATTTATTATTAATAATATAAAAAATAAATTTAACGAAAAATATTATTTGTTTTTTGTTTAATTACTTTATAAATAAAATCAATTAAAATTAATAATAATAATTGAAATGAAAATAAAAAAAAAAAAATTTTTTTTTTCTCCATAAATATAGATGGATTGCAACCGTAATTGTCCCTTGACAACTAACAATTTGAGTAGTCCAACATTGGCATCAACATGTGGTGGAGCAACATTTTTACTATTTATGGGAATTTTGGAGCAATATCTTCGAAGAAAATGTGACCTCGAAGATCCATGCGGACGTGTATCGTCACGCAATTTTCATGATGAAAGGTTAGACAAAATTTTATCACAAAAGATTTTTTTTTTTTTTCATTCATACTATATATTCGCGTTTTAAAAAGAAATGTTAATTTCATTTATCACAGAATGAAATAAAAAAGAGGAAAAAAAAATTAACATAAACTAATGGTAAAATTCAGTTCTCAAATATTTGTTACAAGGGTACATTATCTATATATATATATATATATATATATGTATGTATATACAGTTATACATATACATATATCTTATTTGCATATCACTTGTATTTCAAATTTATTCATAACAACAAAATTCAAGTGCTATTTAAAAATTTATCTTTCGATTTTTTTGCCATTTATTTTTTATTAATTTAATTTAATAATTAAAATAATAATTATAAAATTATTTGAAAACAATTATAAAAAAAACTTTGTATAAAAAAATTATTAAATTATTTTTTTTAAATAGTAACAAAAATAAAAAAATTATAGGAAAACTTAAAAATAATTTTTCAACTAAAAATTTCTATTATAAAACAAAAGAAAAAAAAAAGAGACAAAACGAAAAATAACAAAAACAATGGCAATAAAAATATAATTTTAATAATTAACAAACAATATTGACAATGACAATAATAGTTTTTTTTTTTTTTTTAATTATATACTATTATAGTTTGACCATTATAATTATTATTCTTGAAATATTTATTTTTATGAAAAAAAAAGAAAACTAATTTTTTGTTTACATAATATTTTTATAGTTATGACTTTATTGTTATTGGAGGAGGAAGTGCCGGTTCTGCGGTTGCAGCGAGGTTATCAGAAGAAAAATGTTTTTCAGTATTACTTTTGGAGGCTGGTTTAGATGAACCAGCATGGTCACAAGTGCCATCATTTTTTTTCAATTATTTACATTCCGATATGGATTGGCAATATACAACAGAAACCGAAGAAAATGCATGTCTCAATAAAAAAGATCAAAAATGCTACTGGGGAAGAGGAAAGGTTCGTTTTTTTTCTTTCACAAAAGAAATTAAAAAAAAAAATAACAAAAAATTTAGCAGATAAAACAAAAATTCAAAATTTTTTAAAGATTTTGTTAAGAATAATTTGCTTTTTTAAGGTCCTTGGTGGAACGAGTGTAATGAATGGAATGATGTACATGAGAGGATCCCATAAAGATTATGACAATTGGGCAAAATTGGGTAACAAAGGATGGTCCTATCGTGATGTTCTTCCTTATTTTAAAAAAAGTGAAAATAATTTACAACTCGATAAAGTCGATCCCGGATATCATGGCACTGGTGGACCAATTTCTGTAACTCAATTTAATCATCATTTTCCAATTAGTTACGATATTCTTCAAGCTGGTAAAGAAATGGGTGAGTAATTTTTTTTAAATTTTTATTAATTTCAAAAAAAAGAATGTTTTTTATTCCCCAATTTTTAAAAAACAGGTTACAATACCGGTGATTTAAATGGAAGAAATCACACTGGATTTATGATTGCTCAAACAAATTCATTTCAAGGATCACGATTATCAAGTGCACGTGCTTTTGTTCGACCAGCTCGTAATCGTCCAAATTTTCACGTTATGCTCAATTCAACGGTGACAAAAATTATTTTTGATAATAATAAAAAAGCAGTGGCTGTTGAATTTAACAAGGATGGAAAATTACATAAAGTTGGCGTTAAGAAAGAAGTGGTCGTTAGTGGAGGTAATTTTAACAAATTTTTTTCAATTACTGTATTTTTTTTTTTGAAAATTAATTTTTTTTTAATTTTCAGGAGCTGTTAATTCACCACAAATACTATTGAACAGTGGAATTGGTCCAAAAGAAGAATTAAAGGAAGTTAATGTTCCAGTGGTACATGATCTTCCAGGTGTTGGTAAAAATTTACATAATCATGTTTCCTTTTCTCTCACGTTCACTATTAATGAACCTAATAACAATACATTAAATTGGGCCTCTGCTATGGACTATTTGATTAATGGAAAGGGGCCTATGTCGGGAACAGGTGAGAATCAAAATTTAACTAAAATTATTCCCATCTAAAATCTTTAACCCCAACCGATTTTAGAAACTCACTAAAAAAAACTAAAAATCCCACCGCTGTCACCAAAAAATTGGATTTATCAAAAGTTTCCAACGGAAAGTACTTTTTATGGTTGGTTTTTTCTAATTTTGAATCAGTAACTCTTCTAATTGGGTACGACTGATACGAAATCTTTGAAAAATGAAAATCTTTCGTATCAGTCGTACCCAATTAGAAGAATTACTGATTCAAAATCAGAAAAAACCAACCATAAAAAGTACTTTCCGTTGGAAACTTTTGATAAATCCAATTTTTTGGTGACAGCGGTGGGATTTCGTTTTTTTTTTTTTTGGATACAATTATAAATGAATAAATCATTTTCAGGAATTTCGGAAGTAACAGGAATGATAAACACAAAATACGCAAATCCACAAGAGGATCATCCGGATATACAATTGATTTTCGGTGGTTATTTAGCAGCTTGCTCTGAAAGTGGAGTAGTGACTGAAAATTCAGACTCACCACGAGAAATTGGTATCTATCCAACGGTTCTTCATCCAAAAAGTAAAGGATACCTTCGTTTAAGAAATAACGATCCCCTCTCGAAACCAATGATTTATCCAAAATATTTTTCTCATCCCGACGATATTGGTGCTCTAGTTGAGGGTATTAAATTTGCCATAAAATTGACTGAAACCGATGCTCTTAAAAAGTGAGTTCTATTAAGAATTTTTTTCTAATCAATAAACTCTTGATTCTTATTTTATTAATGATTATTAAAAAAAAAAAAATTACAGATACAACGTGACACTTGACAAGACGCCAGTGAAAAATTGTGAACAATTGGAATTTGGAAGTGATTCATATTGGGAATGTGCAGTGAAGTATAATACAAATCCAGAAAATCATCAAGCCGGTTCTTGTAAAATGGGTCCTGACACTGATCCATTGGCAGTTGTTGATAATGAATTGAGAGTTAAAGGAGTACAAGGGGTTCGTGTTGCTGACACAAGTATAATGCCTAATGTTATTTCCGGTAATACACATGCTCCAGCTGTGATGATTGGCGAAAGAGCGGCAGATTTTATCAAAAAATGTTATAAAAATCAATGTAAACAGTACGATAATGATTTTTATCATCATTATTATTTCCAACATCATCATTTTCAATATTATCCACATAATTCTCAAAATCATCCAAATAATTTCCAACATTATCCATATTAACAACAGTATTATATTGTAAGATTTAGATATAATATTGAAGATTTTATTTTTAACTATATAATTAAGACAAGAGTGAATTTTATTACGACTATACTTACGTATTTGTGATTTTATATCTAGTAAATAATAAAAATTTACTAAAAAAAAATTGTATTATTTATTTCTAATTAAACTTGTCCTCCTGGTTTGATTCCAAAGTTAATTAATAATTTTTTTTTATTTTTTTCCAAATAATCCTGACATGATGCATTTTAATTGTAAAGAAAGAAGCAATGAAGAAAGAATAAAAGGTTGTTTTATATTAATGGTGAATAACAAAATGAGCTTAACTGCTTAATAATAATCTAAATTCGGCTACTACTTTTCTAGTAAACAAAATTTTGTCATAATTCTCGTCAACTACCGCACTCTGCTCTAGTGAAAATTTAGTAACTTTTAATTTTAACTATAAAGGTTGGTTTCCATTGTCCCCACTCGCCATATTTGTCATAATTCTCGATACCGCAATCTGCTCTAGTAAAAATTTATTAACTTTATAGTAACATTTAATTTTAACATTAAAGTCACTAAATTTTTACTAGAGCAGAGTGCGGTAGTTGACCGAGAATTATGACAACTTTGATATCTTTCCCATACTTCATAAACTAATAAAATAATTATAGAATTGTCACGACTTTTTAAAATGTCATCAAACCGGAAAGACCGCATTTATGCAATTGGCTGTTTGGCATCAAATTCAAATTTCAAATAAATTACTTAACTGTTAAAAGTTTTCTCAAATATTTTTTATTTCCGAAAAATTTTTATTTTCCAAATTAAAATCAAACCAAACTTTGGAATCTAAAAGATGAAATAAATCAAAAAAAATAATAATTTTATACATCACAATAAGCCATTAATGCTCAAATATTTATAAATTAAAAATTTTTTTTACACATTTGAGCGTTAATGAACAAAATTTTAGGAATACTTGTTTTTTTCAGTCAATTTGTAATTTTCTAAATGATCCATCGAGTCCAAATAAGTCATTATATGTTTTTGGTTTTCCTGGCCGTTGAGCCTCATCTGCTTTCAGTGAATCATGTTCCTTAAACCATGTTTCATATTCTTCTAATCTTTTTATCCATTCGTCTAAAAATAATATCCCCCCCGCAAATAGAAATAAAAATTATTCATTAAAAATATAATTTAAAAAAAAATATTTAGCCAATATTATTTCCATATTACCAAAAATTGTTTGTATTGGACCAGCTTTGCCTCCATATTCATTGGGTAGCATTTCTTTAGGAATACATTTATAAAGTGTATCCATTGTACTGTGTACAAATATTCGTTTACGAATTTTTTCCTTAAGAAATGGTTTCACAAAATTAATAATATTATCAACTAATGGACTGACATTAATAACATGAACCTCCTTTAATTTAACAGGATATGCTTCTTGAACACAGATGAGAAATTTTTTTACAAGCGCTGGTGTAAATTTGGCAAAATGATTTGGTGTCACAACATTGGCGTCTAATATATAAACATCACCAGCAACACCGACAATTTCATCTTTCAGTCTTACATCACCAATCATTAATACCAATTTCATTGCTTCGGCAACATTTGGCGTTGGACGATTTTTATCCATTCCTCTCATTACAATTACACGGCGTCCATTTTCCGTTAGTCCAGGTAGTGGAGGTACTTGACTGGAAATATTTTTTTTTTTCAATTTATATACAATACAATTTAGGATAAATTAAAAAAAAAAATTTACTTTCATTTTTTCCAGCTAATCCTGACATGGTGCATTTCAATTTTGAAGAAAGAAACAGTGAAGAATGAAAAAAAGTTTGTTTTATATTAATGATGAATAATAAGTTTTTGCTTACTGAAAATTTTTCAGATAAACAAAGCCTTTGAAAATAAACAAAAAATTTTTACAATGTGCAACAAAAAAAAAAAACATTCTTAAAAAAAAAAAATAGAAATTTAATAAATTTACTTACACAGCTGAAAGTACTTCTTTCATGTTTGAACTCGAAACACTTCTGTTGTTAAAAAATTCTGGTATATGTGTTCGCATTGTAAAATACATGTCCAATTTTCTTTTACATTTTTCTAAAGAAAATTTACATCCCCGTAGAAATGTCATTATTAAATTGTCATCCGCTTCTAAAATATTTAAAAAAAAATTTAGTTACAATAAATTTTATCGAAATGGGAAAATCAATGAAAGCAAAGTCATTTCTACATGAATAATTCATGATTTTTTTCTCTCAACATTTTAAAATCTAATTTTAATTACTGAGAAAAAAAATGTTAATTTTTTATATTAAAACATTGTTTAAAAAAAAAAATTTTAATTCCTTCTGCTTGAATATATAATTTTCAAAATTACTTTTCATTTCTTTATGTGCATTTATTGTATTTGATAAGGAAATCAAAACAGGTTTCTCATTATTTAATCTATGATTTACGATTGTCTTGAGAGTAATTACGTTTCCTGAATCAATTTTATAGACAATTTATTTATAAAAAAAAAATATATATATATATAAACGAGAATTTTTTAGGAAGATCATAAAATTTGAAAAATAAAAAGTGCTATTCGAAAAAAATTAGTTATAAAAAAAAATTTAATATGCAAAAATTAAAAATTTTCGTATATAAATATAAAATAATAATTTTAAATTATTTTTTTGTTTTAAATAATTTTTATAGTGACCATTTAAATTAGGTAAATGAGGTTGTTTGGCTAGCCATTCCTTTATAGTTTCCAAATCTTTGTCTCGAGTTTCTACATTTTCATTTAACTCCTGCCTAATCGTCTTGGACATTTCCTCAGTTGGATGAATTAGCAACATCTAAAATTGACAATAATTTTATTACTAAAAATATAAATATATTTATTTATTTTTTTATTTTATATTACTTACTTATTTATTTGTGACATAGGAAATAGAAAAAATGTTAATTTTGTTTTTTTAATGGTAATAGTTTCATATTAATATCGATTTTAATGCAACGCATTGTGCGCGGCTCATCTAAAAGAGTGGGGAGAAAAACTTCTCTCCCCACTCCGCAACTCTAGCCGTATAATAAAAATAATAAATTATTATTATTATTATTAGTTTTTAATTATTATTAATTATTATTATTATATAAATAAAATTAAAATAAAATAAAATAAATAATAATAAAATAAAATTAATATGAATAAATAAAAAAAATGTTAGAAATGACAAAAAGTTAACAAAAGACGAAAAAAAAATTTTAATTACAATAATACAAAGTATTTTGAAATTGTGGTTGACGTAATTATAAAATATTGTTTAAGACTTCAGTTAAGACGATTAAAAGAATAATATATGTGACAGTCCCCGAGAGAAGGGACCTTAGCTCACCAAAACGAATTTCACAGGGCAAGCGTTTGAAGAAGAAGCAGAAACGCGGAACTCGAAGAGTGGGGCGGAACTTCTGAAAAGTCCCCCCACCACACTAACACAACGTTGTGTTTCTGTATACGTGAGCTTCGTCTACTTCGTGTATCTTCGGGTCTCACGTACGCGAAGCTCACGTACGCGAGAGTATAGTTGTGTAAGTAAAGTAGTGGGGCTGATTTCTTGAGTGCCACAATCCGCCTTGAAATGCGCTTGACATACCCATCTTCAAAATGTTATTGTGTCAAAAGCAATTATCCTAATCAGTTTTTGACTTTTGCATGTGAAAAAGCAATTCAAAATCTATCATTTACCATATAAAACTCAATATTGACCTCTGGTGAGCTAAGGTCCCTTCTCTCGGGGACTGTCACATATGTTGAAATAGTATATGTATGTATGTGATTTTTTTTTATTATTTTAATGATGCGCTTCATTGCATTTAAATTTTTTAAAAAAAAGTTATTTTTGCCCTGAACTCAAAATATATTTATGTCAAGAATTATAAAAAAAGAGTAACATTAATAATTTTTTAAAAAATTCAAATAAATAATTCAAATTTATTGAAAATTATTAATATAAATAATTAAAAAAGAAAATAATTTTTTAAATTATTATTGGCAATTAATTAATTAAAATAGAATTAAATAATTATTGCAATTAATTATTTCATTTTAATTAATTAATTAAAAATAGTACAAAAAAACAATTTTTTTTAAATAACTATTGAAAAAAATGGTTTATCTTGATAAAAATAAATAAAAATTGAATTAAAAGTTTAAATATTTAATTTAAATTAATTATAAATGGAATGCAATTTTTTCTAATTAATTTTGAGCAATGCAACATAATGTGAGCACTATATGGATCAAAGATCAAGATATTACATCTACTTTTATGAGAAATTAATGGGGCCTCTTGCTTCATCAAAACTTTCTCTCTCTCGAAACGTCATGGTCCTGGTTGTGATTCTGATGTGGTGAATTTGATACCATAAGACTAAACTTCATATTAAAATAAAAATAAATAAAAAAAAAAATTTTTTTTTTTTTGAAAGTACCACCCCCCTCTTTTTTACTCAATGATCCTTCAATTTCTTTTTTTTTTTTTTAAATTCAGCAGAAAAAAAATTGAACTTGATTCGGTAAATCTAAAGATATTTTTCTCTTCATGTACTTTCACTTTTACACTTAAACTTTAAGTAATGGCGCAGTATGTATTATATTCAAAAAACGAATTTCAAATAAAATTAATTAATTAAAATAAATAATTGAGAATAAAATTTTTTTTTGTTTTCTTTTTTTAACTAAACATAATTTTGACAAAATTTTTTTTACAAATTTTATTTTTATCTACCAATAGGAATCGCTTAGAAAAATAAATTCAAAATTTCTTCTAGAATAACAAAATTTTTAAAACAATAAAAACTAACAGATATTATTTTACTTATGGTATTTTTTTTTATATTTTAAAAAAAGGAAATAGTATTGTTCCAGAATTTTACAGAAATACGATTGAAATTATTGAGAAAAAATATTGATTAAAAACAAACTAAAATAATTAATAAAAATTAATAATAACAAAAAATAATAAGAAATTAATGATAAATAATAAATAATAATAATAATAATAATAATAATAATTTGTGAAAGAAACACGTGCCATTTAATGCAACTGTCAAACTCAAATAATTATTGTAATAATAAATTTTTATAAAATAATAATTTTTAATTATAATATATAATATATAAATATATAATATATAATATTATATATTATATATATAATATATATAATATATATAATATAATATATAATATATAATATATAATATATAATATATAAAACAATAAATTCTAACTTTTTCCGGTGCTTTCCGTTGTTTTTTTTTTTTTTTTTTTTAATTAATGTTATTGTTTAAATAAAATACAAATAAATAAAATTCTAAATAAATACATGTAAATAAAATACGATAATAAATATTAAAATTGCCAAAAAAAATATTCACACTTATTTTTTAAAAATTAATAGAAAAATTTATCAATAAAAAATAATTTTTTTTTAAATGTTGCATTAAATAAATTTCAATATTTAAAAAAAAATATTAAAAAAACAAATAAATTACTAAATTAAATATTAAATATGTAAATTTTTCATTAACTTAAAATATAAAATTAATATTGTTATTAAAAAAAGGAGAAAGAGTAAAAAAAATAAATAATTTTTTTTACTGATGTTTTTCTCTTATAAAAAATAATAAAAGTTACCTTGGTTAAATTTGTGATTGTTAATGAATGACAATATTGCGTGAATAACACACAATTATATTGTTTTGAATGAGAGAGAGAAGTAAAGGAAAAATAGTCACTGTATATGCACGAATATATAAAGTTGCACTGACACACGATTCGCGTAATGATCAAATAACTATAAAGACGCAAAGAGTTGGAGAACGTTCTTTTGTATATAAAATAAAGTGGGAAACGTAATTTCTTGGACCGGTTCCCCTTATATCTGAGTAGTGTGTGATCAATATTTTCCCCACTATCGAAAAATGTGCAATACACATTTATTTATATATATATATATACACATTAAATAAAAATAAATCCGTCTATATAGGAAATTTCAAAATCGAAATACTAATTTCTTTTTTCTAGTTAAAAGTATTAACAAAAAAAGCCAATAAATTATTTCACAATAATGCAATACGCACGAATTTTATCTATAGAAAATCTATTTTATTCACGCACATTATTCACCCACATTAGAAATAATTAAACAAAAACTGTTACAGTTATAAAAGAATTTTTTTCTTATCAATATTATTTCGAAAGTAGATAGAGTGGTATTAATAAAATTGAAAAAAATTGAAATCTATTGCCTTTTATTAAACATAAAAAAGCCAATGGAAAAAAAATAATTTTTTTTTATTTTTAAATTTTCAAAAAAATTTTTTTAATTTTTTCAAAAAATAAAAATTTGAAAATTGTTAAAAATTAAAATTTTCTTTTTTATGTTTTTAGGACCAAAATATTCATTAAATTTCTTTTATTATTAAATGGTAATGTAAATAAATTGTTATAGAAATTTCTAGTAAAAAAAAACCAAGTAAATAACATTTTTTTTTGTTCTGTACACATAAAAGTATGTTTTATATTTTTCAATGTTGGTACATACCCGCAGAATGGCAAGGGAAATTAAATTTTTCTCCAATGAAATACCTTTTTTTTTATATATATTAATTTATACTCTATTTTTGCAAAATAGTTATACAGGTTAACCACAATATTAGAATTAACAAAGAAAATAATAATAATAATAATAATAATAATAATAATAATAATAAAATTTTATAATTTTTATCAAATATAAAAAAATAATTTAAAAAAATAATAAAAAAATAAATAATGATAATTATTTATAAATATAAATAAAGAAAAAATTTTAAAAAATAAATAATAATAAAAATTTGTAAGTTTTACTCAAAATTTTATAAAATTCATTAAAATATAGAGTACAAATTTCTAAATAAATTATTAATTTATCGGCATTGGACCGTATATTCTTGTTCATTATTTATACATATTTCAATTAAACAATTTTTACGCGATGTCTTGCGTTTTATAAAGCGTAATCAAGATCACGATTTTATACGATTGCAACATAATTTTGCTAGAAATTACGAAAGTAATTCGTGTGTACATTTCAGGTATAAATTCAACTCCAGACCGTGTTTTTTTTTGTACAATTATTATTATTGGAAATTGTTTTCCGGTGAAAATGAACAAAAAAAAATTATAATTATGTAATATTTTTTAAATTATAACATAATAAAAAAAATAAAATAAAAAATACTAAAAAAAAAATTTTTAAATAAATATTTTTAAAATAAATTTTAATATTTACTTTATTTAGTATTCACAAAATTTATTTCCAAATTTATAAATAATATTTTTATAATAACTAAAAATATTTTAAAAAATACTTATTTATTTTATTTAAATAAATATTTTAAATTTTAATTAATTTTTGTACTCTTTTTTCATAGACGCTCATACCAAAGAATTTATAAATACATTAAATCATATTAAGGGTTCAAGTTAAAAACTTCATAATGCAATTTTTAATAATAATAATTATATTGGTAAAAAATTAAACATCAAATTTTTTTCATTCTTGTTTTATTAAACTTTAATTTTTTTTCCTTTTTTTCACAGAATTCAAAAAAAAGTTAATGTTCGTCAACAAAATATTTGTTTCATAAATTAAAAACATGAAATATGTTATTAATTGTGAAAAATAAATTTTTAAAAATTAGAAATAAAAAAAATTGAACTAAATAAAAAATATAAATTTACTGAAAAAAATTAAAATTGTTTGAAAAAAAAGAAAAACCAAAAAAAAAACTTTCATGAAAAAAAGCAAATTAAATAGAAAGTTTTTAGAATTAAAAAAGTAAGAGAGCGATGAAGGACGTTGAAACGCTAATTACAATGGTCGATGTTTGTTTTGAGAAAAATGATGCCTTTGAAAGAGCTGCAATTTTTTCTGACTCATTTTTTCCATTTGTAATATTGTTCTACGTGGAAAAAAAAATTTTTTAATTATTTTTTTTTTTCAATTCTATTTTAATGTATTTAATTAATTAAAAATTTTATTCAATAAAATTATATTAATACCATAAAATTTTCTTCTTTAAATTCAATTTGTTCATTAATTTTGTTATCAATTTTAATTTTTTCATCACTCTTAGTCTCAGTAGTTGATTTTATTTCCTTAAAATTTAAAATAATTATTAATAAATAAAATTAAAAAATGTTCCATAAATTATTATTAATTTTTATTAATTAATTAATTATTATAAAAATTTAATTTCAAAAAACATTTAATAATTATTTATTGTAAAAGTAAAAAATTTCTTTAAATAAAAATTGTACCATATTTTAAATAGAAAATAATACTCAACTATTGTTGTTTTTATATCGTTGACAATATTGGTCGTGACTTTAGTATCATTAATAATTATTTTTTCAACATCCGTTGAATTATTCTCAATAATCACTTTTCTTAATTTCTTAAAATAAAATAATAATTTAAATAAAATTTTCAAATAAAAATTATGTTTATATAATAAACATCGAAAATACGTTATATGAATTTAAGATAAACATAACCTCAAACTAAAAATTAATTTTATCACCAAATGAAATTATACTTAAAATTAATTTTACTAAATTTTGAAACATCCATTTGTAAAATTTTCAAAAAAAAAAATAATTAATTTTAGTAAATATTTGTTCTATTTGATAATAAAATCATTTTTTAGTTTTGAGGTTATGTCAAGGTATTGAAACGTCTTAATATACTCAACAGTTGTTTTGTTATTTTTAATACTCTCAACAGTAGTTAAATCCATGAATTTGTTATCAATTCTATTTGTAGTAGCAATTTCCGAAATATTATTCTCAAGTGATTTTTCCTTAAAAAAAAAAAAGCAAATAATTTTAGCGTTATAGACATGCGCAAAAGCATTGTGAGAACTTTAGGCATGCGCAGAAACATTCTCAGAACTTGAAGACATGCGCAAATGTAATTTTTGTACGTTTAGAAAAAAATATCTCTTAAAGAAAAAATTAAATTTTAAATATACTCAACAGTCAAATTCGCCGAATTATTGACACCTGAAACATTATTTTCCAAAGCCGAGAAACTATTTAATTCCTAAAAATCGTAAAATTTTTTATAAGAATTTTTAATATTCAAAAATAATATACCTAGTTTAGGCAAAAAAATATTATTAAAATTTACCAAATTTTTCAAAGTACTCACTGGAATTTTAGTAGTAACAGTAATCGAGACATTGTTAGCAGTTGAATTATTAATTTCGTTTTTGGCAGAAGGATTTGTAATCTCATCATTAGTTGCATTGTTAACTAGAGTCGTACTTTCCACCTTAAATTAAAAATTTACTTAAGAAAATTAATTTTTTTTACTTAATTTTTGTAATTTGTCTGATATTTAAACTTTGGACATGCGCAAAAGCGAGAATTAATTTTTCAGAAATGCGCAGAAGCTATGAACATACTACGAACATGCGCAAAAGTTCTATCGATACTTATGACATGCGTAGAAGCGATTCAGGCATGCGCAGAAACGTTTTATGTCCTTGAGACATGCGCAGAATATCCCAACCGTTAGCAAAAGCTCTAAAGCCATTTAAAATAAAAAAAGAAGCGCAGAAATTGTATAAAAAATCATTTTTCTCATTTATAAACGTACTAATAGTATTTAATTTAAAAATTATTAAATTTTACCCTTCTTTCAGAATCTTCATTTTTAGCAGTTCTTTTAAAAACTTTCTTTTTAAGATTCAATTTTTCATTAGTGGACTCCATTTTACACCAATTTCCTTTGCAATCAGATGCAACTCGTTTAACTAAATGTGGAATATCCCAAATTGAATTTGCTTCATGAAAATATTTCGAACCAGGACCACGTGCAAAAAATGGAACCACTTTTCTTTCTCGAGAGCAAGTACCTGACACAAGTAACAATGTATCGAATCCAGATACCTATTAAAATTTATTAATTTAAATTTTAATACAAATAACGCTGAAAAAATTATTTTTTAATTTTCCTATAAAATAAAAATATAGAAATTTTTTTTGTTTACCCTATATTTTAAATAATCAATAGCCTCCGCTAATTCATTGACAGGTGAAAAGGCAATAAAAATAAAATTTTCATCATAAGACAATGATTTTATTTTTCCAATAGTGTCTTTAACTAATTCCAATAAATTTCCATTAAGATCTTCATCATTTTTTTCATTACCAATAAACAAGGAATTTAGCCATTTTTTATAAAAGGCAATTCTTAACATTGAAAATGATGAAAAAAATTTCGTTAATTCTTCATCTAAAAGTAGAGAAAAAGAGCAACAAAAATTTTTTATTTTTAAAATAAAAAAAAAAAAGGTTTTTTGTAAAATTCATTACCTCCTGCAAACGTATGGGAAATAGTTTTCTCTTTAGTCAAATCCAATAATTGCCAATTATTTTCTAATGCGGACTGTTCGCCAAATAGTACTTTGCGAAAAATTGAAGACTCTCTCGCAAGTAAAGGTGGAATTGTGGAATTCAAATTTAAAGATGCAAAAATTCCTGTATATTAAAAAAAATTCGAATTAAAATTGATAAAAAAAAATAAATGAAAGATTTGAACTGAATTAAACAAATTAACTCTGATGACTGCCTTTTTATATTAAGTAGAAAAGAATATCTTAATTGTGAGAGAGAATAAGTGCGCCACCTACGAGTAATCGCTCAAAGTACGATACAATGCGCATAACGCGGTAATATTTGAAATATTATATATAAATTAATTATGAAATTACCAAAAGTTTCGACAATTTTTTTAAATTTTTCTTTTGTTTCATCACTGGACATTATAAGTTTTGCCCAATTACTCCAGCCCAATAAATTTCTAACATTTTTTTGTAAAAAATTTTGACAATCACATTCTAATAAATCGTCTGAATTCATGCTCTCCTCAAGTGGAAATCTACTAAATTTTTTCTCATTCTGACAATTCTAAAAATTAATTCTTTTTAATTATTAATAATAATAATAAACAATTTCTAGTAACAATTTTTAAAAATAAAAATAAATTTTTAACAAACAAAAAAAGATATAGTTGTCTTTGAGCCAAACAAATATTTTTGTTTCAAATAAATTTTATTTGCGCTAAATAAAATGTTAATAAAAAATGAAAAATAAAATAATGAAAATATGGAAAAAAAAAAATTAAAAAGTTTACAAACTTGAAGAAATCCCTGAACAGGAAAAATGTGAGATTTTTTTAATTCGTTCCAAATTTTATCCCCATTTAATTCATCATCTTGAATAAAAAGTAAAATTAAATTTTTTGGTGACACGTCCGAATTTTTGATCGATAAATCGTCATCATTATTGTCAATTGTAATGATGAAATCTTCAATAATCCGTGGCAGAGTTTTCAATTTTTCTTGATAATTTAATTTTAATATATTCAAAACATTCCTGTTTAAAATATTGTTAATTTGAATTTTTTTTTTAAATATTTTTACATGAAAAAAAAATTTTTAAATATAATAAATATTTTAAAATTATATTAAATTGTAAAAAAATTAATTATTTATTTAATTAAAAAACTAATTTAATAACGTTATAATAAAAATATTTTTAATTATACAAAAACAGAAAGAAAATTTTCATTTAGTTTTATTATTTTTCTTTTAATTCGTTTGTTACTAAATGCAATTTAATTATTACTCTCGATGACTTACGTATGATTTCCTTTGAAATTCCTATCAAAAGCCGTTTCATTTAATAATTCGAAAACTGGAAATTTTTCAGCAATCCTCTCTGAATTAAATTATTTTAAAATAAATTTCCTTTGCTTATAAAATTATAATTATTTTTTATAATTCATGAATCATCATTAAATAAATAAATTAAATAAATAATTCACTAAATTGCAAAAAATAATTTTTATAACAATTAATTTATTTTTAATTTAATTTATAATTAAAAAATTTTTAATTAAATTGTAAAAAATAAAAAAAAATTTAATTAAATTGAAAATAAAAAAAATTTAATTAAATTGAAAATAAATTAAATTTATTTAAAATTTTATCAAAAATTTTAAATACCTGATCTTCTAAGAGATAATCCTTGACCAATTGATATTAATGTAAAAAATCCGAGTAACGATAAAAGAATTTTTATCTTCATATCTACGATAATTAATTTTTTTTTTTTGAAAATTAGGTATTTAATTTCACAAATTTTTTTTTTCAAAATTTATATTTTTCCTAGCTTTTTATGAAAAAATCACTTCTTTTCGTTTTTTGCTATAACACAAGAAATATATAAATATATAAACCGTTACCAAGACAACACAAAACAAAAGAATGTAGACTCGTAATTTTTCAGAACTTTCTTTAAATTTCAAACATTTTTTTACAATTTTAAAATAATAATAATAAATTTTTTTTAAATTAATTTTTTTCCATTTTAATTTATTTCTATTCTGTTTTTTATTTTTCATTTGTATAAACGATCAAAGAGGAAATAGGAAAATAATAATTCAAACAATAGAAATTCAATTAAAATAAAGTAATTAAACAAACTTTTATCAGTAATTAATTTATCTATTTGGATTTTTGTTAATTTAATTTCTATTAATTAATCTAATAAAAATATCAATAAAGTAATTAAAATTTTCTAAATTATTTTTTATTATTAATTAATTTATTCAATTACTATATGGACTGCGGGGAATGTAAAAAAAATTAATTAAAATTTTAATTAATTTTCTCATATTATTGAAAAAAATGTATTAATAAAAAAATTATAATTCTTATAAAATCACATTGTTATGAAAAAAAAGAAACTGAACTAAATTTACAAAATTGATTTTTCATTATAATGAAATATTATTAGCTTGAGTATGAACTATATAATTAAATACGAATATCGTTAACGATTTGTCAAAATGAAATTACGGCTTTTTGTGCCCCGATAATAATAATAATAATAATAATAATAATAATAATAATAATAAAAATAATAATAACGTTTCAATGGGTTTTACTCTATTGGCACAAGAATTAGAATTCTCAATAATTAATTTACCTTTATAAGTTCTTCTTAAAGAGTATATGTATATCATATAAGTCGATAAACAAATGTGAACGCTATATACATATATATATATACAATATTTGACAATTATATACCTCTCATATATACCTATATAGAGGTCAATATTTGTGTACAACTATTTGACGTTATTCTTTTTTCTTTATATTGTTTTCTTTTTTCTTTTTTTAGTCATTTGACCTTAAAACTATCCTTAAATTTAAATTACCGCGACATTGCAATGTAAATTATTAGACATATATTAGAGACAATCTAATGAATGTTTTTCTATAAATAATAATAATAATAATAATTATGCTTAAAAAAATTATTATATATATATATAAAAATATTATGTTATCAAGTTTATGCGATTCACCAAAAATTTATTTTAATTCAATGTCTTATATAAAAAAGAGTCTATTATTGTCAAATACATTTATTAGTTTAAAATTCCACATTATATTTTTAATTATTTACTCTAAACTTCCAAAAATATTAATTTTTTATAAAAAAAAAAAAATTAATTTAAAAATTGTTGTCCGCCATATTGGAGCCGCCATTTTGAATTTTTAAAATCTAACATTTTATTCGTAATCAGCAACCCCAAAAACCCCTGATAAATAAATTTCATACAAATCTGTTAAATTAAAAATTTTTTTTTCGTAATATTGGATCCGACATTTTAAATTTTCAAAATCTGATTACAAATTCGTAATCAGCGACCCCAAAAACCCCCCAGTAACAAATTTCAAGCAAATTCAATGAATTTTAATTTTTAAAAAATTCGTCCGCCATTTTGAATTTTCAAAATCTGACTTCAGATTCGTAATCAGCGACCGCAAAAACCCCAGAGTGATAATTTCCAAGCAAGTTCGTTTGATTTTAATTTTTTTCGTCCGCCATATTAAATCCGCCATTTTGATTTTCGAAAATGAGATCCCAAAAACTTTCGAATGACAAATTTAATGAAAATCTTTATTTGTATCATTAAAAACATTTTTATAATATTATACTATTATTATTATTATTATTATTATTATTATTATTATTAATTATCATTTACCTACTAATTTTATTATTATTATTATTATTATTATTGTTATAAAATTTTATAGAAAACTGTACATAAAAAATATTTTATTTGAATTATTTATTTCCATTTTTTATTAATTGATCCACTAATGCTTTTGCGTAAAATTATAAATTAAAATAAATAAATAAATAAATTTAAATATTCTAGTAAATATTCTAGCATAAGTCCCAAAAATAATTTTTGACATTGAACATTTTTTTTGAAAAAAATATATTATTAAACAATTTTTTATTAACAAATAAACAAATTGTGACTTTAAAACAAAAAATGATAACGTTATTCAATTCTTTGTAAAAAATTACTGTGAGAATCTTAATTCTTTAAAAAATTATTAAATAAAATTGTTATTATAAACTATTAAAAAGCATTTCTATTAATTTGTTTATAACAAATTAAATTAAATAAATTTTTTTTTGCAAAAATTGGTTCATTTTTTGTAATAATTGAAAAAATTTATTTATTATAATTAATTTATTTATTTGCTTATAATTTTTTTTTCTTTAATTTAAAATTGTTTATAACAGTTATATAATATTTATAAATAATTAAAAAAAAAAAAATGTTTAAAAAATCAAGACACATATTCTGACAGTAATTTTTTAATTAAATTAATTTTTGTAAAAAAAAAACCAGTATAATAAATTATTTAAATAATATTATTTTTACAAAAAAAAATTGTTAACGTCAAAAATTATTTCTTTGGCTAATACTAATATCCGAATATAATTAATTTTGCGTTACACATATTTAAAAAAAAAAATTCGTTTTCATTATCTTTACAAGTCTCGGATCGACTTTAAGGCACAAGAAAAGTTGTTTTAGTCAATTTATATTCGAAAAAAAGTCGAAAAAGTCGATTTTTTCAATTTAAAAAAAAATTTAATTGGTTAATGAATATTTTACTTTAAATAACTAATGTTATTAGATATTAAATTCATTTTATTAATTCTATAATGAAAATAATTCTATATAAGAACATTATCAAGAATTATTAGAAATAATTGAATTTCAAAAGATTTTGTTAATTTGCAAAGAATAATTAAATTTTACAGAAATGAAAATAATTTATGTTTTGGAAAAAAAAATGATTTCACATAGTTAAATTTTCGAAAAATTGAATTTCAATTTTAATTTATTACCATTAAAAATTTGCAAAATAATTTAATTTTTAGGATTTCTTTTGAAAATTTGGAAAATAATTGAATTTCAATTGAAAGTTTGGAAAACAATTGAATTTTAGTTGATTTTGGATTGAAAATTTTGAAAATAATTGAATTTTAATTGATTTTAAATAAAAAATTTTGAAAATAATTGAAAATTTTCAAAATAAATGAAATTCAATTTAAAATTTTGAAAATAATTCAAAATTTTCAAAATAAATGAAATTCAATTTAAAATTTTGAAAATAATTGAATTTTAATTAATTCAGAATTTAAAATTTTGAAAATAATTGAATTTTAATTGATTTTGAATTAAAAATTTTGAAAATCATTGAATTTTAATTGATTTGAAATTTTTAGAAATAATTGAATTTCAAAAAATTTTAGATGGAAAATTGTAGAAATAATTAAATTTTAGAAGCTTTGAAATTTTAAATTTTTGAAAATAATTGAATTTCAAAAGATTGTGTTAAATTTCAGACAATAATAAATTATAATAAGAGAAATTTCTAGTGATTTCTGTTGATGAAGAATTTATTAGAAATCACATAAAAAAAATTGAATTCCAAAAGTTTTTAATTGAAAAATTGCTTTCAGATAAATTAATTTTTGAATAATTAAATTTCAAGTGATTTTAAATTAAAAACTTTTGGTAATTTTATTTGCTAATTTTTTTTTTTTTAATTATAAAACAATCATAAAATTTCATAAAAATTTGAATTGAAAAATAGTTTAAAATAATTGAATTTGTGAAGAATTTCATGAAAATTATTAAAAATAATTAATTTAGTAAAGAATTTTAGTTAAAAGTTTGTTAAATAATTAAAATAAAGAAGATCTGAAGAAGATCTGCATTGTATACTAAAAAAAACGTATTTTGTTTAAAATTTTTTTTAAAAAATGTCAAAAAAAAGTCGAAAAAGTCGCATTTTATTAAAATAAGTCGAAAATAGTCGTATTTTTGAAAGAAAGTCGGAAAAAGTCGTATAATCCGAGGCCTGTCTTTATTTTTAATGTCAAACCGATATCGTGAATCTCAAGTTCGAATAAAGCTGCATCTCAAGATGAAAATATGTTCTTGGCATCAATATCCATTCGTTTTAATCTATTTGTGAATAATTAAAGAGAATCCACAGTCTAGCCTTTATAAAAACAATAACGAAATGGCGTTTGGACGTGTTTGTGGATTGCATTTGGCGCGCATGCGCATTCATTAAACGCCGCCAATTGGTCCACGTCTAGGTAGGGACGCGCAAGACGGGTTGCCATTTATCATTTGAAAGGGGCAACAGTGAAACCTCCCCCTTAGGAGCTCAGTTAAAAAAAGGGTAGTGGTGGTAGAAAGCAAGAGGGTGTACGTTACAGGAAAAGGTGACCGATGTCGCGACGGATGCGGGCAGGTTTGCTCGTTCATCCATAAAGTTCTTTCTAAAAGTCGTGTGCAAAGAAAAAGAGTGTTTTGTCAAGAAAAAAAAAAAATTCATTTTTATTTATTTTTTTTTTTTTAGTAAAATAAATAATTGAAATCAATTTTTTTTTGTGATTATTGTGTCTCAGTGAAATTTATCTCAAGTGATTTGAAAGAAAAAAAAAAAAAAAAAACTCTCAAGGTACATATAGAAATCGACCTGTTGCTCTTGGACGCTTCTTCTTTAACTTACGGATGTCTCGTTTTTTTCATTTTTTTTAAATTTAATTATTTATTTTATTTGTTTATTTAATTTTTTTATTTATTTTTTCTTATTTTTTATTTCTAAATAATAATTAAACTTTTTTTCTAATACGATATTCATTATTTTGTCGGGGAATCACCCAAAATGCAACCCGCTAGACAAATATTTGTGAACTAGCCTTAAGGACCAAACTGATTTTATTTTCGGTGATTCCCCGATTTTTGTTGCGTTCGCGGGAAAATGAACCTTTTTAATTATTCAGTTCAATTGATTCACGGTTATAATAATGCAAATAAATTAATAATAAATAAATTTATTTCCCACCTAAATAAAAAAAATATTTTTTTCATTAAAAAACTGAACATGAAAAAATCAAATATAAAATAAAATTAAAACAAAATTAACATAATTATTTTTAAATAAAAATTAATAGAAAACAATTAATTAATTTCCGATTTTTAATAAATAATATAATTTTTTATTTTAATTATAAAAATAAATTTTTTTATAATTTGTTTTTCATGCGAATAAATTTTGCCGATGAAATTAAATATTAATTTTGTTTTATTGTCTTTTTTTTTGTTGTTGTTAAAGAAAATATTTGATCTTGAAAATGTATTTAAAATTTTAACTATGTCCTTTGTCATAAATATGGATTTGCACGTGATGTAGAATTTTTTCTCATTGACACCCTTGGATTGTGTATTATTCCAGATTATAAAAATTTTAATCAATAATAACGTACGTGCAGGTGAATGCCACTTGTAAAAGAAACAATCGAACTTTATATATCTACAGATTATTCCCTTCGTGAAGTTTCTATAGGTCTTATAATTTTCTTCATGGGAGTTTTAATCAAACGATAAAAAATATTTAAAAAAAAATATAATAATATAACAATAAAAAAAAAAACAATACTCAAATTAAATTAAGAACAATTATTATTTTTTAAAATTTTTTATTAATATTTATATCAAGTACCAAATTAATGATATAAATATAATAATTAATTAATTAAAATAATAATTAATTTTATAAATTGTTAATAATTTTAAAGTAAAATAATTTTAAAAACCCAAATAAAAATTAATTAAAGAAATGTAAATAAATAATTATAGTTAAGAGTTATAATAAAAAAAGTGATTTAAAAAATTTTAGATGATGAAATTCAAGCAACAGGGCTTGGTCTCTGACCTAATGCCCAATCTTCGATTGATGCAAATCAGTGGACATTTTATGTTTAATTATTATGGAGATGCAAAAAAATTCGCTCACAAAATTTACTGCAGTGTAAGTAAAAAAAAAAATTTTTTTTTACTAAACTTTTTGTAAAAAAAAATATATATTTAAATATTTTTTGGTAATGTTTAATTTTTTAATATCATATTAATGAAAATTGAAAATTATATCATGGAAAATTATAGAAATTAAATTAATTAAAATTTTTCCAAAATTTAATAATTTAATAATTAAATAATAATTAAATAATAATTAAAACGAATAACAAAAAATTAATAAAAATAATTTCTATTATAAAAATCAGTATATTAATAATTATAAATTTTTAAAATTGTTTTAAGATTTAAAAAATTTTTTTTATATTTACTTTTATTATTATATTAAAAAATAAATTTTAAATATTTTTTAATGAATATTATACAATAAATTTATTTCCTCATTTTATTTAAGCAAAAAAATAAAGTATTGCGGCATGTGATAAAGCACGTTTGTTCAATTATTTAAAAAAGTTTAAAATAGTTTGTCCTAGTTTATTATAACAATTTGTTAGAGAATTAAATTCTTATAGTCTAAAAACTAAATAGAATTGCAAAAGCTGCCAATAATTTTTTTTTTTTTTTTAAATGGATTTTTTATATTTTTGAAATATTTTTTCATACATATTTGTTGTATATATTTTATTTGTTATAGGATTTAAATTTAGAGTCTATTTTTGAGAATTTAATTTTCGAAAATTTACATTAAAAAAATATTTATATGGAACAGCGAAACATTTCACTGTTGAAGTAAAAGATTTACTTGTTTCAATTAAATCTTTCGCTATTCTAGTGAAACCATTCGCTGTTTCAGGTAAATATTTTTTTCCCGTTGTAATAATAAATAAAGAAATAAGTTTTTAATGATAATCAATGGTTGATAATTTTTTTGTATTTTCACTTTAAACTTGATACTCTAAACATAACCTATAATTTTTACTTCTTTTCTTATATAAAAATATATGGCATAAGATAGAAAAGGACAGAGATTTATCTCTGTCTTTCTCTAACTCATAATTTTCTATTCACATGTGACTGCACTCTTAAGGTGAAATCACATGGAGGCGTAAAGCAGCAAATTTTGTAACTAGACTATGAATTCACCCTAATAGTACAGTTACATGTGAACATGACTTAAAGAAAGACAGACATAAATCTCTATCCTTTTCTATCTCATGCTTATCGTTCAATAATTCCTCTATAATTAAATTTCCTGATAACAATGCCAATTTAAATATGCGTAAATAAAAAAGAAAAAAAAGAATTTTTTTTTTCTAAATTTTAATAATTTCAGGTGCACTTGGTTTTGATTCTCATTCAATTTGGATGTATGGCTTTCAATTTGGTTCTCGAGAGTGGTGATGTCGATGATTTAACAGCAAATACGATAACAATGCTATTTTTCACTCATAGCGTAGTGAAAATAATATATTTTGCCGTGAGGAGTAAACTTTTTTATCGAACCTTAGCAATTTGGAATAATCCAAATAGTCATCCATTATTTGCTGAAAGCAATGCAAGATATCATTCAATAGCCCTGACAAAAATGCGAAGATTATTATTTTCTGTGGGTGCCGCAACATGTCTTGCAGTATTATCATGGACCACACTTACATTTATAGGCGATTCCGTAAAAACAGTTACTGACAAAGTGACTAATGAAACTACCACCGTTGAGGTAATTTCTTCCCTCATTTTTTTTTTTTTTTAGCATTATTCTAATAAAATAAAAGAAGAATATTTTTTTAAAAATTATTTTCTGTTTAATATTTTATTAGATCCCAAGACTGATGCTTCGAGCGTGGTACCCATTTAACGCGAGTCATGGAATGAAACACATTCTAATGCTCGTTTACCAATTTTACTTCCTTCTTGTGACAATGACAGATGCCAATTCATTGGATGTTCTCTTTTGTTCGTGGTTGTTGTTTGCCTGTGAACAACTTCAACATCTTAAACAAATTATGAAACCCCTTATGGAGCTCAGTGCAACTTTAGATACAGTTGTACCGAATAGCAGTGAACTCTTCAAGGTCAGTAATTTTCATATATATATAGTTGTTTGAAACAACTTCACAGTTGCTCGGAACAGTAGATACTGTATATATATAGCATTGTTCGCAACAATTTTAAATAGTGCAGGGGAGAGGGTAAAAACATTTTTTTTGTTCTAATGAAAAATTTGCTTGGAACATCTCAGTAGTTGCTTGAAACAACAGTTGCTTAAAACAATAAACAGTATAATTGTTTGGAACAAAAAGAAAAGTTGTCTCAAAGTATTTGCGTTTAAAAAACTCTACTTTAGAAAAATTCATTAGAAGCTGTTTGGAATAAGTGAATAGTTGCTCGAAACAACTTAATAGTTGCTTGGAACAACTTAACAGTTGAACAACTATCAAAGTAACTGTTTGGAATAATAGAATTTTTGTCTGGAGTTTCTCAATAGTTGTTTGGAGCAACTATTTCTAACTGTTTGGAACAAGTAAATAGTTTTCACTATCAGAGTTTATTGGTTTGAAAGAACTAAATTGTTGTCTGGTGCTTTTAATAGTTGTTTGGAACAACTTAATAGTTGCTCAGAACAAATGTTAAAACAAATTCGAAACTGTTTACAACTGTTTAAGATAAGTAAATAGTTTCTTAGAACAACTATCATCATAGCTGTTTGGAACAACTAAATTGTTGTTTGGAGCTTCTGAATAGTTGTTCAGAACAGCTAAATAGTTGTTTAGGACAGATCAATATTTGCCTAGAATAACTAAATAGTTGTTTGGAACATCTAAATTGATGTTTCAAACTATTAAAATAGTTGTGTGGAACAACTCAATAGTTGCTTGGAACGTCTAAATTGATGTTTGGAACAACTATTTGTTAGGAAAAAGTAAATAGTAACCTAAAACAACTAAATAGTTGTTTGGAACATTTAAATTGTTGTTTGGAACAACTAAATAGTTGTTTGGAACAAAATAATCTATTTTTCTTCTCTTTTTTTACAATTTTAATAGGCCGGAAGTGCAGAGCACCTTAGAGATAATCAAGCGCCTCCAACTGAAGGTGGTGAAAATAATATGTTGGATTTGGATGTTCGAGGGATTTACAGTAATCGACAAGATTTCACGGCGACCTTTAGGCCAACAGCGGGAATGACATTTAATGGTGGTGTTGGTCCAAATGGTCTCACAAAGAAACAAGAAATGCTTGTGAGAAGTGCCATCAAGTACTGGGTTGAAAGACATAAACACGTCGTGAGGTAAGTTTTTTTTACTAATTTTCTAAGTCAATATATATATTTTTAAATAAATTAGAAAAATATGTTTACTCTCATTGGCGAATTGCACAATATAAAAAAAAAATGATGAAGATTAGTTTTACTTCCCTTTAATATAAAATCGAAATGGTGCACGTGATCGTGTATATAATATATATCATATAAACACGACGAACTGTTGAAGACTCCTATATAGTCTCTACATAGTTTTAACAGCTGTATATAGGTTCTGAATCATTCATAATAAACTATATCTATATGTCGATTGCTTGAAGCAAAATGTGAACTTTCAGAAAAATTCTCCTAGATGTAAAATTCGAGTATTTTTTAAAAATATTTCTTCATAAATATTTTTTTTTTAACATTTTTTTTTTTTTGTTACAAAAACTTTTGAAATTTCTATATTCTAAATAATAAAAACATTTTCTTATAATAATAAAAAAAAAAAAAAAAAAAAAAAACCAGAGGAATAATGTAAAACATTTTCAAAAAATAATGTTGTTTTTAATTATGAAAAAAAAACTATTTGAAATTTTATAGTGAGACACATACACACATAGATCACGAATGACACTTATGCGATTTCAAAGGGATGTAAGAAAGTCTGCGAGTGTTGAAGTTCTCACATTTATAAAATATTAATGACAAGTGTGCGCGATATTGACCGCAACGGGGGACGTGCTCTATAGACAACCAATTCACGGGGAGGAATATACGAACAAATTGTCCTAAACACTAGTACACGCGATCCTTTAATAAATCGAAATTACAAATATTTTTATACATATATATATATATATATATATATATATATATATATATATATATATGTATCCTAAACGACCAATCATCATAAAGAGATCCCCCATTCATATTATTATACCCAAAAAATTATCACCTATTATTTATTCACATCCTTTTTTTCTAAAAAATTAAACTATTCTTCTTTTTCTTTTAATATTTTTTTTTCTTTTATATTTTTAAGGATAATGATTATTATTTATGTAAATTCCAAAATCGAAAAAAAAGAACATTTCGCCTAATTAGTCGAATTATAGGACAAACCAAATTAGATGAAAATGCGACTTAACGAAGTATAAATTACTGTACAAATATTGAGAAACAAATTAATACACGCGAGGGACATTAATGCTGGAACACAGTTTGGATATAATTGATTTATTGTTCAATGTTATTGAATTTATAGTTCTTATACTGTTGGAAAAAAGCATTCAAATCTCCGTTCTAAAAGTTAAAACAAATGACTCAATAGTACCGTGAAATAAGTTATCGTAGTTGTTAAAAATGTTTAAATTAGTTAAAACAACTAAAAATCTGCTTGATATAACTGAATAGTTGCTTCGAACAATTATACATATGCTCGAAACAACTATGTAGCTGTCCGGAACGACTATATGTATATATATGTTCTTGGAAAAGTTCTACATGTGCCTGGAACAAGTATATAGTTGCTCGAAACAACTATACATAAAAACTCGGAACAACTATATAGTTGCTCGGAATGACTGTATAGTTACTTGAAACGACAGTAAAAAATGCTCGGAACAACTATATAGTTGCTCGGAATGACTGTATAGTTACTTGAAACGACAGTAAAAAATACTCGGAACAACTATATAGTTGCTCGGAATGACTATATAGTTACTTGAAACGACAGTAAAAAATGCTCGGAACAACTATATAGTTGCTCGGAATGACTATATAGTTACTTGAAACGACAGTAAAAAATACTCGGAACAACTATATAGTTGCTCGGAATGACTATATAGTTACTTGAAACGACAGTAAAAAAATACTCGGAACAACAATTGTAATTGCTCCAAACTACTGTAAACCTGCCTGAAACAAGTATATTGTTGCTTGGAGTAACTATAAAGATGCTCAGAGCAACTATATATTTGCTCAGGACAAAAATTTTTTCTTGAAACGAACTATACAGATTAATGGAACATTTATATAGTTGCTCGAAGCAACTATGTACACTGTAAAAAGAAAAGTATTAATTTAATACCGACTTCAAGTACGAAATTGTCATTTGATTCTATTTTGATACCTAAAATCGGTACTGTTTTAGTACTCTCTTTTTACAGTGATACTTGCTCGGAGCTACTATATTGTCATTTGGAGCAACAATGAAGTCTCTCGAAACAACTATATAGTTGCTCGGTACTACAAAATTACCTGGAACAAGTATATAGTTGCTTGAAATAATTATATAAATGCTCGGAACAACTATTGTAAATACTATACTTAAACTTAAAATAACCATACAGATATTTTAGATCAAAGATTGTAGAAAAAAAATAAAAATATTTAAACTAACGAAATCGTTGTTAAAACAGATTAAATTTGTTTTTAGAAATTTTTTTAACAGATACATGAAATAACTAAATAGTAATAGTTTAGAACAATAGTAGCAGCTTGTATATATATATATATATATATATATATATAGTCATAATAATTATATACTTGGAATGGTTTATTAGTTGTTTGAATTAATTTTTCATTTCTTTTAATCAACTTTTGTTGCTAGTTAAAGAAATCCATAAGTAGTTCTTACTTTTGCGTCCTCAATGATTAATAATAATAATAATAATAATACAACGAAAATCATTATTCGACGAACGAAACGACTTTACAATTTAACTAAAGTTATTTATTAATTTTAATCTTTTACAAAATCGATAAAATTTGTTAATAATAATTGAATTAAAAATGCATTGTCTACTTGGTTCTTCTCATTATACACGTGACTGTGGCTTCTCAAGGCACACTATACAACGTATTTATTGATCATAGAAATGGCAATGAATAACATTAACTGCTATTACTAGTAGTTTAAATAAATGATTTTGCAAGCTTAATCATTTCAACGTTAACCTTTAACAGTCAACTACTTGTTATATCAACTTATTATTATTATTATTATTATTTTCATTATTATTATTATTATTATTATTACTATTATCATTATTATTGTTTTTCTCTCTATCGTTCATATAATTTCATTAAAAGTTCAACTTTCAAGCTTATAAAGACTTCATTCGAATATTAATAATTTAGTTTAGTAATGTCATTTTACGAGCTTTCAAGTACACGTCATTGTATTCAGTCTTAATGAATTAGCCATGAGTCGCGTACTCTTATGAATTTTTAAGATGAAAATTTCTTTTCAAGGAAATCGCTCAATTTCACCAAGAACTTAATCATTTTTTCTTTTGTTTAGTCATATTTTAATTATTTTTATTTATCAATTATTTACATTATAATTATTATAATGAAAATAATTTCTTATGAAAAAATTATTTTTTTTTTCTTGAATTCAGCGAAAAAATAAATTCTTTATTGTATACAAACGATAAATAATATAAATATACTTTTGTAACGGTTATATAAAATCAAAGATTTAAAAATTCCCCCACCTCACGATTTTAACTATCTTAAAAAGCTAATCACGAGAATATTTTTTTAATATTCTTTACACAACATGAAACATCTCGAGTGAACATAGAAATTTTATATATATTTTTATTGATTGCATTTTATTTTTAAAATAAAAATGAAATTTATTTTTAGGTTAGAATTTGTAAAAAAAAATTTCATTTCAGGTTGGTAACGGCTGTTGGCGATGCTTATGGCGTGGCATTGTTATTGCATATGTTGGCAACGACTATAACTCTAACTCTCCTTGCATACCAAGCGACTAAGGTAATTTCAATAACATAAAAGTTTACACGGAAGTAAAGCATATAATGAATAATCTATTGTATGAATTTTTAGTTTTAAAAGTGCTTGTTTTTTTATAAATTTATATTTGTTTCAAACAAATGTATCTCTTTTTGCAAGTTTGTCATTTATACAGTGATATATATGTACATATGTGCAATTGTGTTTTTTTTTTTTCATTATATTAACAAAAGGAAAAAAAATCGCATTTTTTAAATATAGGTAAATGGAATTAACGTCTATGCTGCTTCCACGATTGGTTACTTGCTATACACTTTGGGTCAAGTATTTCTTTTTTGCATTTTTGGCAATCGACTTATCGAAGAGGTAATTTTTAAAAAATATTTTCACTACAAATGTAGATTTTTTTCTACTATAAATATTAGCCATAATTATTTTTATTAATTAAATATTTTAATTATTAAATTATTTATAATTTTATGAATACAAATTATAAATATTCAATATATTTTAAAATTCAAAATGGCGGATTCAAAATGACCGCCTACAGGGCCGGATTGAGGGCGGCTTTTTTTGGGGGGTTTTAAAAAAAACATTCAAAAATTTAAAAAAAATGTTTTTTCTTAGAGCTCCTCAGTCATGGAAGCTGCTTATTCTTGTCATTGGTACGATGGTTCAGAGGAGGCAAAAACTTTTGTTCAAATTGTATGTCAACAGTGTCAAAAAGCTATGTCAATATCAGGGGCGAAGTTTTTCACAGTTTCTCTCGACTTGTTCGCTTCGGTGAGGAAAAAATATATAAAAATAAAAATTAAATAAAAAATGTTGTTTTTTTTTTTAATTTTTATAAAATCTTTTTTTTATAATTTAAACTATTTTAATAATACTAGGTATTGGGAGCTGTCGTTACATACTTCATGGTGTTAGTACAACTGAAATAAACACCAGATCTTCACTAATTATTGTACATTGCAGAAAATGTACCGAAGAATTGAAAAGAAGATTTTTTATTTTGCTCCAAATCTTCAGACTTGGATTATTTTTTAATTTTCTACAAATAACTAAAATCCTACTAAAATAATTTATTTTACATTAAAAAAAATAGTAAAGAAAAATGTCAATTTATTTCTCAAATTTATTAATTAATAATTATTAATTTAGAAAAATAATAATATTTATTAATTAATATTTACTATGAATTTTTTTATAATTCGTGTAATTTTAAATTAACTACCTTTCATTTTTTTTCATATATTATTAAAATATAAAAAAGGCTTAATAATAAGATTTAGATTTAATAATTTATCTTATATATTTCGGATATTTCCAATATTTATCACTCTAAAGCGTGAAAAAAAAGTTATTTAAACAAAATTATTTAATTGAATTTTTCATATTTAATTTATAGGAAAGAAAAAAATATTAAATAATTAGTTAACTTTTTTTTAAAAAATTAAAATTTCGTTATAATTTAATAGTTAAAGAAAAATTTTATTATATTTACTTCGGTGTCAGGCGATCTTAAATTTGGAATTTTTTTTACATTTTAATAAATAATTTACTTTTATTAATTATTTAATTTTATTTAATAAGAGAAAAAGATGTGTGAACTTTTTGACTTTAATCACGCACATTTATTAATATTATTAGTTATATTTATTTATTATATACAGCGAGGAAAAAAAAATAGATTTTGAAAATTTTTTCTAAGAAAAAAAATAATTTTTTTTTTTAAAAAATCCAAATTAATTTTTAAGTATCGCTTGACACCTTAAATTTTAAGTAAAATTTATACTTATTAGATTAAATTTCTGATATTTTTTTTTTTTTTGAAACTCTTTAGTAACTTTATTTAAATTGATATATTTATATAATATATGTAATACAAAAAGGCGAAAAAAAATTATTTATAACACATTAATTATTATTTGTTATATATTAATATTAGGGGGAAAGAATACGCTGTATCAGATAAATTTATAATATTTAAAGCATAAAAAAAATATATTCTTTTTCTTCTTACTTCAAAAAATTTTAGAAATATATTTTTCAATTCGAATATTAAAAACAATAAAAACAGAAAATATTAATTTACAATTTAATTATTATTTTTATATATTAAAAATTTATTTACTGAAAAAAATAATATTTATTAATTATTTTTTATATTACAATAATAATATTTATTATTATTTTCAAAATTTGTTTGAAAATTATAAATTTTATTTACTTTTAATTTTTCAACTGATACTAAATGCAAATTGTTCTTTTTACAAAAAAGTTTTTGAATTAAAAAAAAAATTTTTTTTTTGAGAGGACACTTAGTAAATATTTTTCTGAAAATTTGAAAAATAGAAAGGAAATATTTTTTAATATAACACCACTCTGCCTAGCCGTTTAAGATATAAATATTTATAATAATAATTTGTAAATCTATGAATGTTGATCGTTGACAATATTCACTTTGTATTTTAATCCACCGACATTAAAAACTATAAAAAAATAATAATAATAAGTCATCATTGACGCAGGGAAAAGTGAAAACACAAATAAAACAATTTTAAACTGATAGGTGCCAAAAAAAAGGCTAAATTTCATTGTCCACGAAGAAATTATAAACTCCATGATTCTACATTGAATTAATTAAAATTTATGAATACTAACTAATATTAATTAAAACTTATTAATATTAATTAATATTAATTAAAATTTATAAATATTAATTAATATTAATTAAAATTTATAAATATTAATTAATATTAATTAAAAATAATTAATTGAATTAATTAAATTACAGAAATTGTTATTTGAATGCAATAATTGTCTTCCCGATCGAATTCCTAACCTTACAAGTACAGACAACCAAACGGGACACCCGCTTATTTCATTGGTTACTTTTCAAGGTCATGAAACAACATCCAATCCGTGTGGCGCTTCATATGACCTTGATAATTAAACCAATGAAATAAGCGGTTGTATTGCATTCAATTTTCTGAATTTAATTAATTTTATAATTATTTTTTAATTTTCAATTAATTAATTTTTTTTCAAATTATTTATTTAATTTTTTATTTTAAAAAATTTCCAATGAATTGTAATTTATAAACTTTTTTTTTTAAATTAAAAAAAAAAAAAACAATAATTTAGTCTATTCTCAATATTAGTGACTTAAAATTTTTTTTGTAATTTTTATTTATTATTATTTGTTTAAAATATGAAATATAATATGTAGTAAACGTTTTCTTTTCCCTGAGAAAAGCACATTATGTAAATACAAAATAAAAGACAAACATTTATTAACAAATAATAACAGTTAAAATAATATATCGAAGGAAATTATATAAATAATCTTTCAAGAATTTTTGTAAAGAAAATCTGTGATTGTGCGGTACCTACATACATTATTTTAATAATATTATTCGAATACAATTTCTTAATGTAAAAAATTTATTTAAGAGTCCAGAGATAGAAAATTTAATTGTTTAATTTTTTTCAATTATATTTTTTAAATTATTTTATTTATTATTTTTATTTTTATTTTTTAAGTTATTATTATTATTTATTAGTTATTAATATACAAATTTTATGTCGTTTTACAATTATATATTACATGTTGATTTTTATTAAATTTTTTCATTATTTTCTCAAATAAATTTTGTTTTGAAAAAAAATTAATTATTATAATTAAGTACTATTATTATATTTATTATTAACTTTTGTGACTTTACAATTCTTGTAAAATAATTTCAATTTTCTCATCAGAATATTAAAATTTTTGTTATTATATATTTTTATTATTTCAAATTATTAAATTATTTGATTTATTTTATTTTTATTAATTTTATATTTATATATATATATATATTTTTTTTTAAATTAATATGTATCAAAATAATTATTTAAAAAACTTTAATTACCAGAGCAAAATTATAAGAAACATTTTTTTTTCCCTCTCTTGACTCTTTTATTTTAAAATATATATGTATAAAAAGCCTGTTCTTTTATATTCATATTAATTTTTATTTAAATAATTATTAACTGATTTGTGATTTTAATTTAAAAATTAAGTTGAATTTTATTTAAGAGGCACGCCAAACCTTAAAAAAAACGAGAGCAATCATTGAATTTTTTTTTTTTTTTTGAAAGTATATGAAAATTTTTATAAATAATTCTTTATAACAATAATTATTTTTTAACTATTTTTTTTAAATAAAACTTTAATCTTACAATATTATTATTATTTTTCCCATTATTTTTTAATTAGAGCAAGTTATTGCATCCGATATTCGAATTACAAACATCAATAAAATACTCATAAAAAAAGAATATAGAGTAATTGCTCTCGTTCAATTTTTTAAAATTTGTGATTTACGAATTTTTTTTTTTTTATTATATTTTTATCACTAGATATTTTTGAATAATAATGAAAAAAAATATTTTACCGCATATTTGTCATTTTTAGCGCAATTATGTCTCTTATATATCAAATAAATTATAATATAAATGCTTTCAATATAGTTGAATCGTCCAAAAAAAGGAAAAATAAATATCCCATACTATTGCTCAATTTTTTCACTTAATTTTTAAGAAAACAAATAAAAAAAAAAAAAAAAACTTGCTACTTTTGTGACAAGAAAAATTATTTGTTTTTTCAATTCAATCAGATAAATATTTTATTTATTATATCAACTATATATAATACATAATAATAATAATTATTCTATAATTAAATATTTTATTGCTATATAATTATATAAAACTATATACCTTCACTTTTCTTATGTCAGCATTTCGCTCTAAATAAGTAATTAATTTTATGATATAATTAAAAAAAAAAGTAGTCGTAATATAATATATAGTTATTAAATTATTTGAAAAAAAAAATCTTTTTTTTATTTTTTTTTTTATTTTAAATAATAAAATGAGGTTGAATTTTTTTTTAAACTGAAAACCTCTAAGGGCAAATAACATCAAAAAGAAAAGAAAATTCTCTAAATATAATATTTTTTAATATAGTTAAATACTCGCAACATTGACACAATTTATATATACAGGTTGTCCAAAAATTTCCCAAAAAAATCTCCTCCAAATATTAATTTACAATAATTAATTTTTAAAAACAAGTTTAAAAAATAAAGAAAATAATTTTTTTTTATTGTTTATTTTTAACATTTAAATTTATTTAATATTTTTTTAATATATTTTTTTTTATATTATTTAATCGGAAATATTTTTGATCACCTGATATATAAATTTTATATTATTATAATAAAATAATTGCAAATTATAATTATAGTCAACATTTGGAACGCCCTTTGCCTTCCACTATGTAAATTTGGTTTATATCACCTTTAATTAAACAAAATATATATTTAATAACAATTATTAAAATTGCTTTTATTTAAATTATTACTATTACGATTATTGTTGTTATTATCATTATTGTTATTATTATTACTATTACTATTACTATTATTATTTTTATTATTATTAATATTATCATTTTTATTATTACTATTATTATTATTACTATTATTATTATTATTATAATTATTATTATTATTTTTCTTATTATTATCATTACTTTGAGTAATATAAACATATATTTAAAATTATAAGTCAACAATAGCGAGAAATAAATTAATCTCTGCGATATTAATAATCATTTTACTTCACTTTTTTTTCGAATAATATAAATTGTATAATGTAAGAAAAAAATTTGTTTTCAAAAAATGGTATGAAATGTTTGCGTGTGCCTTAAATAAATTAATGTAAATAGATCTTGCTAAGAATATATATAAAATAATATTTAGTATATATTATATATGAATTATGAATAATTGTCTTTGTGTAAATCTGTACTATATATTTATTTAATAAAAGGGTATTAAACTTTAAAATCGTAAAATCTCTGTTATTTTTAGAAATATTCAAAATAAAATTCAGTTTGAGAGCTAATTTTTAAAGATAAGCATTTCAAACATGGAAAAAAAAATATTTACCTGAAACAACGAAAGATTTCATTAGAATAGCGAAAGATTTAATTGAAACAAGTAAAACTTTCGCTACTACAGTGATAAACGTTTCGTTGTTCCAGGTAAATTTTTTTTTCCACGTAAAAAAAGGAATAGAAACAAGAAGAAAAACGGAAACTAAATACGGAAAAAAATATTTACCTGAAACAGCGAAAGATTTCACTAAAATAGCGAAAGATTTAACTGAAACAAGTAAAACTTTAGCTCTTATAGTGAAACGTTTCGCTGTTCCAGATAAATTTTTGGTCCATGTATAAAAAAGGAATAGAAAGAAGAAAAAACGCAACCTAAATACGGAGAAAAATATTTACCTGACACAGCGAAAGATTTCACTAGAATAGCGAAAAATTTCACTAGAAAAGCGAAAGATTTAACTGAAACAAGTAAAACTTTTGCTCTTATAGTGAAACGTTTCGCTGTTGCAGATAAATTTATGGTCCATGTATAAAAAAGGAATAGAAAGAAGAAAAAATGCAACCTAAATACGGAAAAAAATATTTACCTAAAACAGTGAAAGATTTAACTAAAACAAATAAAACTATTGCTACTACAATGGAACGTTTAGCTGTTCCAGGTATATTTTTTTTCCACGTTAAAAAGGAATAGAAAGAAGAAAAAAACGTAAACTAAATACAGAAAAAAATATTTACCTGAAACAGCGAAAGGTTTTACTAGAATAGCGAAAGATTTAAATAAAACAACTAAAACTTTTGCTCAACACAGTAAAATATATTTCGTTGTTCCAGGTAAATTTTTTTTTTTTTTTTGAATGTAAAAAAAAGGAATAAAAAGAAGAAAAAACGCAAAACCAAATACAAAAAGGGGAGTAATAAAAATAAATACATAAAAAAATTGCGATATGTTATAAATTGGCGCGAATTTAAATGCGCATGCGTAATACTGGGTTAAGCTGTATTCTCGAGCGACAACGACGAGAGAGGGTGAGAGTTTCGATCGACTTTTTTTGTGGGTTGGCGAGATATGAAGTGCCAAGGAAAGGGTTACCTCGTGTCTCGTTGCAACTGCACGCGACGACTTTTTTTCAATAAACCCTCGTTTTATGACAGAAAAAAACGCCCACGGCTATTTTCAACAACGACCCGTGTCATCGCGATACAGTGTCATGCACCTCGTTGACAATTTCCGGCCACGTCCAAGTGGTGTGTCTCGAAAAAAACCTGAAAATAACGATCTTCTTAGCAGCAACACGAGGAGCTACTATCACTGCTGCTGCTGCTTCTTCTGCTTCAGCAATACAACACAATTTTTCAAAAAAGCTTCTATTTTTTGAATAGTGCGACCCCCTCCCCCTTATATATATATATATTACATTTTTCAAATTACTCCCATTTTAAAAACACAAAAAAAAATCCCCCAAAATTTATTCAACTGGACAATATTTATTTTCTTAAAATTCAATTTTTTTTTATCTCAACTTTGGATAAGTCGATTTTTTTTAGAATTTTGAAAAAAAAATTTAAGGGGGTCTAATTAGAAAAAGTGCAAAAAAAATTTCCCAAAAAGTATTTAAAAAAATAATTTTCAATTTTTTCAAACATTAAAGTAAAAAATAATTATATGTAAAAATTTAATATTATAACAAAATTTTTATTATAAACTGAAATAATAGTTGTGAAAAATTTGTCAATAAAAAAAAAATAAAGGAGGAATTGAAAAATAAGCGTTTGCACAATCAACTAATTTAATGCAACTAATAAAAAGTTATATTAAAGTTAAAAATTTGAAAAATAATAAGCGAATATTCTAAAAAAAAAAAAAAAAAAATGGACAATTAAATTCTAAAATAAGAAATTGGCAATAAAGACAATTAATAATTTTTTGTAAATAATATATAAATATATTAAAAGTTTAAAGTGTACTTAGTAAGGAGTGAATTAAAAAAAAAAAAGTGTGACAAATTTAAAATCAATTGTCAAACCAAAAAAGGCTGATTTTCGTTTTCATCATTGCGACCAAAACAGTCGGAGCATGGAGGAGAAAAAGCCTCCAACCCCAAAGACAGTGTCGTAAGTATATTTTTCTTGAAAATTTTAACAATTTTTATAGAAAAAAAAACTGAATTGAAATTTTGTTCAATTTTTTGAATTGTAAAATAAATAATAGAAGTTTCATTTTCATTAAAAATTTGGGAATAAGAATTTATTACATTTTTTTTTTTTTTTTTTTTAATTCTGTCACATTTGATTAAAAAAACACGTGCCTCAAAAAACTATAAATGCTAAAACCTAGTAAAACCACTTTTGGAAATAAATATTTATTTCGAAATATTTCTCAAAAATTATATTTCAGGATAAAAATTTTTAATTAATAAAAGTAAAGCTAAGATAAAATTAAAAACGATTGTCGTCTTTTGCCTTTTTTAAAAAAAAAAAAGAATCATTACCTACTTATAGTGAAAATTGCCATTCTGATGTAAATGATGGCAATTGAAAATAAGTTCAGGGACTAATTAGTATTTACTTAACCGAGATCTCATTAGAAATGAGCAGCAAATGGATCGATAGCCCATTTTGTTCTTAAAATGTTTCCAATATTGGAGGACATATAGCACTTGATAAATTGGTTGTATATTGTATATTTTATGCTCAACAATCAATTAACCCTCAATTTGCTCTTTAGTAAAAGAAGAAAAAAAATCCATCACATTTTACCCAATAAATTTTTTATCACTTCAATTAAAATTTTACTTAGTTATTTATTTATCATTTTGTTCACTTTTATCAGTAAATATTTATAGAATTCAAACTATTGTAAATAGTAATTAATTTTACTATAAACGTTCAAAACATCGGATATTTTTAAATGTTCTCCAAAAATTAATAGAATATAAATGTAATTTTAAAAAATGTATACTTAAAAATTTCTCCAACACCATATCTGAATGGTTTAATTAAAACTTTAAAAATCAGCTTTTGTTTGAAATAAAAAGAAAGTATACCTAAAAAAGTACCACGATTTTAGGTATCAAAATAGAAACAAATGACAATTTTGTACCTAAGGTCGGTATTAAATTCTTTCGTTTTTACAGTGAAGCGAAAAATCGACCATAAAAAGTTTCCTAAAAGCTTTCTACAGTTTTACTACTATCTAACAGTTTACAAATGGTTATTTCGACGCTTTAATATCTCTACCCTCACAGCACCTAAACTTGCCACAATGTTGCCAATATTTCTGCAATATTGCATAACATTGAGGCTAGTTTAGATGCTGTGGAGGTAGGATAAATAAAAACGAATTCGGATTTAGAAACGGATTCGGATTTTAGTATCATTAAAGAATTGTTCTCCAAAATGACTTCGTTTTGTATTTATCCATTATTATAACTTCTCGGACGTTAAAGACTTGATTAATATTAATATATCTTTCTGGGTAAGGCAATCCAAATCGCGGATCTTTATAGATTACAATGTGGTTGATGCTATCTTTTCGGTTGAATTTCTCCATTCCAAAAAGCACCTTGGACTCTTCTTACAATCTGCAAATTTATGACCGGCTTCTCTGCTAACTCGATTTGTTTGCCTCCACTGCGACTGTACCTTTCCTATATATATATATGTCTCCGATAATCTTGCTAAACTTCGAGGTGAAAGCCCATTTGTTGGACATGAACTTGCCCCTTGATAGTATGATAATCAGGAGATTTCCCTTTCTGGTAGACGTGTTGTTCCTAACTCTGTTGTGTGTCACTGAAGTCTGGATTTACTACACTACGAAGTTTGCTCCAAACGTTGGCATCTGACTTTTCTTCAGTGGCTCTCATTCATGATGGTTGAACCTCTTGTTAACCTCTTTAACCTCTTCTTCTCCGTTCAAGAGTGCTGTGATTTCGTAACCTCTGTTGTTGTCACAACGAATGTATTTTTTGAAGGTGCCTTCTTCTTTTTCCCTTTCTTCAGTTGCTCTTCTGTCATCTCTGAACTATCAAATCTCCCAGTTTCGTTTTTCTATTTCCTTAACAGGTGGATTAAAAAAAACCAATTGGAGGACGAAAGTTCCAATAATTCTTTGTTCCAAAACCGAAAAGTTCCAATAATTCTTTGTTCCAAAAACCAAAAGTTGCAATATAGTTCTTCGTTCCAATAATTCTTTGTTCCAAAATCTAAAAGATCATTTAATTATTATTATTATGATCTGAATTGAATATTTAATTTAAAAAAAAATAAATGTCAAAACATTTTACATATAAGAAGTCTCTTTGACTTTATTCTATATAAAAAGCAATGCTTATAGGTATATAAAGAGAATAAAAAAGTAAAAGAACGATCTTGAATAGGTGTTTATAATTCCTCTTATATATGGAAAATCTCACAATTGACCCCTTTTTTGAAAACCTACTTTTTCCTTCTTTTTTTTAATAGGCTTAGAAGCTCAGGGTAGAGCTCAGATAGAATATATGATGAAAGAAGGGGGGGGGGGGTAAATCTTAAAGAGTGGGAGAATTTACAGAATCTCCTGTAGCTTTAAATTTCTTTAACATTTCTTATTATATGTCAGTTGATACGCGAAATTCAGACAAGAAACTTGATATACATAATATATCATCATAAATTTTAAATTAAAAATAGTGCCCAATTTAAAAACTTAATTAAATATAATTAAGAGAAGTACAAATAATAAAATTAATTTAAAAATTAATTTAAAAATTAATTTTAATATAAATTCTTTAGACGAAATTTTTTTCTGTCTAGAATTGGATGTAGATTACTTGGAAAGGAGAGGTGACATATGGCGATTGGAGATAAGTGACAGTACATCAAAGGAGGAAGAAAATTCTGCTGACAGTCTGGAACAAGTTAAAGTAATTTTTTTAGGGGCTCCCGGAGTTGGAAAATCCAGTATTGTCAAGGTATTATTTTTTTTGTTTGTTCTTTATTTGTTTACTATTTTATTATTTTTTTAATTATAATATTAATAATTTTTATCAAAAAAAGTAATGAAACTAAAAAGGCGTTAAATCTTTTAAAAAGCAACGCTTATAACAATAACGTTGTTTTAAAAAAATTTTTAAAAACAAAAAAGTTAAAAAAGGATTTATTTTATTTATTGGAGTTACGTTCCATTTATTGTGAGCTATAAAGTAATATACGGCAGTTTTTTTTTTTTATTCACGTCATGTCGAACGAATTGAATGCGACAAAACGATAGTATATACCAGAAGAGAATACATTTAAATTCAGGTTCAATCACGTGTTAGGGAACAAACTCAAATAAACGAGCCCACTTCAATCTTCAATTTGCCTCTCAATTTCCATTACATATATGCTTTATTGTAAAATCCAATACAGTTGTATTGAAAAAAAAAGAATATTTTTTATTTTAAAATAAAACTATGTAAATATATTTTACATAACTGTTGTGTTACAAATATCTAACATTTCTGTTACATAACAACTAAACTTGTGTAATAATTCTTAAAATAATTACTATTAAATTAAATTATTCTGCAGAATAAAAATTTACGAATTGACAACGTTTTTTTTTTTTTATTTCCGTTTTTCAGCAATTCGTTTGGAGTGAATTTAATGAAGATTATAGACCGACAGAAAAAAGAGAAACTTATCATCAAAGTGTCGTCTTGGCTGATAGACTTTATGAAATTAAAATCACCGATATTCCAACTATTCCCTATTTCCCAATTAATTCACAACACGAATGGACCGATTTTCGATATTATGGACTCAGAAGCGCTACTGCCTATGTTCTCATTTTCGATCTTAGTAATCAAGATACATTTCAGGTATATAATTTATATTTTTCTCTTTTATATTGTAATAGAATTTTAATTTTTTAAAAGAATTACCGATATAGAAATCTACATTACCGACTGATGGTAAAAACAGGAAAAATGATGATATTAAAAAATTACCGACATAGAAATCTACATTACCAACTGATGGTAATGTAGATTTCTATGTTGGTAATTCTTCATGTCATTTTTCTGTTTTTACCATCAGTCGGTAATGTAAATTTCTATGTCGGTAATTTTCCATATCGTTTTTCGGTTTTTACCATCTGTCGGTAATGTAGATTTCTATGTCGGTAATTTTTCATATAATCATTTTTTCTGTTTTTACCATCAGTCGGTAATGTAGATTTCTTTTGGAATCTATGTTTAATATTTAAAAAGTGCCAAGCGGCATCAAAAAATAGACAAAATTTACTGTAATTTAAGGCAATTTAAAGCTTTTTTAAATTAAATCTATTCTGGACAGAGGGGGGTGTCTTTTTGAGAAAAAAAATATGTAATAAAATTCTTTAAAATGTAAATTGCAACTAATTTTTATTTTTTATGTAACAATCATGCGCTCAAATATTTCGAGAAATGTAGGTGTAGCACAATTGTATAATAATTTATAAACAGAATTTGTGGCAGATTTCTAAAATAATAGTATGCATTATTATGAAATAAATTGAAGTAATAACATTTTGCCAGGAAAGTTTTGATAATTCATTGACTAAAACAATGTAGACTTTATATATATATATGCGATATTCTAAGTATAACTTGTTTCACGTCGACTGCAATGGTTTAATTAAACAATTCCATAGAGTCCTGTTAACTTCATCTTGTTTCTCGACATTTCATTCGCGATAGATAGTATAGCATTGAATCGACACAATATACCTTATAAATTTATGTTTTATATATATATATATATATATACGCCATGACCTATTAATTAGACATTATTGTTCAATACCAATAAATACAGATATCCTACACGCAGGATCATTTAAAGGATTCTATATCAGAAAATTTTGTTTGAAACAACCAAATTTTGGTTGAACAGCCTAATAAATATATTTATTTGATTCAAATAAATTTTTATTTGATTTCAATAAAAAAATTTATTTACGCCAAATAAATAGGCGTTTAATTTAATTTAATTTAAATGAAACAAATTTTTTCATTGTATGAACCAAAATTATTATTTCAATTAACTAAACTTTTTAATTGTATATCAAACAAAAAAATAGAATCCTTTACAAAATTTAAAAAAATAATTTTTTTTTAAATTTAATTTTTGTGAATTAAATATAAGACTATATATAAGAATATTTATTATTGTTTAGTATATAAGAATGTTGCGAGAACAAATTTATGAGGCACGAGACATGAGGGGAGTGCCTTTGTTGGTCGTTGGTAACAAACAAGATAAACTCACGGCTCCTGCGGCTCCAGGAACGAGACACAGGGATATTGTCAATCTTGTTCGCAAACATTGGAGATGCGGTTACGTTGAATGCAGTGCAAAATATAATTGTCGAGTAGTTCAGGTACTTTATTTTCCAAATAAAATTCTCATTTTTTTTTATGTACCTATAGCTTTTTTTATAAATTAATTTATAATTGTAATTTATAGGTTTTTAGGGAATTAATGAAAAATATTCAAGCCGTAGAGGGAAAGCCACCGTCACCAACACCAACATCATCTCAAACAATGAGAGCCAATCAGCAAAACGCTCATGAAAAATGTGTTATTCTTTGACAATGAAACCAATGTTTCATTATTATTCAAAGAAAAAAAGAACTTTTATGACTGTGACAAAAAACTGCTTTCTAACTTTTCAATTTCCCTCCCCAAAAAAAAAAAAATAAAAATAAAAAATTGCGTACTGGCCTAAAAATGTACAACAAAATTATATTAACAAAATTAATTTCTTTTTTTTAAATTATACTTTTTTTTATATACCAATAAAGGTAGAGAAAAAATTTTGAGATTATTTAAATATTTTTTAAAAAAATGTAAAAATAATATTTAATTATTATCAATAATAATCAATTAAATCAAAAATTTATTTTCTATTAAAAAAAATTTTTTTTTTTTTTTCATTTTATTTGTGATGACAATTTGTACAAAAATAAAACGCAAATAAATAAAATAAGCTCCATTTACAATAGACAAAGAAAAGCAAAAAAAAAAAAAAAAAAAAAAACTAATAACAAATAGAGAAAAAAAAAATATTAAAAAATTAAATCGATAATAAATAATATATATATACTATATATAATTATAAGAAAGTATTTATTGTTAAATAATTCAAAAATTGTTTAACAAACTGCTTTGTTGATATAAATTGTTGCATACTCTAAGCTGTTAGAAATGTTAAAATAGTTGTTTTGTAAAAATTTCTATGAAACATATTAACAATTTCGATAAATTAATAAATTTTCGGCCTGAAAATTTATTTTATTGTTTAATTTAGAATTTTTCAACTGAATTTTACTTTCTTAATTATTATTATTATTATTATTATTATTATTATTATTATTATTATTATTATTATTATTATTATTACTATTATTATTATTATTATTTATTATTATTATTAATTATTATTTATTTTCAATTACATTTTCATTTATTATTTCAAATGAAAATTTAATTGAAATTATTTTATTTGAATGTTATTAATAGTTACTTTTTATATTTCGTTATTTTTTTTACAAAATTTTATATTCTACATTTTTTGCATTATTAATTTTTTTCAAATTATTTTTTTTTTTTGTTGATTCATAATATTTTTATTTTGAATTATTATAATATTAATTATAAATTTATATAAAAGGCCAATATTCTCACAAAAGCAGAGAGATAAAAAGTTAGCTCAACAAACTGTACATTTCACTATTAGAATTTAAAAAGTTTATACAAAGTTACGATTGCAGCAATTATAATATTATTATTAATTTGTTATAAATTTTTTTTGGACAATTGAGAGTCTGGATAACTCTCAATTTACATATGCATCTACTTCATAATTCCATTCGAGTGTATAATTAAAAAAAATAAATTGTATGTTTAAAAAAAAATTATTTTTTTTTAATAATTGTAGTACTTTTTTTTCTAAATATTTATAATTAATTATTTACTCTATTCAATAGGTGAAAAAAAAATTTTTAATTAAAGAATTATTAATCAAACTTATTATTTACATAATTAATAATTGATCAATTAATTAATATTATTAATTTAAATTTTAACTTACAATTAATTAGTCTATAAGTATTATTTAATTTAGAATTTAGCTGCTATGGACAATCGGATTTACTTCAAATTTAGTGCATCTTGTAATAAATAAAAAGAAATATTATTATTTCGTAATAATTTAAAATTTGTAATTTAATTTGACTGTTAATCAATAAAAAAAAATCAGTCTCAATTAAAAACTTTCAGAATTTGCCTTTTTTAATTACTATAAAAATCCCGATTTATCATATTTAAAAAAAAAATTTTAATTAATTATGCACAAATAAAATTAATGTTTAATTAATTAAAAAAATTAAATTTATTTTATTTACATTAATAATAATAAATATAATAATAATTAATAAAAAAAATAGATCTATAAAATTAATTTCTTTGTTTAGAAAAACTGAGAATAATGCATTTGCCACTAAATGTGCAAATTCAAAAGAAGCATCAAAATGAGAAGATTTTCGCTCTTAAGCATGACCCTTTTATAAAGTATATTCGACGTCAGCATTGTTCGTACTTTTTTTTAAAGAGTCTTAAGAAAGTCATTCATAAATTGGGTTTAAAAGAGTTTAAATGAAAAACTTAGAGCATAATTTAGCAAATTAAATGCTATCATTAAAAAATTATACTCTAGAATAAAAAAATTATTTTTAAAAATTATTTATGAAAAATTGCAAATTATATTTCACTATATTTTTACAAAAAAATTAAATCAGCTGCGATTTCACCGATCGCAATGCTGAATAATAAAATTTGCAACAGTTCATAATACATTAAAAAAGTTTTTTATTTAAATTCAATTTAAAATTCTAAATATTCTCAAAAATTCTCAAATAATTAGACATTTTGTGTAATTTAAATATCAATTTATACTAAAAGTATCAAAAAAAATAAATTAAATTTTAACAAAAATATCAACTAATTTGAGTAGAAATAGTGGAAAATAATTTAATTTTTTTAAACGATAATAAAATTTTCAATAATAAATTATACATCACTGAAAAAATAAAAGATTATTATAATCGAAAAAAAATATTATTGCTCACCACGATGATTCAACTGAAAATAATGATCAATTAAAAAAAAAAAAAAAAAAAACGTTCACAAAACAATTAGAAAACATTAAAATATAAGACAACATAGTGACAACAACAAAAAATTAAAAATTGGAATAAAAAAAATTTTCACTGGTACTCCAGTTACTTTTTTTTACTTACATTTTTTTAACCCGATTTCCCTACCTACAGCTATATTTAAAACGAAAAAAAAGTTTTGCCTACTGTTCCCGATTTTTCCTACCTACAGCTATATTTAAAACGAAAAATTTTTCGCGAATTTCCTTGCCTACAGATATATTCGAAACGAAACTAATACCGCCCAGGTGCAAAATGACCTACACTAGGATTAACGTCCCGGGACGCAACCGTCACCTGAGCGATCTTTTCTGAAAAGAAAAAAAATTTAATTAGTCAATCATTAAAAAAAGAAAAATCAAAAACTTTTAATTTTTAATTCCAAATGTAACTTTTAATTTTTAAAAATTAAATACAAAAATTTACTATACAAAATTGAAAAATTGTTAAAAAGATTAATTATTTTAAAGTTAATAACATTTTTTAAAAAATTACTGTTTTTTTGAAAAGAAAATTACTTTTAAATAAGAAAAATTACAAAACATTAAAAATATTCAAAATACAGTAAATAAATAACACATGTATAAACAATTCAAAAAAAAAACATTGACAATAATATTAATTTACGTAGTATTAAGGTAGTAATCGACAAAATATGTAATACTTTAAAATGTGGAGAATGTTACAAATTTTAAAGGGTTTTCGAAAATATCACACACTTTATTCAGATTACTCCCCCCCAAAAAAATACTAGAAAATAATAAATTATGTCAATGGTGTCACTATGTTGTCAAAATTCCTTCCCTGTTTTTTAAAATATTTTATTTGGATCAATATCAACTTTTTTTTAAAGTGAAAAAAAATTTCTAAATTAAGAATATAAAATTAATTTTCAATTTATGAATCTATTTTTTAATTGAATAAAAAAATTTAACTGTTTTAAACAGGGAAGGAGTTAAATAAAAAACGACTCACCGATCGGCGAATCCCACGTTGGGACAATAGTAAAATCGCCACTTCTCGAGCGCTTCAGGTCAACTCCCAAAGATCCCTTTTTCTTGCTCGCACTTCTGCGAAAGGTTGGGAGCACAAAAAAAAATTTTATAAAAAAAAAAATAATAAAGAAAAAAATATTTTTCATAAAAAAAAACTGTATGCTGGGACCACTTTTCTTCTTCCACATCCTTCCTAGTCTCTTCAGATAATTGGAAAATTGAAATGGATCTGAAAAAAAGGATTAAAAAATTAAATTATAAAATTATTATTTGCTCAGAACACTATTAAACAATAAAATCATTTGAAAGAAATTTTTAATCAAAAAAATGTTAAATGAATGTTAAAAAATTTTTCAGAACTAAATTAATTAAAAAATAATTAAAGCCAATTACAAATTTTTTATGTGTAAATTTTTGAATTTATAAAAATTAATAATGAAAGAAAGACTCACCTATATGAAGGGATTTCAGCGTAGTGTTAAAAATACGATGCCAGCACATTTTTTTTTTTTATGAAAGGACAAATCTTTCTTCTTCTGGACCAACTGCCTGGAAAAAAAAAATAATTATCCTACATGTGAAAAGTAAAATATTAAAAATCCTGAATATTATCAATTATTTTAATAATTATTATTATACTTTTAAATATATCAATATTTGATATTGTTCCAATTATCATTTACAAACATTAAAATTTGTTACAAATAAAAACAATAGATAAATTTTAATTATTATATTAAATATTTGTTTTTATTATATTGATATTTATGAAAAATATAATGGAATTTGTTTATAAATTTTCAAAAATATTTTCAATAGTAACTATTGTTATTTCTGTATTTCTTTAAAAATAAATTAATTTTGTTAATAAAATTCAATTTCTTAAAAATTTTAAATATATGCATAAATTAAAGGAAAAAATTTATTAACATACATTGAACTGCGACTCAGCAATGCCAGATCTCCTCCAGGAGCAGCTCCGCAACAAACACCCATCCTTCACGCAATTAAAACTATAAATTGAGAAAAAAACTATTTTATAAAAATTTATAATTTTTTTTTTTAATAAAAAATTGAAAATCAAATTTTTTAAATAAAATTAATTTAATTTAATAAAAATCAAACCATTTCTTGTTTTCTCAGTTTTTTTCATAAATTTTAATTAACTAACAATATTTGTGTTATTAATTAAGAATAACTTTAATTGCCATCGAAAATTATTTAAATTATCAACTTTTGTAATTAATAATTAATGAGTAAAATAATAATTTTTTGTATCAATAAAAGGAAATGCCTGCGCTAATAAATATGCAAAAAAAAGAAAAATAATAAACAAAAATTGTCTAAATAAAAAATTCAAAAAAAATTTTTTTTTTTGTAAAATAGATATTAAATTATTTTTTTACAAAATTTAGAAAGAATTTTTCAATTATTACATATTAAATAGAAAATTTAATATTTATTATATTTCACAAAAATAAAATTAATTCTTTTTATAAATAAATATTTACCTGATTTGAGAAGAAATGATGACGCCGAAAGAAAAAACCTTATTACGAGATAATTTCGTTTCCATATTTTAGCCCTGTAAATAAATGAATAAAAAAAACTCAATTAAATATATACGAATTTTAATTGTAATGAAATTTTGCTTTTAAAATTTGTCTCTTAAATACGACGGACAAATATCTGAAGAAATATAAAAGAGAAATGTGGAATTAGTTGTGCGGTAATTTTTAGGTTAAATTCTAAAGCATCATCAAATTTGACAAAATATTAAAAATTCCGATACTCACCAACAAAAATTAATTGAATTCTTGAATAATTGGATTAAACTGATCTTAATTATTGAAATATATTTGTAATTTACACTACAATTATGAAATACTTTTTGTTTTTCACGAAATAATCGGTAAATTTCAACCGCGCTTTCAACAATGTCCACTACAGTAATGAGCAGTGGTACCAACAAAAACGAAAAAAATACCAACATTACTACCAACATAGAATTTTTTTTTTACTTTTTTTAATTGTAAGTTTGTAACAACCTTGCTGAACCTTATTTATTATTTTCAATTTTATTAATATATTTCCAATTATTTTTTTTTATATTAATATTGATTTCGACATATAAATGATTTTTTAAAAAATTAATTAGGGCGAAAATACCCTAGTGGCTGCAAAATGAAGTCATATATAATGCCAACCCAAGATAACAAAAAAACTGAACTTCATTCCTACCAATATAACAAAAATTCTCTTTTGAGAAAAGTTTGATTTTTTTTTATTTATTCATTTTTTTCGCAATTCTTATATTTATTATTAATAAAATAAAAATTGTTATATTATTACGATTTGAATTATACATTTACCTGTATTTTTTGTTTAACATTACGTTTCTAAACTTTTTAGGTTAGATTTCCGTGTCAGAAAAATTTTACCGAAATGTACTAATTTTTTTGTTTCCTGCCACGAAAATTTGATAAATTTCTGTTTATTTATATAAAACAATACTTAATTATCAAAATATATGAATAATTAGTGTTAAGATTAAAAAAAATACTGTAAGATTCATTTTATAAAATGAAAAACGAATCTCCTATACTTTCTGACGACGCCATTTGCAATGAGCAGTAATGCCAACCCAAGATAACAAAATGCTGAACTTTTCATTTCTACCAACATAACAACAATTTTCTTTTAAAAAAAGCTTGATTTTTTTTATTGATTAGTTTTTTTTGCACTTTCCATATGGATTACTAATAAAAAATAATTACTATTTAAAATTATATATTTACCTGTATTTTTTTAATTAAAAAAAACTATTGTAAAATATAGAATTTTTTTAAAAATCTTGCTGTTTCATTTTCCACTGGTTCCATGTTCCATTCTCGTTCCACTATCCACGTCTGCAAAAACATGACGAATAATATAAAAAAAAAAATTACTTCATGACATTTCATGACGTTTGTTGGTTTATTTTATCTATAAATATATTTATAAAAAAATTTATCGAAGAAAGGAATCATTAAACACATTTCTATACTTTGTGTCGTAAAAACTTACGATAATCACGTATAGCTATATTAGTAATTATATTATTGGTTTTTCCATTTTCATTTAAAAAAAAAAAAATGTTCATCAAAATTTATTAATAAAAGTGAACAAAAATGCATCAAGAAATCAAATATAACATAATTATATATCAATTTGAAAAAATATTTTTTTATTGAATTCAAAGTTAAGGTAAGTATTTTCTATTTATATAATTGAAATGAATTGACAATTTGTTGCGTTTAATTTCTTATCTATATAGCTTACAATTTTTTTTTTTTCTCAAAAATTTTAAACAAAATTTTCCAAATATTTTGAAAATAAAATGTTATTTACACAAAAATTACATATACCAAATTATTTGGAAATATTTTAAAAAAATCTTCCGTATGTTTATTTTTATTTTCACAAACATAACCTCAAAATGTTTGCATTCAATTTCTATATTATAATTAATCTTTTAATTATTTCTTTCGATTTTTGAAGGTTTTTAGAATTATTAGAAAAAATAAATAAATTTACTAAGGATTTAATTTCAAAAAAATTTTTAAAAAAAACTTGTCTTTAGAGATTTTTTTAATTACAATATGTTTTCTATTTTTTAATTCTCTTTTTTTTTATTGAAATAGATCATCGAAATTCTTTCGACTTTTATAATTTAAAATGCCCGAAACAACGTCTGAAGAAACAACAACGAATACAACAGAAAATAATACCGAAGATAATAATCAAAGAATAATTCCAAATCCAATAAGAGATAGTCAAAATGTAAATAATTTAAATCTTGGAGCAAGAACTATTGAACGTTCTCGATTATTTGTTAATAATATATCGACGACAATTGAAGAAATGCAACCAATAATTGGACAAGTATAAAATTATTTTTATTTTTCACATGAATATTTATTTTCATAAAAAAAAAAATTGAATGATAAAACTTTCTTTTATTTAAAAAAAAAAAAAACAATTTTATTCTTTTTTGTAATTTAGAAAATGTTTTTTTTTCTCAAATTTTTAATATAAAAGGAAAAAAAAAAAGTTTTATTCTTTTACTATCGAAAATTACTAAAAATTATTAATTTTTCTTTTCAAGATTTCTTGGTCATTTTGGCCAAATTCACCACGACAAAATTCTGACGAGAGAACATTACAAAATGAAGAATCACAAAATGATAATTTTATAATAAACATGGAAACAACATCGGAATCTGATGTGATTTTGAATCCACCACCAAATTCACCAACAGATCACAATCATTATCATAATCACAATCATAATAATTCCAATTCAAATGATAATTTTCATCGTGATATTCACGAGACTGATAATAATGACGATAGTCAAAATAATAATAATAATAATAGTGAAACTCAAGACGCTCATTCAACATTGAATCCAGAAGCAAGAAAAATGCTTAAAATATTACGAAAATACATTCCATTAGTTTTAATTTTACTTGTCAAAGTTCTTATTGATTATAAATATAAAATAATACATTTTTTGGTTTTAATATTGACAACAATTCAAGCTGATTCCGATTTAAAACGTGAAATATCAAAACAACAAAATCGTAATTTCATGTCATTATTTGGAATATTTCTTTATATAATTGGTTGTATTATTTTTTTGAATTTTTTATTTGATCAACCAATAATGCCAAATATCACAACATTAACAAGCGCATGGGAATTATTGTGGATTGTAATGATCACTGATTTTATGATGAAATTAATAACAATTTTTTGCAAAGTTATATTCACTTGTTTCTCGGCGAAAATTATTTCACTTCAAAGTAGAGTGAGTATTCTTTTTTTTTTTTGCAATAAAATTGCAATTTAAATGAATTTCAAAATAATCTTTTATCATAGGGAAAATTATTACAAAAAAAAAAGATATTTTAAATATGAATATTAGTAGTAATAATAAAATAATAATAATTCATTGAAATAATGATTCAAAATTGCTTTTTTTTTCTTTACTTAGGGTAAATATTATCTGATGTTGGAAGCGACGTCACAACTATTTCGATGTTTCATTCCAATTCCATTTTGGTACAATTTTTTATTTGAAGCATATGAAGGAATCGAAAAATTTTATAGTTTTAGTCTCATAACTATTTATACGCTCAGCAAAGGTGGCAACATTATTTCCCAATTGAAATTATTGAAACACGCTGTGAATAAAATGATGCAACAAGTGGTGAGTAGTGTCGATTTTTTAAAAATTTTATTTTTCAAAAATTAATTAAAAAATTAATTACAAAAATTTTTAATTAAAATTTCTGTTTTTTTTCAATTTAAAAAAATTGCTTCTTTTTAATTGTAATATTAAATTTCACAAAAGTTTAATAATAATTAAAAACAAAAACGATAAAATTTTATTTTCCGTTTAAAATTTTTTTAGAGTGTCGGATCTTTTGCGACAAAAAATCAATTGGACGAATCGGGGGGAATTTGCACAATTTGCCACGATGAATATTCATCACCAGTGAGACTTCATTGTAAACATATATTCTGTGAACTTTGTGTGATAACATGGTTAGATCGAGAACGTTCCTGTCCTCTCTGTCGTGCTCCCATCTCAGATGATCCAATTTATCGCGATGGTCACACATCCTATTTTATTCAACTTTTTTAATCCCCTTCCATTATAAAAAAAAAGAATTCTAAAATTTGTTTATCAAACTCTTATTTTTTCAGTATTCAATCAAAAAACATGTGATTACAATTCCCATTATTATTATTATTATTGATTATAATTTTTTAAAAATCTTTATATTAATCAAACTCATTGTAAAATAATTGTACACAAAACTAGATTTACTACTAATGTAATTTATGAGAAGTTGTTTTTTTTTTCGATAATAAGACTGGACAATTATTTAGTGCAAGTTACAAACTAATTCCAGTTTTTAAATTTTTATATATTTTTTGTTTTTGTGCTTTAATTCGAAGAATTAAATATATATATATATTTGTAACACTTGAAGAGAGTAAGAGCGTTTGTATAAAAAAGAAGAAGGGAAATTAAAATAAAAAGAATTACATAATTACATTTGTATAAACGATGGAATTCGTTTAATCCAATATTTGTTAAATGACTGTGTATAATAAAAAATAACAAAATTGGATATGAAAAAACAAAAATGATTCTTACTTTCATTTCAATTGTATGAAGACGGAAAAAAAAAAAAAATATTTTCTTAATGAAACATCACTGATTAACTCTTAGTTGAGCTTGAAAAAATTCACCATCACCTCTTGTTGCCTGTCGATTTATCTCCTTGTGACGATCACGACTGACAATCTCCTCCAAAACTTCCCCGTCGCCTTTGATTAATCTGCAAATTAATTTCAAAATATTAAAACAAAATAAATATTTAATATTTTTGTTCATGGCTTCTCAATGATTATTTATAAATGTTTAAAATATAAAATAAAATATTAATTTTTAAAAAAAAAAATTTTCATCATAAAATCACTTACCCAGATTTTTTGGAAATTAAAAAAAAATTTACTGAAATTAATAAAATTATTATAATCCTGAAAGAAAAGACAAATTTGGGAATGGATTGAAAAAGAAAAAGAATTATGTTACCTATGTCTACCAGATTCCTTATCGTACATTTTACGAACAACGCCCTGTCGTTTTTCCCATTGTTCTTTTGTCATTGGTGCCATTGCTTTCGATTTATCAACAACAACTGGTTCCGCACCCTCATCAATTGTTTTTTCTTTTGATACTTTTTTCTTCTCCTTAATTGGCTTATCTTTGCGTGTTTTCATTTTTTTCAATTTCTTCTTAAGCTTCTTCTTCTTACGTTTTTTTTCAGCTTTCTTTAATTTTTTTGCAATTTTTTTCCTCTTCTTACGTTTCTTTTCATCCTCAGAACTTGAACTTGAATCACTTGAACTTGAATCATCAGTATCGCTACTACTCTCACTACTTGAACTCGATGAACTTGACGATGAATGTGAACGTTTTTTTAATTGAACATTGTCTTCAGATTCATTATGATGATGATGATGCTGTGACGATGATTCATCTTCAGTTAATGATTTTGGTTTATCACGCGTTGTACTGCTACTTCTTTCAATTTGATGATGCGATGACGATTGATCGGAACGTGCACTATCGCGATTTTCATATTGTCGTGACGATGATGATTCCTCAGTTTTATATGAATTATTATAATCCTGCGATGGACGATCTTTGGAAAATCTTTGACGTTGCGCATAACGATCTCTCATATATGATTGTCCTTCATTATTCCGATGTTGATACATGCCACGTCGACGATATTCATAACTCATTGATTGATTCATTCTACCGCCTTGAGATCGATTGAAATTATTGAAATTTCGATTATTCATGTCACGTCCACCACGCATTCGACGATCATCAAAATTACGATAATTTCGATTCATGTTGCCCCTTTGTCTGTAACTAAGAAAAATCAATTAATCATTATTGTCCAATAAATTCTAAGGATTCTAAGGACATGATTTTTTTTTTCACCGTCGTCGAAAATCGGGTCCTTAGTCGATAAGAGAAAAAAAAAAGAAAAAAAAAACAACGTTCATCTTTTTTTTTTTTTTTGAAGTATGGGGAAGAGTGAAAAAAGACTTAGAAAATTTCAATATTTATGTAAAAAAATAAATAAAACGATGCATAAAATTGGTTAAAATTCTCGATTAAAATGAAAACGTAAAAAAATAAAGGAAAGCAATTGAAACTCTTTTATCAAGAAAATCGTGATTTGATTAATTTTTAAAAATTACGACGAAATCTTTCTGTCGATTGTTTGGTCGGTCAAATGAAAATTCGTACAATTAAAAATTAGGATAAATTAAAATTCGATGAATTGAAATTTTTGTCATTTAAAAATTCAAATAACATAAAATTCTATTGAATGAAAATTCTGTTAAATTAAAATTCTTTCAAAAAAAAAATCAAGTCAAAGAAAATGACTGTAAAATAAAAAATAGCTAAAAAATTTTATGTAAAAATTCGTATAAAAAAATCTGTTGAATTTTAAATTGAAAATTCGTCTAAAAGATAATTATTTCTTAGAATATTCTTTAAAATAAAAATTCTAATTAATGATTTTTATGGGATAATCATGCGCCCCATAAAAAAAAAATGTTAAATATTTGGGCAATGAGAGTAATCTTGTAATTTAATTTTCCATCTCGCTAAACGAGAATTTATAGTCGAATTTTTTAATTAATTCAACCAAATTAATGCTTTATGATCTGTCAGAATAGTAAATTTTCTACCAAATAGATAAAAATTTGAAAATATTGAACTAGAAATCAAATTATTAGCCAATTGTCGAGTTTTTTTCTTTTTTACGTTCCCATTTTTTTTTTAAAGAGATCAATTTTCACCTTATTTTATCGTTTCATCTGAAAATCAAAAAATACAAAAAAAAAACGAATAAAAATTGTTCAAAGAGTTGAAATAAAAAACTCACCATTATTATCTTGAAATCAACAAGTAACCTTTTGTATATCCTCATTTTTTTTTTTTTTTTTTTTTAATAAAGCAAAGATTTATATAATGAAACAAATTGTTCAATTCCAAGCCTCGCGCGCTCTTCCCCAAACAAATAAAATTGAAATTTGTTGTTTATTTTTTATTTTTTTTGTGATTTGCGGTTCAAGAAAAATTGCATACTTCATGCCTCTCATTCCACCTTGATTATTGTCGTTGTACATCCGATTTGAAAATGTACGATCGAATCTCTCCATTTTGTATCTCGACTCACGTTGACTGTAGGTGCGTTGTTCACGTACATAATTGTCACGACCACCACTGCCTCCACCCTGTAATTGAATTCCATTGCGACGATCGCGCGACGATTGATTATATTTTTGTGACATTGCACTATTATTGTCGGATTTCGATTTTAATTGTTTTCGTGAACTTGAACCACGACTTGCCGTTGATGATGAACTGGAACTACCCGATGAACTTGCACGTCGTTGTTTTGATTTATTACGTTTATCCTTACTGCAGGCGTTACGACGTTTTGGCGATAATCCCGAGCCACTTGCGCTCGATGAACTTGAATTTTTATGCTTTCTCAATTTCCCCTTTAAACGATCCTGCGATCTTGAATCTTGCTTTGAAACAACATCACTCATTTTGTTGAACGTAAATGAAACTGTATTAGTGGACCCTGCACACAAATCATTTACAACAATAAGATCATGTAAAAAAAATAAATAAATTCAAAATCAATTTAAACTGTTATCATATTAAAAAAGAATTACAAAATTTTACAAAATGGTTTAATTAATACGAAAATAAAAAAATAACTTTTGATACAATTTTAATTATTCAAAAATTATCCTCAAATATTAAATCAAATAGTTGGAATAATCTTTCAATTTTTAAAAATCAAATTGTCCTTAAATATTAAATCAAATGATTGAAAATACTTTTAATTATTCAATCAAATAGAAAAATATCTTTAATCCGGGATTTAAAAAATTATTCCATTAAATAATTGAAATTAGATTCAAATAATTAATAAAAATAATTGAAACTATTGAAAAATATGGAAAAAATTTTAAATAACATTTTTATTCGTTTACCTTTGATCAATATATTTTAAAAATTTAATTTTAATTTTCTACTTTTTAAAATTTTTCATTTTAATAATTAACTTACAATTATTAATAGAAACGTGCGAGAATTTTCTAGAAAGAATGAATTTTTTTACATAACTATTACATATACAATAGAAAAATTACGATCAATGAAAAAAGAAAAATAAATTGTTACAAAATATTTTTAACAATTCATCACAATTTCTGCAAATTTCGTTATTTAAAATTATTTTTATTTATAACTTCATTTAATTAATTTATACCTATTATTAATGAATTTCTATTTAATAATTTCATAAAAAAAAATTTTATTACGAATTTTAAAAATTTTTACCGTTTTATTTTCTAAACATTAACAATTTATTTAGAAACATTTTTAATTATTTTTTTCCACGTAAATATTTTAAAACATTATTTTTCAAATATAAGGGAAAAATTAAATGTAATTCCTCACAATCTAGATATTTTCATTTACTTTTTTTAAACTAATAATGAAACGACCCTTTATAAATAGATTTAGAAGACACAAAATCAATATAAAACATAAATATCCAGTTAAAGTATATAGAACGTTTTTCTTGCTCTACATAACAGAAAGTATATTTTAAAATTTATCAATTAAAACAAAATGATGCAATCTCAATATAGAAAATATTTAATTTAAAATGAGTACTTACCTCAGAAATGTAGCATTTCAGAGAAAAATACAGGAATTCTTCGGCGAAGTTGGTTTTGCGCATTATACAAAATCCCAATTTTTTAACCTTTCATCACAAGCATTGTGACAATTTCCATGAATATATATATATCTATATATATATATATATACTTATATTGATGACGCCGTTGATAATAATTCCAAGCGGTTTATTATTTCTGATGAATTTTCGTATCACACCTAAACTATTTCACAACTTTTATATTATTTAAAAAAAACAACTAAAATCGACAGCAATTTATGCATAAGTAAATATAGATTTTAATTTCTTAAAATGGCAAATTAAAATATCGATAATGTAACATAACCTACAAAAAAAAATGAGTAAATGAAGAGAAAAAAAAAGCCACAATTGTTCTTCCAAATTAAACTGAACTAATTGAGAAATGGGGTGATGAGTTTAGAGGAAAAATCAATGAATTACACGATTTATATTTTTATAGCAATTGTTAAACGAAAGAAAATATTACTCGATTGCATTTACCTTTTGTGACTCGTTGAAAAGAAGAGGAAGACGAACAAGACACGAACAAAAAGTGACGTAGAAACGAAACTGACAACTTTAACGGAAATAATAACCACGGGAGAATTGAAACGTATACGAACCGGAAGTGATAAATGTTTTTGAATTAAAAATTGTAATGTACTTTTTTTTTATTTTACTTTCAAAAAATTATATATAAGAAATTAATTATTATTATATTAAATTTATTTATTTTCTGTCTACACGTCAATTAATACGGATATTTTAAACCAATTTTAAGGTTAGGGTTTTTTACATTTAGCGGGAAAGTTTAAAAAAGAATACATATAGAAAAAACCAAATTATATATTAGTCACAATTTATTTTTATTGTATTTTCTGTTTACAATATAAAAGAATATCTATTCTTATAAACATAAAAATTGATTTATTGACTTTTTTGAGATTCTAACTGTTTCAATAAAAGAGTTATAATATATATATATATATATATATATATATAATATACATTTTGAAACAAAAAAAAAAATTTCAATCTGTCAAAGTTTCAATTTTTTCCCAACTTTTTAAAAAACAAAATTCTATTAATTTTTTATCAAGTCCCAATAAATATTAGTTTTAAAATAATTAAAATTTTTTTTTAAATTCCAAAGAGTATTATTTTAAACAATGTCGATAATAGAAAAAGATTGCTATTGCAAAAGTAAGGTGAGTTTATAATTAAAGAATTTTTTATTTTATTAACCTTTACATATATTTAATTTTATTGCAGCATTTAAAAATTTATTTAAATCAAATTTTAAACATTTCTCTTCATATAATTACTTACGTCTTTAAAAAGTCTTAAATTAACAAAACTACTATTACTAAAATTTAAATACTTATCAATTTTGCATTTATTGACAAAAAAAAATTTTTTTTTTTTTTTTGAAGAAAAGTTTTTTTTTTATTAAAAACTAAAAATATTTTTAATAAAAGAAATTACTTTATTTTTAAAACTAATCCTATGACTCTTTTGACCCTGTATGCTTATATCACCCGCTTTACTTTGCTATATAAAAACCAAACTGTGATTTAACTTTTGAAAATCATTAAAATTAGCAATGATTTCCAAATATTTTGACATTTTTAAAAGTTCATAATCCGTAGTATTTACATTTGTTTTTTTATAAAAAGGTTTTATGAAAAGACCTGATTGTGGATTTAAAATGAAATTTGTCTTTAAATCATCAATCATAATTGTATTCTTGGGGGAGAATTGTTTATATTTACCCCAAATTAAAGCAAGAGGTTTTACATTAATAAATTTAAATTTTTTTAATCTAATTGGTACCATCGCCAATATATCTAAACAGAAGGCAATCTTATAATTAGGATTATTATTTATTTTGAATTTGTTCATCTTTCTCTCAATATATATCATTTTTGTCGCTGACCAAATAACAATGTCATAATTTTTATAGGCTTTCGTTAAAAATTCATGTAAACAGGGCCTCTTTGCATTTGATCTATCATCCAACAAGGTGTGATCTATATCAAGAACTAGTAATTTTTTTCCCTCACGAAGAGGATTTAATTCTTCAATATTATAATTGTTTATTCTTTCCTGGATTATTTGATCAATAAAATTATCGCCAGTGACGATCTGGAATATATATTATTTATTTATTATTTTATTTACTTTTATATCGCGCTTTTGTAAAAAAAGGAAAAGGGGTTCCGACCCAGACTATATAATTATAAATATAATAAAGATTAAAGATGAAGAAAATTATTTAATACTTACATGTAAAAGTAGAATGTTAAGTAAAATGAAATAAAATCGAAAATTAATCATTTTATATAATTATTTTATATAATTTCGCACTTGGTTTATATAGAAAACTTCATGTTAAACTATCTTTTTTTAATTATCTTTTTGTTATTTTATTGATATTTCAATACCTTAAGTCCATTAAAATATGATTAGGCACATAATAGCCTATATACATATACATGTATGTACTTTTGAAAAGAATGTAATTAAATAAAAATAGATATGTATAGCTTTTTTAGAAACTGCGTATAATATGTATAATTTAACTGAATAATATGAGAGAATGTAATAAAAATAATTCATATCGTTTTTTTTTATATCATTGACGTCGCACATTACATGTTTTAATTGATTAAAATTAATAATTATTAAAAATTTATAAAATTAAATTATTTAATATTTCACCAAAGTTTTTTAAAATTTAATTCATCTTTTTCTTTAAAAATTTTTATACGAATTATTCGTAAAAGTAATTAAAAAATCATTGTGATTTGTTCCGGAAGACTGAACTGAGTATTTTTATAAATAATTTAATTATTCAAAGCGATGTAAATTAGAATTATAGTGAAATATGGGCCATTTTCGATCCTATCAGTATCCACGTATTTTGTATAAATTTTATCTAAACAATCAGAGGGATGGGGAGTCTGAATTTTTTTTAAATCCTACCAAAGGGAATAAAGGGTTTTATCTAAATAACCATAATGTAATGTTAGCCTGATTTTGAATTGTTTCATTCCATAATTATTGCTTTACTTTAATGTTATTTATTATTCATCATTAATATAAAACAAACTTTTTTTGAAAACTGCTTCACAGTTTCTTATATCCTCTGGCATGTCCATAGGCATCTGAAACAAAAAAAAGAGTACAATTAAAAAAATAATGTTTATAATTTTGTAAAGTTTATATAAATGTATATAATTTTTAATAGCAAATTTGTTATATTTAAAAAAATATCTTATTTTGCAGTTATTAAAGATTTATTATACCTAACATATAGTTGATAAATTTATTTTATTTCATTAATATAAAAATAGGATTCAAAAAATTCAATTCAATTCACAAAGCTGGAACCTGCACTTTGCGATGAATTAAAAACAATCGTAGAAGCTCTAAACGTTCAGGGAAAAGGTATTTTAGCTGCCGACGAATCACCTGCCAGTTTAGAGGAGAGATTCCGATTTTTAAATTTGGAAAATACTGAAATTACTCGAAGAGATTACAGGGAAATGCTATTTTCATCTAATGAGGTTTAGTTTTAAAATTTGTTTCACAAAAAAGTTTTGCATTTGTATTACGAGAAAATTTATTTTAAAATTTAAATGACAAAATTTAATATTTAACAAACTTAAAAAACAAATTATGCAAAGCTATACAAATTTAATACACGGACAAAATATTGGTACAAACTGACAGACAGATAAACCGTAAGTCGCAGCAAGAGGTCAAATAAAAAAAAGTTCAAAATAACTTTCAGATTTTAGTAATTTTTTTTCAAATACTCTGTATTAAATTTAGAAGAGTCTAAAAAAAAATTTTTAAATCTTGCTTTTTCGGATGTGAGTAGTCGTTACTTGGTCAATATATAAGTGGAATTTTATTACATCACGAAACATTATATCAAAAAACGAAAGACGGTGTAGAATTTATCGATTTATTATGTCAAAAAAATATAATTCCTGGAATAAAAGTTGACAAAGGTTTAGTGCCTTTATTTGGAACTGAGGGAGAAAATTTGACCCAAGGTTTAGATGATCTAAAAGAAAGATGCATTCAATATAAAAATGATGGATGTCATTTTACAAAATGGAGATGTGTTTTTACTATTTCTGATAATTTACCAAGTCGTCTGTCAATTGAATCGAATTGTCACGTACTCGCTAGGTGAATATAAAATGCAATTTTCTTGTTAAATTCCAATATTTTTTTCTACTTTTAATTAAAATCATATTTCTTCAGTTTAATAATTTATATAATATAAAAAAAAAATATTATTTATAGATACGCAACAATTTGTCAAAGTGCCAGATTGGTGCCCATTGTTGAACCTGAAATTTTGACTGTCGGTGATCATTCGATAGAAAAATGTCAACAAATTCTAGAAGAAATTTTGTCAACATTATTTTTTATTTTTCAAAAATATCATGTTTATTTAGAAGGAATTATTCTCAAACCAGCAATGGTTCTTCCAGGAAATAAATCCGAAATTTGCAATGCAGAGATAAGTTTTCTATGCTTTAAAATATTTATGAAAAAATTTAAAGAAAAAATACTTAAATATTTGAGATTAAAAAAATTTATTTTTAATTTTTAATTAAACAGATGGTTGCAAAATGTACTGTCACAGCACTTTTAAGAACAGTTCCATCTGCAGTTTCAACGATATTTTTTCTTAGCGGAGGCCAAAAGGATTCTGAGGCTTATTCAAATCTCAATGCCATTAATCTCTTTAATGCTAAAAAACCATGGACTCTCAGTTTCTGTTTTGGTCGAGCTCTTCAGGTATAGAATAATAAATATTTAAATACTTTAAAACTCATCATTGATGTTTTTAAGTTGAGAATATGAAAAAAAATTTAGAATTATAAAAAATAATACTGAACTTTGCTTTTAAGATCAAAAGAAATTATAAATTTTTCTATGTTATAAAAAACTGAAATTTTATTTATTTTTCCCTTTGAAAATATAAAAAAAATTTGTTACTACTTTGATATATAAAAAAAATTTAATTTAAATATAGAACGAGGCAATGAAAGTTTGGAGTGGAGAGTGTAGAAACATATCAATGGCTCAAAGTGCATTTTTGGAGAAAGCAAAATTGGCTTCACTAGCCTCTTTGGGAAAATACAGTGAAAATTAAATTTTAATTAATATAAATAATAAAATTACTGATTATGAATATTTATGAATTTTTTTCAGAAGGGATATTTATTACTCTTGTTTAAAAAAGTTTTATTGTTTTATGTATGTAAGAGAAAATAGGAAAAATATATAATTTTTTACTTTTAAATATAACAAATGAAAATAAAAGATTTTTTTTTAAAAAAGATCCTGCTATGAGGTGCCAATAGCCTTAGCAATGAAATTCTGATGATGAAGCTTTCAATGTCAAGCAAGGTGCCCTTGACTGACCTTTAAAGCAGTGATTCTCAAACAGAGTATAGGTTATTCAATGGATTTTAAAGAATGCCAATAAACATTCATGAATTTCATCACTCCACGTCGTCGTGTCGGTCGATGAATTGTCATCCCTACTTTCGAAATCAGTGCAATAGCCACGTGGTCCACTCAGGGACGTAGTCACTTAACGTACGTCATGATTATAAAATTTATTTATATCATTTACATAAATATATACACGCTATAAATAAATATATTTACTTTTATTACATTCACATTCTTTTTGTGAACGCAATATTAAAAGGTTATAAAAAAAGGACCATTTTTGGCACTACATATGAATTTGTTGATAAGGATTAAAAAATATTTTTTTTTTAGAAAAATGGAGATGATAATTATTTTTTAGGTTAAAGATAAATGATAAATCAATAGATTTTATATTTAATTGATTTTTCATTAAAAATTTAATATTATCTCAAAAACTAAAATAAGTGGTCCCACTTCATGCGGATTTCCCCATATATAAAAATTTATAACAAAAAACCGTTTAGCTTTTTGCTCGGGTATTAAAAAGTTATATACTATTTCTACTATCATTTTTATTATAACATTTTAGTCGCGCCATAATAATAAACTGAAATCACTAATTAATAGTTGTCAATTTATTTTTAATTTACTATAAAAAATATAAATTATCAGGGATATTTTACTTACACAAAACTATACCTGCGGGAAGCCAATAACCAGTGTTGGGTAAGTAAAATTCTCAAATTATTCTTAAATTCTTTAAGCTGTTTTTACAATAACTGTTTTCTTCGGCACACAAAAAAAACTATCTATCCTTGTTTAACTTATGAAAAATAGTGTAGACGGACCTTTAGTTCATTCAATTCATAATTTTACCTTCCAATCCCTGCTAAAAGTTTTGGCGCGCGCTTCATGTTAACAAAAATGTGCAATTGTTTACTTAAAAATAAAAAAAATTCCCTTTTTTCGTGTAATAAATAAAAAAATATTAAATATTAGAAGTTTGTCAATTTATAATTATATATATATTAGAAAAGATAATTCTGCAAACTGTAGTTATTCAATTAATTAATTTTGAGGACAAGTGATAATTTATAGGTTAAGTTATAATTTTTTTTTGCACCTCTTTTTTTTCCCTATGAATTATTAAAAAAAAAAAACCCCCAATTACATATTTCTATTGGAAAAAAAATTCAAGATACATTCCTGAAATTAATTTTCACGATTATATGCGAGAATAAAAGTTGAGAACACTGGTATGACATAAAGTGCGCCGGCGTGAGCGCAAAAGCAAAAGGAACTTTGAGGCCGTCATTCGTTTTTAATCGTGACTCACAGTCGTTTTCCACCCGGGTATCTATCAGACCTTGTTTCTTATCCCTCACGATTTTTCAATTTTTACTACGTTGAAACGAATTTTATCTACAAAAGCACGTAAGTACATTTAATATCTTTTATTTGAAAAAAAAAAAAAATGAAAAAACTTTTCCAATAACTTATTGAATTTAAAACGAATATAACGTTTTCTATTTTTTTTAAATGCCCAATGACCTTGACTGACATTTAACACTTGCACGTAGATTTTCTTTTTTTTTTTTTGACATTCCCATAATTTTTCTAGTTATAATTATTTTATTATTGAAATTATCAAATTAGATTGTAAAAACAATTTTTTAAATGTATTTTTCATTCGCGAAATTTTAAATATTATCACTTCCTGGTTGAGATTACATATATATATGTTAAAGTTACGTCATACACTTGAGAACCCCTTGGAATGATATGGGGAGAAAAACCTTCAGGAAAATATTCAAGTTCATGAGTTTGCGCCCCTTGAAAATAGGACAAATTCGATAAGGGGTGTTTCTTTTTTTTCATGCGTCAAAAAAAAAAAAAATAATTAAAACATTTTTTTTTTTATAATTATTTCTTTCGATTTTGCAAAAAAAAAAAAAAATTGAAGGACGAAAATTTTATTAATTACAAATTTTTTTTTGGGAGGGGATAACAATTGAAGTTTAATTATTTGAAATTAATTACATTAACATGAATTCTTTTATTCATCAATAATCAAAAATTTTTTAAATCGTTTTTTGCCATTATTGATTAATAATTAATTAACTAATTTTATTATTACTTAATAATTAATTTATTTAATTAATAAAAAAAAATTAATTTAAAAAAACAGATAATTATGATTACTTATTATGATTAATCAATAATTAACTTATTAATATTAATTTATTTAAATTAATTATATTCTAAATATTGAGGAAAAAGTATTTCATAAAAATTTAATTCTACTTTTGAAAAAAAAAATTATAAAAGAAATTTCAATTGATAAGGAATTATTTACCATATGGATTTATTGATTAGATGAAATGAAATTTTTTTTTTAAATAAATAATTTTATGAGATTGTTAAACTAGATTAGGGCATTTTTATTAATACTGCAAAAAATTACAATTGAATAAATTTTTTTTTTTTTTTTTAAAGGATTATTAAATGACTAATTCTGATAAAATTCAGGAAATGGATAATTAAACAAAGTATCATAATTACATAACAAACATCGAAAATTCTAATTCCAATTTGTAACTATTACGTAACTGTTAAAAAAAATTACTTGAATTTATTTTTTTTTATTAATATTAATTTTAAAAATGATTAATAATGATAATAATTAAATACTAGGTAATAATAATATTAATTAATAATGTAGAAATTAGTTAATACTTAATAATAATAATAATTAATTCATTAATGTATTTAATTTAATTAATTATTAAGTTATTAATTAATATTATTAATTCTTTTTATTGTTAATAATTTTTTAGTTATATTAATTGTATTATTATTATTATTATTATATATTATAATATAAATAATATAATATTATAATAATAATAGTAATTTTTAAACGTTTCTATTATTATATAATAATAATAATAATATTAAAATTTGGACAAAAAAAATTTACAAGCAATGATGTAATAATATTTGGCATTTAAACACGAGGGCAATAAATATTCTTATATGAACGTTACGCTTGCGCGCAGACATTTAAATTAATTGTTAAGATTTCGTCATAAATTCTTTGAAATTAAGAGTTGCAATTCGTATGAACCTTTGGCCAGGTATCAGTCATTTTTTTTTCCCTTCATATATATATCCATAAAAAAACGATTATAGTTTTTATTTACAAAAATGGAAGCACGTATAGGTCTCAATGTCCACATCACTATCAGTGATTCAAAATGGGTAAGAGTCAAGTTCATAAATATTGTTTATTGATAATTTTTTTTTGCTGAATTATCGAAAATAATTTCGTTATTTATCTTTCGTGTTTTATATATACTTTTTTTTATTACAAATTATTTCCAATTTTTTTTTTTTTTTTTTTTTTTTTTTTTTTTTTTGGTAAAAATTAGAAAATTTTTGAAATTTAAAAAGAAAGTAGAGATTTTTTTTTTATTTTCCTTTTTGTAGGTTTTATTTATTATATTTAGTTTATAATAAGAATAGAATGATTTATTTTGATTGTAGAATGAAAATTTATTGATTTTCTTTTATTTTACATATTTATTTTACGGATCTATTTATCTATTTTCAATATATATATATATATTTTTTTTTAAAAAACTTTTATAATAAAAAATTTATATTTATTTTTATAATATTTTTTTAATGTCAAAATCACGAGTATTTTTAATATGTAAAAAAGCTAAGCTCATATTATAGTGTTTCATGAGCCAACTTTCAACCACTTCTATAACTTCCTTATGTTCATTTATTAGTTAAAAAAAAGGTTATTATTAAAAATAAAAACATTTTAAACTTTATAATAATAATAATTTTATTATGGATTTTCTGAAAATTAATAATTAAAAAAAAATTTGTTTCTCACAATAGGGTTGAAGAGAATTATAAAATGAGAACTTTTCCTTCACTTGTAATTTTCGCAATCATTTTGATGCTATTTGAGATAACACCACAAAAACAACCTTTTGAAACGAGACAGTAAAAATATTTAAAAAATTTTAAGAAATTATTATTATTATTATTATTATTAATTATATTAACATTAAAAATTTTTATTTCACTGAAAATAACAATTTTTTGTTATAGTATTATTTTGGAAATAAGAATTGATTTTCTTTGCTAAATAAAAAATTAATAAAAATAATAATAATAATAATAATAATAATAATTAACTTTTTATAAATTTCAAAGTTATTAATTAACTATTTTTCGATTCTGAACCTATATATACATATATACCTATAACAATTTTATTTTCAGTCATCATAATCAAGCAAAATAATAAGCAGAGAATACTTTTTTTTGCTAAATGCAAGTCATCGAAATTCATATTTATCTAAATTTTGGATAATGCTTTTTTTCGAAATGAAAAAACAAATTCAACAATTAAAAATTGTATTTGTAAAATAAGAGAAAATCAATAAATTTGCTACTCTGTAATACAATGTTAATTATTTTTTCTTATTATAAACTAAAAACCAAGTCCTTTCTTATTTAAAAAAATAATAATAAATTAATAAAAAAAAAAAAACAGAATTTTTTAAAGATAAATTTCAAGTTGATGTTTTGGCTCAATTATTAAAATTATTTTGTTAATAATTAATATTTACAAAATTAACTGCATATTCGATATTTTTTTTGTTTCTAATTTTTTTCTAGCATAGAAGGATAAAAAAGAAATATAAATTAATGTGTAAGATATATTAATTTTTTGAAATTTTTTTATGTACTCATAAATAAGTCACACGCTTTTTCAATAAAAATGCTTTCAACAAAATGTTCATTTTTAAACATTTGAAAATTTTTTTAAAAAATTGATAAAAGAAAAAGAAAAATATTTAATATTTTAATTTGTACTTATTTAAAAAAAAAAATGCTATTTTCTGATTCATTTTTCTGAAACCAAATAATTTTCTAATAAAAGTTTTTAAAAAATTATTTTAAAAAAATGTTAATTTTTTTTTTATTAATTTATTTGATATCAGAATAAACTTTTGGTTTTGGTTTATAATAAAAAAAAATACTCTTAAATTGTAGTGTAAATTTATTGTTTTTATTTTCATTTTACATATCTGTCTTGAATATTTTTCATTTAGTGCGCCCAATATTTAATAATACCAACAAATAATAATAATAATTCCTAAAATTACTTTGAGAAAAAATATCTGCAATTTTTTTTTTCATTAAAAATCCTATTTTAATAATTTTATTATTCTAAAAGAAATTAATAAAAAAATTATTTAATATTTTTAAAATTTCTTCAATTTTTCAAAAAAATTTTATAAAATTGTTTATTCTAAATGAAAATAAATTTTAGAGAAAAAAAATTGTATTATCTCGATAAGATGAAATATAATATTCAATTATAATAATAGAAATTTACAAAAGTTAATTATAAAAAAAAACTTTATTATATACTGTTATAACAAATATTTTGCAAAATAAACTTTGAAATTTTTATAATATGATAAGAAAAGAAGGGAATTTTATATTTATTTTTAATACTTTTTTTTTGCGTTTCAAAGTTTCACGAATTTTTCATAAAACTTTTTGTTTTTCACAATTTTTTACGATTTTAAAATATTTCTTTAAAAAATTAAATAATAAATAACATATTTTTATAAATAAAATCTTGAGACACAAAATTTACAATTTATTTTCATAAAAAAGAATTTTAATGTATATAAAGATACAACTTCAAAAAATTATTTTTTAATTTTTTTAATATCATTTTTAGTGCATTTTTCATAAAAAAAAAAAAAAAATTATTGCATGTGTAAGTTGTTAAATTTTCAACTAAAAAAAAATAACAGTCATATCTATATGAAAGTCATGAAATTTTGCAGCGTAAAAAAAAAAAGTATCGTAAAAATAATCATTTTTTTTAAATTATATTAAAAATATTCCATTGTTAATTTCTTAAAATATTTAATATAAATATTTGATAAATTTTCATTTTTATTAGGTTTTTTGAAATTTTTATTTTTTCAAAATATATTTAAAAAATTTTATGACAATGAAATACAAGTATTATTCTCTAAAATAAACAATAATTGTAATTCATTATAAAATAGAATAAATAAATTTATTTCAAGATTAAATTTTAATTATTTGATAAATTACATGATATAAAATATAAATGTGAAATTAAATTAAATTTTCTTTTTTTTTCTTGCAAAGTTGATAAAAGAAAAATAAAAAAAATTATCTATAACCAATAGTTTCTTCGTTTTAAACTATTAAAAAAAATGTTAGTAATATTTATCATTTTTTTAATGACAAAATCACGAGAATTTACAGTATAAATAGACGAAGCTCAGTAAGGTTTTTTCATAGTCAACTTTCAACCTCTTCTACCTTTGGTAACTTCAGTTATTGGTAAAAAAAAAACT